TTGGCAAAAAATGAACTGAATGTGAATTTATAGTCCAATGGCTCTTGGCAGCATTTTTGATAGTTTTGGATCTGGCAGTCCTGGAATCCGCCCTCCTGTAAGCTGTTGATGTTTGAATGCTGAATATTGGCGGAATTCTTTGTGATACATTGCTGATAGCGAACACTGTTGTCACTGCTCAGTAGCATTGCCTATTGACTGCCTGATACAATGAAAAGAACCACAGTGGCTTAAGAGCAGTGACTTGATCACATATGCCAATGATCAATAAATATAGCACATCTGTAAGGAAAGCAAAATGATATATGTCTTGGTCCTCCTAAATCTTAAAGGGTGAGCAAGGTCATATCTGTATATTCTGGAATTCCTGATGCTACAATTTACGACTGTTAAATCCTTTCGTGTTGATTCCATCAGAGTGCTTCTTGCTGTGGATTTACAATGCAGGTAATCCTCAACTTAACAACCTCAGTTGGGACCAAAATTTCAATTGTTAAGCAAGGCAGCTGGAAAGGGAGCCATGCCCAGTTTTGCAACCTTTTTTCACCGTGATTATTAAGTAAATCACTGCAGTTGTTAAAGTGAACCCAGTTTTCCCCATTGACTTTGCTTATTGGAAGCTTGCTGGGAAAGTTGCAAATGGCGATCATATGACCCCGAGATCCATCATAAATACATTCCTGTTGTGAAGCACTTGAATTTTGATCATGTGACCATAGGCATGCTGTGGTGGTCATAAGTGTGAGGACTGGTCTTGAGTCATTTTTTTCAGTGCTGTTGCAACTTCAGGCAGTCGCTAAACAATTGATTGTAAGTTGAGGACTACCTACAAGCAGAATTTGAGCACTGACTATCCCAGGGGTCTTCAAACTTGGCCCTTTTATGACTTGTGGACTTCAACTCCCAGAATTCCTCAGCCAGGCACGCTGGCTGAGGAAGTCTGGGAGTTGAAGACCACAAGTCATAAAAGAGCCAAGTTTGAAGACCCCTGGACTATCCTAAGGAGAAATCCTAAGGGATATCTTAATTGATTTGATAGATTTCCGTATGGATAAGGAACACGGAAATAGAGGTTTGGAGAAGTCATAAGAAATTAGAGCAGGGGTTCTCAACCTTGGCAACTTTAAGACTTGTGGACCTCAACTCCCAGAATTCCTCAGCTGGCTGGCTGAGGAATTCTGGGAGTTGAAGTCCACAAGTCTTAAAGTTGCCAAGGTTGAGAACCCCTGAATTAGAGGGAAAAATATGCCTTACACAATCCAAATCTCTGTTGTTTTGCATTGCAGCTGCCCAAGAAGTTCAAAGACTCCACAGTGGTGCCCAATGGGTACATTCAATCAGCTCACTGCTCAATCTGATGTTACATCCTGCCAGGTAAATGAAGGAGAGGTTGAAGGGGACCAAATCTACCTATGCATGTAGGTGATTTAATGTGTTATATCGCATGGACTGAATCCCACATTGGAAGGAGGTTTAACCATGTTATACGATAAGCTTCTCCCTTCCAGAGTGACTTCATGGCTTCAGAACAAATCTGAGTTGGTTCATTTGCTTAAAACATAGGTTTGCACCTCAGCCAAGGTTTGAGTTTTTCTACATATAGAGTCTACATGTTAACTTCATGAGATAACCTATTTGGAATAGATTCTCAGTATGGGTTTAATTTATGGTGGTTTACAACAGTGGTTCTCAACCTTTTTAATGCCGCGACCCCCCAACCGGTCGTAAGTCGAGGGCTACTCAACCGGTCGTAAGTCGAGGACTACTCACCTGGTGCAGCACCGTTTGCAGAATGGGACTTTTGGCGGGCTCAGCAGGGCAGAGACAGCCTGGACAATTCCTATTGGCTTTTGAAAGCCAATGGAATTAGAGTCTATTCAAGAGAGTCTATTCTATTGGCTTTCAAAAGCCAATAGAATAAAAGGGAGTAGCACAGCTAAGGAAAAGGGGGAAAAAAATGGCAGACTGCGTTGTTTGGCGACCCCCGTGAAATGGTCGTTCGACCCCAAGTTGAGAACCACTGGTTTATAATGTCAATTTATTTTTTTCTGCCTCAGTCACAATTTCTAACAGATATCTGTTACTAAGAGCCTCATAGTGATTCCTAGGTTTTTAAAGTGATATGTTTTATAATTTGTGAATAATTTGATGTATTGGATAACTGCAGTCTCCCAATATTCTAGCTCTCTTCTTTACTTGTGCGTTACTGTTTGTATTTCATTCTTTTAATTATATTTATTTATTTATTTATTTGATGTCTACAGCTGCCCAACTCAACAAGTGATTCTGGACAGCTTGTATCACTATTATTTCTTTTTGTATGGGTCTCCACAAAAAATATTTAACTTTAAAAAAAGGAAAAAAAAACCTTATGAACATCAAACCAGTACCCACCGACCAATTTTCAACTCCAAATTTGTTTTGACCTGAAATTCTATAATATAATTTGTAGCTCTTGGAAATTGCAGATGGGGATGCAGTTTGGGATAAAAACAGTTCTTCTTCATAGATACATCACAAATACTCATTTTCAGGGATTGCTATGTTTATGGAAAAGGAGATGAGCCACTTCCAGCATCTGTCACCCATCCATCTGCTGGCCCTCATATCTGACTGTCAGGCTTCAAGCATCTTCCAAGAGATGTCCAAAATTCATAAAAAAAAAAGCCAACAGTTGTAAGCAGGAACAGTGGTGTTTATTTTCCTACTAAAGTAAATATTTGGTCATGACCAAATGTAGAGGACCGCATGTAGAGCTGCCAGCACTGTATGACTCATTAGGAGAATTGAGAAGATCTTAGTGCTCCACTAAACATCACACAGTTGGCGAATCGGGAATGCACCGGTGACTCCCAGCTGAACACTTGGAAATCATTGGCATTTTTAAAAATCATCCTACTCCATAAGTTCATGACTAATGACTTATCTTCTCCCCAACAGGCATGCCCAGATGGTTACATCAGCTCAGAAACAAGAGCGGGTTGCAGACCGTGTCCTGGAGGCTTCTGGTGTGACCCACAAAGGGGTTTGCAGGGAGCTTGTATTCCTGGCCAGTATTCACCAGAGGGAGAGATGGACTGTCAGCAATGCCCAGAAGTATATATCTGTCCTAATGGACAGGAGAAACAGGTGTGGTCATTTGTTCATTCATTTGTTCGTTTTCATCTCGTTTTTATTATTTTTATAACTAATTCAAAATGGTGAACATATCTCATACTCCTTCCTCCTCTTATTTTCCCCACAACAACAATCTTGTGAGTTTGATTGGGCTGAGAGAGAATGACTGGTTCAAAGTCACCCAACTGGCTTTCATGACTAAGGTGGAACTAGAACTCACAGTCACCTGGTGAGTGGCCCAAAATCACCCAGGTGACTTTCATACCTAAGGTGAGACTAGAATTCATCAACTCCCACTTTGTTGCTTGGTGCCTTTCACCACTCAACCAAACTGATATACCAGCTAGCGGTGGTCATACATAAGTTTTAAGGTCTCCTTTCCAAATTTCCATATTTCCTTTGCTTTTAATTTTTGCCTTCAGTAAGTGAAAGAGGTTCCACTTTCTTTCTCAACAACATTAAACATTTTAGTTCGTTTCCCCCCCCCCTTGTATTTTATTTTCATAATATGAATAATGAGGCATGAACAATTTACAAGGAGTTCATTTCCACTGTGAGTTTTCTTGTGAAAGGCAAAGAGGGTATCATATAATCTTTCCCTGAAAGATTACTCTGGAGAAGCAGTGCTCCGTTTGATTATATATAGGTGGAATTAAAGCAGCTTCGGAGAATATAAGTGCATCTGTTGAAAGCTGGAATTGAAAAGAATAAATGTGGGATGAGTAAAGGAAACGAGAGAGAGAGAGAGAGAGAGAGAGAGAGAGAGAGAGAGAGAGAGAGAGGGAGGGAGGGAGGGAGGGAGGGAGGGAGGGAGGGAGGGGAAGGAGGGAAGAAGGGAAGGAAGGAAGGAAGGAAGGAAGGAAGGAAGGAAGGAAGGAAGGAAGGAAGGAAGGAAGGAGAGAAGGAGGGAGGGAGGGAGAGCATGTCTGTGTTTGTCTTTGTGTTAGTCATCCCACATCTATCCCACATGTATAAGGCCCAGCCTGATTTTGAAATGTTCACGATGAGCTCCTGTCACTTGCTCCAGCAGTTCGAAAAGCAGGTAACCATGAGTAGATAGATGGGTACCATTTCAGTGGCCAACTTAAAGGAGCCCCCAATTAGGCATCTCCCAGATGATGTTACCAGATGATCCTTTAACTATGGAAGCTTCTGACACACAGAGATAGCTTTTGAGTTGAGCAGGATAGAGGTGGAATAGGCTGAGCATATGAACAGGAAACTTTCAACTAAGATCACAAGGACCTTTTATGATAATTGGTCAACCTGTACTGCTATAAACTTTTTATGCTTTTCTGACTTCAGGATCTTTCTATAAATTAAATCAATTATCTTGCCCTCTGTAATCATAAAGAAGATGGATGGATGGATGGATGGATAGGTGGGTAGGTAGATAGCTAATTGGGTGGATAGGTGAGTGGGTAGGTAAGTTGGTGGGTGGATGGATGGATAGATAGATAGATAGATAGATAGATAGATAGATAGATAGATAGATAGATAGATGTGTGTTATGTATGTGCTTTTGAGTGTATGTGTATACACGTACACTCACACATGCACACAAACAGTAAGGAGAATACATGAAGATATTACCAGAGTTTTATCAATGAACCCAATTTTTTGTGGAGGGAAAATTATAATCACTTAAATACTAATGAAATACTCCTTTGTTGGGTATTCACAAAATGGAGCAAAATCTTTGATGTGTGAGCAGTACATGTATGGATGATCTTGTACGCACTTACTCTTACATCAGTTATACTGATCTCTAGGTGGTGTATTTATACACATATACTCACGTGCATACATACACATATGATTGTGTATGAGCGCATTTCCTCTGTTTTCTCCTCTAGCGTTGTCTAGGAGGACATGAATTGGATGCCAGCCACACATCTTGTGTTCCCTGCTTCCCGGGTTTTTTCTCCACTGTGGGATCTCTGGAATGCCAACCCTGTCCAGCAGGTAAGCCAACATCTGGGGCATCTCCATCAAGAACTAGGTAACTATGTCTATCCTAAGGCGGAACTAGAACCCACTGCCTCCTGGTGACTGGCCTACACTTCTGCAGCCTGTTTCATGCCTAAGGTAGGACTAGAACTCACAGTCTCCTAATTTCTAGCCTGATACCTTAACTATGTCAGAGTTCCAGCTGATGATCCCAACGAAGTAAGTACACCTGAGATATTATGATCTCTAATGCAAAACTTTATTGAGCACAGCATACCGGCACTAATGAATAGAAAACCAGCTCTGGCAATATGGCGCCAGAAAGATAGTTAAAAGAATAAACCCTTCCTTTCCCTCTCTGACACTTCAAGTCACATTGTCCAATCAATCTTTAGGCCATTGTTATGAGAAGAGACCTCTTTAACCTTGCTTCCCATACAAATAGAAACCACCTGTGCATTCCATACATTCTCCTCCCCGTTCACAATTGTTGGCAAGCTAAAAGTGCCATGGCTGTCCTAGTGCAAGTAATCTTCGTAGCTTGACAAATCAGGAGACCAAACCTATCCTAAAATTCAACTCTTATCATCTAAAGCAGGAGTGTCAAACTCAATTTCATTGAGGGCTGCATGAGCATTGCAGTTGCCCTTTGGAGGTCAGGGGTGTGTGGCCAGGGGGGGCAGCCTACTGAGTGGGTATGGATGGAGTGGGTGTGGTCTGATGGGTGGGTTTGGCCAGCTCTACATCATTCATGTCAAGGGTGCCTGTGGGGGCCTGGCAGGAGTGGGACAGATCTGAGGGTCTCTGGCAGAAGGGGGTGGGACTGGGGCAAGCACCAAGGCATGGTCCATTTCTTCATTCCTCACGAAGGGTGACACCTCCACAGCATGCACCCAGGAGGCAGGGCAGATGCGGCAGGGGCTGGTCCCTCGCTGTTTCCAGACAGCCTTGTTGGAGCTAAGACTGAATGTGTTTCAGCATAGATGGCCACCACAAAATTGTACATTGGCTCCCGGCCAGCCTGGGCCATGGCCAAGGCAGCGGGGGCCATTCCCTTACTGTTTCCAGGATGGCTTCGTGGGTCACATGAAACCACTTTGCAGGCCACATCCGGCCCCCGGGCCTTGTGTTTGACATGTCTGATCTAAAGACTTGAACTCTTGCCCAAGATTTTCCCCACCACTATCTCGTAGCACTCTACCCCGCAACAAAAATTGATCTCAGGTTTTATGTAAATAGTACAGTTCTGATTTGGGAACATCAGGGAAGGAAAGAGGAGGCAAGATCCTTCCTCAATTGTGAGGGACAAGTTGAATAACTTTAGATTCTTTTTTTTTCAGTCATACGTTTCTAGGATTCAAAGCCATTTGGCCGGATCAATATTTAAGGCTTTGGGAAAGTGGAAAACAATGTCTGGAAGATTAAATGCGCTCCACTAGTATCTAAGTTAATTCTCAATTGTCCTTTATAAGCCATTTAAAGAGCCGCTGGCTCTTAACTACCATGGACTCTGCCTGCTTGGTATTCTGGAGAAGTCTTGATAATCCTGTCCTCGGGATATCACTAGCCTATCTTTGCGGGAATGAGAAGGGTGTTGCAAATTCATCATCACAACATTAGTGCAGAACCAACTTTGACACGAGAATGAGCCAGGATAGACTCAGGTCTTTGTTGGTTTCTCTTTCTTTCTTTCTTTTTTCTTTTCTTTCTTTTTCTTTTTCTTTTAAAAAGAAGCAATTGCTTTTAAGAATTATGGAAGCGTAGAACATTATTAGAGATGATTAATTGGCTGTAATGGCTCAGAAAATTACGAGGAAAGACAATCAACGAACACCACAGGCCTCTTTGTTTTGCACAGTTTCTCCTGCCATAAAATTGGGTTGGAAGGGAATCAAGGAATTGGGAAAGAAAGAAAGAAAGAAAGAAAGAAAGAAAGAAAGAAAGAAAGAAAGAAAGAAAGAAAGAAAGAAAGAAAGAAAGAAAGAAAGAAAGAAAGAAAGAAAGATAGTTCATACCGGAATCCCTCTTAGCTGTTTCTCTGACAATGGGATAAATTTGAAGAAAAGCTGTGAAAATAATCAGAATGTTTTTCCCCCAAAATCCTTAGAAGAAAATAGAAAAAGTGTGTCTTTGCCTCCAAGACTTTTTAAAAAGTCCAAGGTAGATCAACAATTTGGTTTAAATCAATGAGTTTTCTGTGGGATCTATTGATTCCAAGGTATTACATATTGTAGACATAATCATGCAGATTTGGGGGGGGGCAAAATTCAGATTGTGATCTACTATTACTTTTTGTTTGGATGTTTTCAACTTCCTTTGAGCTACCTGCTGTTCCTGAATGTCTCCTATCCAAGTAATCTTACCAGCCTGATCTTGCTTAGCTTCCAAGTCCAGAGAAGATCACCAGGTCCAATGTTTAGGACTAAAGCTCCTTGTGAACACCAGACCCACCTCTAGTTTAAGACCTGCTGTTCCAATGGAAGCTGGAGCATATGCTGAGTAATTCAGATACTTTCCACTAAGCCTGGTAACTGGATCCCGGTGTCTGAAATGAAAATCCTCTTAATTAAATTATGAAGTTATCCTGTGTGTTGAGCATCTTGATATTACAAGGGAAAAGGTCAAGTAGAATAACAGATGCTCAATGAAAACTTTTTGAGCAGTCAGATAAGGAGATCCAAACTCATTGGTAGCCTCACACTGCAATGAACAGACATTTAATTTTGCAGCTACTGAGATTGTTGGCCGAGCAAGGACAAAGATAGCCAGGGAAATGACTGAAGCTAGGGAAACGGGCCCTTTGTCAGTCAGTGCTGATTTACCACCAGCTTATCATGTACTTAGGAGCTGAGGGCCAATCACTGGCCATCAACACACCAATCAACCAATAGGAAGGCACCACATAAATACAACTCACAAAATAGCCCAAAGCACATATTCCAATATAGAAAAATTCCAAGCGGATGGGCTCCAGCACACATCTGAAAGCCAGATTGGATCTTGAAAAGTTTTTGATCTACATTCAGTGTTGATCTATAACTCACTATCATGAAAATAAAATAATGTTTGGGGTTTAAGTTCCTGGTCTTAGATTTCTGGACTAAAAATCCTAAATTAATAATAATCTGGTATTAACATTTGATGCGCAGAGAAGAAGCTTCTTGGAGTGTTCAATACCTCAGATTTATTTATTCAATTTTTATAGCCACTCATCTCAGTCCAGTGACTCTGAGCATTGAACAGTTCTAAACAATTAGAACAGTTAAAAATAGTACAAAAATAAATATACATATAAATACAGAATTAGGATACAATATACAGCATAAGGCAATGTTTCTCAACCTAGGCAACTAAGATATAGGAGGGAGGGAGGGTGGGAGGGAGGGAGGGAGGGAAGGAAGGAAGAAAGGAAGTTAAATGCATGCTATTATAAAGTTAGAAATGTAGAAAAAAAACCAGCTAAGCTTTCTCTAATCAATGCTTATCAATATTAAAACTGTCTTTATCTTTATTGATTCTACCAACTGCATTACAATCATATTGTTGCCATAGTAATGTACATCCTGATCTCCTTCACTTGTTTGTTTGCTTTTGCAGGGCATTATTGTCCTAATTTTGGGACTATTCAACCAGTCCCTTGTCCCCCTGGCTCCATGGCTCATGCTCCCAGACAAATCAAGTGCCGAAGAGAAAACGAAACTTCTTGCTGTCCAGACAACATGGCCGAGATGTTGTTTGCTTGGAAATCTCTTCATTCTGCAGTGGATCTACAAAGCCAACTCTGTCCTTCAGGTTTAACCTTTGCATTTGTTTCTGTTTTTCTGATTTATTTTACCTATTCCTCATTTGGGGACTCAAAATCTGCTTTGACCCCATTGAGAGGGTGAAATCCAGGCCAAATTAATTTAATTTCTGAAGCAGTTTATCAAAACCAGGGGTCTTTAAACTTGGCCCTTTTATGATTTGTGGACTTCAACTCCCAGAATTCTTCAACTGGCTGAAGTCCACAAGTCATAAAAGGGCCACATTTGAAGACCCCTGCTCAAAACAAGTTTGCAGGTGAGAACATGGAACAAACCATGGAAGCCATTCCAACAAGAAGTCCCTCTGACACTACTACTATTTGAAGACACCAACATTCTATCAATTGTTTAATACACTTTGCTTACTATTTTGGTCTTCATTGTTTTATATATCCAGAAATTAAGATATCCATTTATTTCAAGATTCAGATTCAGTACTTGCATCTCAAATAGTTTTGGTTTTCTTCCTACTTGTTCCTGCAGCTTAACCCAAACTATATGCAACTTGCTATGGCTGCTGTCCCCTACTTCTATTCCCATATGAGTAATAGTAATAGTAGTAAAGTTGGAAGGGACCTTGGAGCTCGTCTAGACCAACCCCCTGCTCAGGCAGGAAACCCTACACCATTTCGGACAAATGGCTGTCCAGTCTCTTCTTAAAAACTTCCAGTGTTGGAGCATTTACTGCTTCTGGAAGCAGGCTGTTCCACTGATTAATTGTTCTCACTGTCAGGAAGTTTCTCCTTAGTTCTAGGTTGCTTCTCTCCTTGATTAGTTTCCACCCGTTGCTTCTTGTCCTGCCTTCAGGTGCTTTGGAAAATAAATATGACTGGCATTGCAATTGTTTTTGTGAAACATGATAAACGTTATTAGTTACTATTTTCCTTTCTTAATATCATGTATGACTCTAACAGATTGGGATCATTTGTGGTACAGTGTCCTGCACAGGCCCATGACATTGATTAATTTATTATCCAAGTTAAACCTGTGTAAACGCAGTCTTTGTACTAATTGTACAGTGACCTGCTTACCTAAAGAGACCCATACCATCTTAAGTAGCAATGTGGATATCTAAATACCTGGCTGATCCTTCAATTCAATTTTCTCCAAGAGGAATTTCCCATATTTAATACCATCCTGCAAGTCTCAACTGGTGCAATCCAACTCAAAGGTCTCCAGCTTGGAAGTAGTCACCTTCTCTAAAGAACAACCTGATCTGAAGAAGGAATACTATTGAAGGGATATTGAAAGATGAATCTCATCTTGCAGGGTATTTTCATAGTCCTGGACTGACCACAGCTCCATGTCCCAGGGGAAGTTTTGAGCCGAGAGAAAAATCCCTAAAGCTGAGCAACAGATCTTCATACTTTCCAGGTTTGTATCTGTCTTTTGCAGATAATGATCCTAAATCAGATTGATAATTAGACTCTTCCACAGAGGCTGACAGTTGTAGTGCTTATTTACTACCCTGTGACATAAAGTAAGCAAGTTAGACACCAAGAAAAATTCCTAGAAATTTGTTTGGGAAGGCTATTGAGAATTATTAGTCTCTCTCTCTCTCTCTCTCTCTCTCTCTCTCTCTCTCTCTCTCTCTCTCTCTCTCTCTCTCTCTCTCTCTCTCTCTCTCCACACATATCATAATATTTAAACACCTTTGTTGTGTCTCTTATATGTATAGAATCATAAACTTGTCTATAGAGAGAACTGGGTGATGGATTTCTTGAAAGTCACTATTGTTTTACAAAAAGCCAAGAGCAGATTTAATATCAACAGGGAGAACTTGGTAGAGAACTCAACACATCCAAAGTCTGATAGGACAAATTGTGTTGGATAATTTGCATCTGCTTCAGAAGCAGGATGGAAGGATATTATCTTTAGGTTGGGTGAACCTACATTTTCAGCAGAAGGGCTTAACTCATCTCTAAGAACATATGTGTCATTAGAAGTATACACAGAAGTAGTCGAATTTAGTGCCAGGTAAGTTCGTACCCAATGTGATGTCTTTAAAAATGTATTCTGAACATCTCTTATTAGCTGGGTTGATCCTTTCTCAGTAGCAAATTGCTGCCCAGATTTCATATAGAACAGTTCCTGTTTGGTTTTATCGGCAAGATTTATTTTGTAGTAGACTCATTAAGAGCATTCTTCATCTTTTTGATATGCAGGTGTTGCTTGTTAGCAATATCAGGGATAAGGTTAGCCTTGCCATGAATGGGGCAGCTGTTTCAGCAGATAGTTGTGTTGTGAAAGGGCAGGGTAAAATACTGTGATTTTTACCACCAGGAAGAGAATGTACCCTTTTTCTACACAATACTTGACTCTGAAGCTTACCTTGAGATATTATGTGGAACAGATATGCTGCTCTGACACAGAAAACATGGTTTCTTGGGCATATTTATCCATGAATGTGGGTGTGAAGTATGAGTTTAGAGGCTGGATGGAATGCTAAGGTCAACCTACAGTGGCATCCATCTCCAGATATGGTCAATTGTATGGTTATGTTGAAGATGAACCCAATGAAAGTGCAATAAGAAAGCTAGCAAACTGGTAGAGCACCATGGAGACTGGAGTTTCACTTTCCATTCCCTTTGTCTTTCAACATTTAATGCTTCCCCCCATTGAAATGCCAGCCTATTCCTGGGAGAACTGAATTCTAAAATGTTAGGTAGCTGATGGCGTCCCAGTTCATTTCCTTTAACATCCATTAGAACAAGCGATGAATAGTTTGAGCAGTGGACTTTGTCATCACTGATCATACCTGTAAGCAAAATCAACCCTCTTTTATTAGAGGTGATTTCACGATCAGCCTGTTTTAAAGCTGAGAGCGCCTTCATAAATATGTACCTGCCATGCTTCCTCTGTGCTGATTGATCCTGTGGGATCAACCCAGGAGAGACACAGTTGCCACTTAACTGGCATCCATTATGTATACATTCTCATTATCAATATCTATTACCTAAAGAAGCATAGAATGCAGAATGTTAATCAATGCTAATCAAGGAGAATATTTGCAGCTCCAAGTCCTTGGTGCTCTCTGAGCTTGGCGGTTTTCTTGCAGATCCCAAAGATGCTTTTTCATGAGGCAACTGTACTTTCTTGTTTTTCTCTGAAGATGTTTCACTTCTCATCCAAGAAGCTTCTTCAACTCTGACTAGATGGTGGAGAATGGAAAGATTTATACTCCTGCAGACAGCTGTTCATTTGCATTCTTTTAGCGAGTCGAAGCAAAATGTCTTCAAAGAAAAACAAGAAAGTACAGTTGCCTCGTGAAAAAGCATCTTTGGGATAACTATGACCTGGATGACTGAGGATCTCCATAGACATTTTCTTGCAGATGTTTTATGACCAAACTAGATAACATTCTCAGCACAAGCTCAGAGAGCACCAAACATCACTTAGAAGGCTAAATAGAATCTCTGGACAAACCAAACCAAACTTGATCCCAAATCTTCATTTATGAGCACTTACATATGTATTTATGGGATTTATTCATCCTCTTAATCAGATTGTACACCCCCAACTTCCAAGAAGTCACTGATGTTCCTTGATCAAATCCCACATTTTTCATAATTGACTTCAGAAGATGCATGAGAACAGAAGGTATCCTGAAGTTAATAGATATGGTCAGATATGAATTTGAGGTTTCCATCTAAAAATTTGGAAAATGGGTGGTGAACTCTTGAAGAGTAACCCTAATGAGGGAATTATTGGCATTTAAACTTCTGGGGCCAATGTTTGAAAGAATTATAGCATAGGCTCATAACCAAAATTGGTTCAAACACAAAGCATAGTTTTTGCCTTCCAGAGGAAATTGTGAATAATCTTTTGACATAGATAATATTTGCCATTAGTTGTGAAGCTGGTTTCTAGCAAGTAACCCCTAGCAAGTTTTTTTTTAAAAAATGGAGATTTTTTTCCCATCACTGAAATTCAGATTAACCAATCTCCTTCCCTAAAGAGACTAGTAATTATTGGAAAAGCAAAGCAATGTGTGAATATTTTCCATAAGGTTTTCATTTACAGCTCCTAAAAATATAGAAAATGTCAGACTCGCAATATCTCATTTTTACTTTAAAACTAAACAAATCGCAGCTACATATGTTCTTCAAACATTCCGAATCCCTACCCCCCCTTTTTCTTTTTGTTAAGTTACATTCTGGATTAATAGTCATTATTTTTAGAGCAGCGTTTTTAGACTCTGTGCTGTAATAAGCATGGAACTCTGTTCAATGTGAGTGATTTTTTGAAAATTAACAAGTAATGGGGCAAACTCAATTTTAAAAAAAGAAAATCTGAGGGTGGCATGCATCGTCAGTTGCTCCTGCTTCATTTCTCTGGATAATTGTTATTTGTCTTTAATTATGCCCCCTTCCCCCAGCACATTTGTGAGTGGAATAAAAATATGATTGTTTTTCCAGTGGAGCAAATCATATTTATATAGAACAAGGATGCTTTGTGGACTTCAGCCTGCCACCCCATTCGTGCACAGCCCATTTGACTGAGGGGAGATAGGGGTGAAGATGAAGGATCTGACTGAAATAGTTTTTTGTGAAATTGTTGGTATAAATTGAATCAACAGCCTAAGCATCCCTTACAGAGCCTGAACCTCTATTTCATCTTTTGTGATTATTTTAATAACCTTTCATAGCGATTTGTATAAAATGACACGATAATAATGGGAGGGGAGGGGAGGGGAGGGAATGGAAGGGGAATGGGGAATGGGGAGTGGGATGGAATGGAATAGACTAGAATCCAGAATGGAATGGAACAGAATGGAAAGGAATAGAATAGAATAGAATAGAATAGAATAGAATAGAATAGAATAGAATAGAATAGAATAGAATTACAGAGCGGAATAGAATATAGGATAGGATAGGATAGGATAGGATAGGATAGGATAGGATAGGATAGGATAGGATAGGATAGAAATAGAAATAATAGAAATAGAAAATTAGGGGGTTAGATCTGGCTCATAGTTGAGCAGGAGACAACAAGTGTAGGGCTATTAAACTAGACTGGGAAATTAGAAGCAGTAACACATTTTGAAAGAAGGCCATGACAAAATGCTTCTGCCCAATTGCCTTATGCATATCTTATATTCATAAGACATCAAGAACTGGCTTCAACGCTAAGGAGAATTTATCCTTTTCTAGCTTGCCCTCCTGCTTGCAGATTCAGTGCCTATGGTTCCCATCAAGTTGGTTGGTTGATTGATTATGTGCCATCAAGTCCTTCCCAATTCCTGGAGGCCACATAGATAGAGCCCATAAATAAATACCGTGGCTGTTACTTCACTCTACTTTTGGTCTAATTGTCTTCTGGATCTCTTTCAATGCTTCATCTGGCTCTGCTTTCCACCACAGCTGCATGCCCCACTATCAATGTCTCAATAATCCTGCAGACCATTTTTCATAGCTCTGGAGGGGACAACTTTTGCACTGCAAGTACATGTCATAAATCAAGGGAGCTGTCTTTCTAGCCTCCTGCAGAATTAATGTAGATACGACATCACGTCCTCTGGTTCTTCTATTATCTGGGAAGCCTTGTGTTCTGCTGCACTTTGCAACAAGCATGACTACCCAAGCGGTGCCCAGAAGATCACAAATTCCCTCCAGGCTTTGTTAAAATAAGGAATTGAGAACAGCAGAGACGTGGGAGAGCCACTTCTGGCTGATGATCGTGTATATTTTACGTGAAAAAGAGAGTTCTAATTTCTCTCTTCCTCAATTCTGGTTTAAAAGATCATACAGTCATTTATTGAAATTTCTCTTTTTGGATCAGCAATCTCAAGGAGCCACCGCTTATCACAGAAGCTATATTCACAAGGAAGATGGGATAGAAATATTTACATCATTAAAAATATATATATTTTTCTGGGTTTGGGATAGCTTGAGCTTTTGATTCAAAAAAAAATTTAGAGAGTATGTTGCTGGGGAAAATAGATCAATGGTTTGATTTTAAGTAAGGCAGCTTCCTATATTATTAAATGCAAGTATATCTCAGATGAAGCTGCATTTTATAGTTGTTCAGACAACTGAATGGAGCTGGGAGAAGAGGAAGCTCTTTTAAAATGCCCTCTTTCTCTTGTGTTCTAGAAGAGCTAATCTACCCAGCTGACCTAGATTAATTTAAACTCCTTCTTTCTGCACCAAGAAAGCTTTTTGCTTAACTAACATCCAAGCCTAATCCATTTGTATACATTTAAAAAAAGGAAAAAAGAATCCAGGAATTTCATTCACTCTACAGAATGATAGTCCAACTACAAACTATGTTGCATCTCCAAACTGTTTGACAGGGCTGAGGCATAAGTATATCAATTAGAATCCTGGGGAGGAGACCATTATTGTCAGCATAGTATTTATTTTCTGCTGTTCTCTCTTTTCCTACCCCTTTGGCGTTCCATCTAGAGCTTAAACAGTGCCTAAAGTGTCCCACTGGATATTTTTGTCCTAATGGAATGAGTTTTCCAAATCCGTGCCCGGTGGGGACTTATAATCCTCTCCAGGGACAAGACGAATCCACAGACTGTAAACCCTGTCCTGCTGGTAAAGCCTGCACCCAAACTGGTTTGGCTCAGCCAGATTCGGACTGCATGGTGGGGTAAGTATGTCATCCTCTCTGAAGCTACCACCTTGTAGGGAAATCTAAGTGGCCAAGTCTATGTCACTAGTTGGGTGGGTTTCTTGCATGCCTGGCATTTGGCAAAAAGAGCATTGGCCTTTAGAGGAATAGATAGATAGATAGATAGATAGATAGATAGATAGATAGATAGATAGATAGATAGATAGATAGATAGATAGATAGATAGATAACCTTTGTTGTCATTTTTTTCTGTGGGCACAATGGCACACATTAAAAATGAAATTTAGTTGCTTCCTCTCAAAGTGTACATATACATAACAGACATTTAAACATACTATATACAACGTACGTATAGACCTGCACCCTTACATATAAGTAACATATAAATATTAATCACTGTCCATCTTGAATACATAACGGAAGGAGGAAGCTTTAGAGTTCACAAGGTTAATACTGTACTACAAGATTAATACTGTATAACAAAATTATATTCAGTTATTCAGTTAATATTGAATAACAATGGTTTTCTGAGTGCATCATGTTCTGTTCTCAAGGAAATGCCAAACAATGTATAGATGCAAAGCATTGAGTCACTTTCTGTAGGCTAGGACTGAGTAACTTTCTCCACCAGAACAGAAATTTCCTCTGCCTTGGATGAAAAGGTATTAAAGCATAGAAGAAAGCAAAAAGGTTACTGCGAAGAAGACAGGATAATCGGGGCTACTATTAGCTGTTTCTCAGGAAGAGGATAGCATCACAAAGTCGATATCTTTCATCCTGTGGTGGTCCAGAGCGGCTAGCCAGATGTTTGGGAGAATCTGGCATCATGTTAAAGGCTATCATTTGACCTGGTTTCTACCCAGGAAAATAATTGCTTTGGTTCTGAGGTAGTTAACCACCACGGTTGGTAGACATGGACAAGCCGCTTCTGTTGTCCTTGCTATGTCTTACCATTCAAATAGCCAAGATGGCTAAAAATAGCTTAACTGATGCAAATATCAGGGCTCTTGGTGGTTATGCTTGGAATTCTGTTTCTTCTTCTAAATGATTCTGCATTTTTTGCTGACGCTTGAAATTCTCTCTTTTCCTTTCCTCCTTTAAATGAGTTTTAAAAGTTTAATCCCCCCCTCTCTCTAACTCAATAGAAATTGCTTCCTAAATTAACCCAGTTTCTGACATTATATAATGTAGTGAACCAGCAACCAGCAAAGCAGGGTGCATTCACACAACAAGTGAAGCTGTCAAGATGAAAACTAGCCAAGCTCAGTGTGTTGTTTGGCACAGATAACTGTGTCAGCCCCCATTGCTTCCATAAAGTCTTGACAAGAAATCCTTTCCTAGTGAAAAAGCACAGTGGTTTAACCACTAGAAGTAATTTCTGACATTTTTCAAAGCTTAGTCGTTAGCTTGAATGCTAGGATAATACAGGTTGTCCTCGACTTACAACAATTCATTTAGTGACCATTCAAAGTTACAACGGCACTGAAAAATGCGACTTAGGACCATGTTTCACAGTTACGGCCTTTGCAGCATCCCCGTGGTCATGTGATCAAAATTCAGACGCTTGGCAACTGACTCTTAGTTATGACCGTTGCTAGGGTCATGTGATCCCCTTTTGCGACCTTCTGCCAAGCAAAGTCCATGGGGAAGCTAGATTCACTTAACAACCGGGTTGCTAACTTATCAACTGCAGGGATTCACTTGGCGAGAAAGGTTGTAAAATGAGGCAAAACCCACTTAACAAATGTCTCGCTTAGCAACAGCAATGTTGGGCTCAATTGGGGTGGTAAGTCGAGATCTCCCTATAACCTGAATAATAACCCTTCTTTTTCTTTCTTTCTTTAAAAAAATATATTTTATTGATTTTTTTTAACATAATCACCTTAATATTCGGTAAACAGCGTGTTGACTGGGTTGATATTAAAAAAGCAATCAATAACAATTAGTTTCTATAATTCTATAGTCCGTAAAGAAGAGGGAATTAAGCTATTCTCCAAAGCGCCTGAAGGCAGGACAAGAAGCAACGGGTGGAAACTAATCAAGGAGAGAAGCAACCTAGAACTAAGGAGAAACTTCCTGACAGTGAGAACAATTAATCAGGGGCACAACCTGCCTCCAGAAGCAGTAACTGCTCCAACACTGGAAGTTTTTAAGAAGAGACTGGACAGCCATTTGTCCAAAATGGTGTAGGGTTTCCTGCCTGAGCAGGGGGTTGGACTAGATGACCTCCAAGGTCCCTTCCAACTTTACTACTATTACTATTGCATGGCAGCTTTGCTTGATTTTCTCTTCTTCCAATAATGGTCTCTTTTGCCAACCTTGAACTAATACAACTCTCATTATTTTGATAAATAACAATTAAATATAGATCTTTTTCTAATATTTCTTCAAATCCTTTTTTTTTCTTCATCAGGTATGTTTGTCCAAGTGGTTCAACCAGCCCGCACTCTCCCACAAATGCCTGTCCCCCCGGAACGTTCAGCAACCATTCTGATCTCTTTGATAAATCCCAGTGTGAGACTTGTCCAGAGAGATTGGTCTGTACAAGAGGCATGTTGCTCCGGATTTATTTATATATATTTATATATTTGTATGTGTTATTTTGACAAGATGAGTAAGACTCCGTTGCTGATCCTGGAGTAATCCAGGCTGATGTACCAACAAATCACCAGAGTCTGAGAAAGATTCTCAACTGTATCTTTAGAGTAAGACTACAGAACTTTGTTTCCTCCTAAGAATTGAGATCTAGCTTGGAAATTATCCCAGGAGTTGTAATGGTAGCTGGAGCTAAAGTCAAAGTGAACTTGTTCAAAATACAAGAAACAGTTCAATTTTGGGGGAAACTATGCACATATATGTTGATTTACCTTTCAGAGCTGTAAGCAAAATACGGTACATGGGAGAAATCAGACTGATAGACCAAAAATTTCCCATCCTGTCCTTTTGTTTTCTCCTTTGAAAAGTTTCTTCAGAACTGGAAGCTTCTTGGATGAGGAGTGAAATGTTTTAATGGAAAAAAAGCAAGAAAGTCTCGTTGCCTTTTGGAAAAAGCACTTTTGGGAGCTGGGTGATGGAAAATTTCCATAAACATTTCCCATTTCTGGTTTAGATAGAAATTATGCTGACATGATTCAAACACTTCCCCCAGAAAAATATAGCTGAATTTTTTCCAGTCTGGTGTCCTTCATATAGTAAATATTGGAAATACAAGCCAGAGTTTCTAGTCAACACAACCAACTTTCCTACTGGATTTAAATCAAGCTCTCATAATTTATTGACCGTTATTCTTTTCAAAGGCTCAGGGGGGAAGCAAAGACCACCTGTCCCATGCCCAGTGGGACACTACTGCCCTCCAGGTACCAAACATCCATTGCAGTACAAGTGCGCCCCTGGCACATGGAGCAACAGGACAAGTCTAGCCACAGAAAAAGAGTGTGCACCATGTCCACCAGGGTGGTTTTGTCTGGCAGGAGCCAACGTTCCATCTGGAAAGTGCAGCACTGGACATTTTTGCCCAGAAGGTAAGGTGAACCCATCCAAGATGAGCCGGTTGGTGTTCTTCTGGTACCTTTAAGTCAGAATCAGTAGATGGTGTGATAGGATCAAGGGTCTCAGAAGAACACGTCTAGGGAGATATGAGACTCAAGATGAAACCCATGTACAGACTCCTCAGTGACAGAATTCAAGAGAACAAGGATTGGTTTATTTGGATATGGATTGTTCTGAATATGGATTGTTCTGATTTCAAAGTTATCTAGCCCATTATACCATGCACAGGCATATACCATCAATCAATCAATCAGAATAGAGCTGGAAGGAACCTTGGAGGTCTTCTAATCCAGAGGTCCCCAACCTTTTGGGCACCTGGGACCAGTTCCGTGGATAAAGGTTTTTCCACGGACCAGAGAGTGCGTGGTTTTGTGTGCTGCCTGCATCTCATGGATGGGGCTTTGCTTGTTTGTGTGGCCCGTTTACTGGCATGCTGCAGCCCAGTAGTGGTCCATGGACGGGGGTTTGGGACTCCTGTTCTAATCCAACCCTGCTCAAACATACCACACCCATACCATTTCAGAAAAGTGGCTGTCCAGTCTTTTCTTTAAAGCCTTCAGTGATGAAGCACCTACAACTTCTGAAGGCAAGCTGTTCCCACTGGTTAATTGTTCTCACTGTTCTCACCACATTGTACAGATCAATGTTATACTCTGTATGGACTTCAGTTCCCAAAATTCCCCAGGCAGCCTGGCTACCAGGGGAATTCTGGGAATTGAAGTCTACCCACCTTAAAGTTGCCAAGGCTGAGAAACACTGTCTAGAGGGTGTCTCAAAGGGATTAACTCCTGGAAGGCTTGTTTGTTGCTATAGAGTAGATAACATCTTTTTCTGTCTATGTGCTCCTTGTCTGTTTCTGATAGACAAATAGAGATCTTTTATCGTGTGTGCTTTATTTGACTCAGAGTGTTCTATCTTGGAGAAACATGGTAGGCTTTATTTAATGCGCTGTGTTCAGCATGGGTCACGGGCTTGTAATTAAAAAAAAATGTGTCAGACAAGCATTTTCCTTTCTTTTCCCTCTTGCTCATGATTATGGTTTGTGTATTCTGTCTTTCTGGTTCAGGAAGTCAAACAAGTACTCAGTTTCCATGCCCAGCAGGAACATACAGCAGCAGACATGGGAATGGGAAGGTGGAGGACTGCATTCCCTGTCCAAAGGGAGCCTATTGTCCCAAGGCCACCATCAAACCCGGATTCTGTCCACTGTAAGTCAAACTCTCAGATTGTCCCCATTTTTGATATCATAATGTGACTCCATAATTGGATTCCTTATGATAAGAATTAACTCCCTTGCTAGCTGAGGAATTCTGGGAGTTGAAGTCCACAAAACATCAAGTCACCAAGGTGGGAGACCCCTGCACTATAGGACTGGTGAAGGAAGCCAGGTTATGCCAGATGACTTAAAGAAGCATCAGGAAAACCATGGCTTGAACGCAGCCAAGCCATGCTGCGTTCATGTGTGTGAGAGGGATGAGAGGGGAGGAAGGAGTAGGGAGGAAGTAGGATGGTTAGAGGAGAAGGGGAGGGGAAGAGAGTAGGAGGGGAGGAGAGAAAGAGGGAAGTAGGGAAGGTTTAGAGAGGGTGGACGCAGCCTGGGGGGAATGGGCAGGCGGTACCAATGGTTAGGAATTTATTTTAATTGAATTGTATGAATAAATGGAAAATAAAAACTTTTTAATAAAAAAAAGGAAAGCCATGGCTTCAAATCAAGACTGCTTTTAATCTAACTAAAAATACTTAAAGATTCCCTTCTGTCCCTTCACCCCATCTCACCCAACTCATATTAAACTGACTTTTATTTTATGCTTTCTTTGGACGCAGAGGGACGTATCGTTCAGAGCAAGGAGCAACATCAGCTGAGGATTGTACACTGTGCCCAGGGGGGTACCAATGTCCCAAGATGGGTACAGTTGCACCTCACCTGTGTGGACCTGGCACATTTTCAGTAAGTACCACCAAACTGATGGAGAAGCAGCCAAAAGAAGAACCAATCAAAAGAAAAATGTTCAGAACTTCCACAGCTTTGTGGCTGTGTTTCCTGATGTTTGGGATGATGACTCCATTTTGATTTCCAGAGTATTAACCACACTGTCTTGAAGCTAATAGAAATTGAAGTCCAGAATATCTTCAAGGCAACTGATTGGGGGAAATTGCTGTTTTTAGCTCTTTGCCTGTCTGTCTCTATCTGTCCTGAAAAATTTGGTTTGCAAATTTGATGTGATAGATATGCAATAGCAGTAAGTGGATGTTATTGGCTGGTCAATGATGTATCTTTCTCTCTAACAGAAACCACTGGCAGTTCTCTTTGTAATAACATTACATTTCAACTTAGAGCTTCCAAATATACATTGGGTACCCATTTTCCTCCGAAGGGCTGAAAGCACCTCTGTCTCTCTCTGTCTCTCTCTCTCTCTCCCTCCCTCCCTCCCTCCATCTCTCTCTCTCTCTCTTTCTGTGTGTGTGTGTCTATGTGTGTGTTATAAACTATATAGGGATTAGAGATTTAAAAATAGAAATGATAGATAGGTAGATGAATAGATAGAGATAGAGATAGATAAATATAGAGATATATAGATGATAAACAGATGATAGATAGATAGATAGATAGATAGATAGATAGATAGATAGATAGATGATAGATAGATAGAGTGCTTTTTTCTAAAAAAAAAAAAAAAAAAAGGTGCCGGAACTCACACATGTCATACAACCCGCCTTGCCTACCCCACAAGGTTCCATCCAAAAAAAGTGCCGGAACTCCATTCTGGGCGTTCTAGGAGAAAAAAAGCCATAGATAGATAGATAGATAAATAGATAGATAGATAGATAGATAGATAGATAGATAGATAGATAGATAGATAGATAGATAGATAGAGATAGAGATAGACCTGCAACTTTCCTTGCCATTGGCTACTGTTGGCTAGATTTCCTTGGGATGTTAGGTGACCATTAACTCCTAAAAGGCCATATCTTGCTTATTCTCCTCCGTTACTTCCTCCCAGCAAAAGAAACCAGCAAAATCTAACAACATCCTATAGGTAGCTTTGCTCTTAGCCAACTGCCACCAAGTTATCCTGTAATGATCCATTTGGGTCACAGTGCCATCTCACGGAAGTGGAGGCAGACCCATGAAGACAGACCCTTGGACTAGTATTTTGTAGTAGTATTTTGCCCCCTTTTCTATGCAGCTATGTCAAAAACTACAGGTGTTTTGGGCGGACATTTCAATTGATGGACACTGATGTCCTTTTATTAAGGGCTGTGGCCATTTGCCCATGCCAAAGCAGTGTGCCACTTGGATGGTTTTATGTCTTGCATTTTCAGAATGATTAAAGCAAGGAAAAAGAAGGGGGCAGACAGGATTGTTCCTGATTGGCTCCTGGGCAAGTAGAAATTGCAATGCAATTGAATGTTCATTTTGCTAACAAAAGAGAAACAGCAAGTCAGAACCACTGATTAGGGGAACAGCAAAGCCTTTATTCTAACAAATCAGCCCCAAACCCTGTGTCTTTTCACACAAAATGAAGCATTGTTGTTCTCTAGCTTGTACTTCTGATCTGCTCTGGGCTAGCTTTCTATAACAGCTTCAGCATTTGGCCTAAGATCAAATATCTTTATTACAAAGATGCTTATTATTATTATTATAGGCATTAAACCACAGAGACAAATGGCAAATAATGTAGTTTATTACTGCCTTTCTTATGTTCCTAGGCTGGTTAGGTTAGGAATCAGGAGTAATGTTATAAAGATGCCTCGATTGTTCATATCTTTTATTAGTTTATCGAAATATAAAATACAGAGATTCAAAGAAAAAGAAAAATAATGGAAAAATAGGGGAGGCAAAGGGGACAAGTTAAAAAGTGTGAGGTAAAGAGGAGAAGAAAAAAAGCATTAACTTCTGACTCCTGTTGGTGTAATAGAATAAGAAATAACATCCAACCTCAGCTTTTTACTTTTATATAATAATATATACTATCCATTTCTATAACAACAAACCGATTTAATCAGCAAAACCCTGAATTTAAATTTCAATTTTTTCCACCTCGAGCACAAAGTCCAAAAGATGCCTAACCTGACCTTCTAAAATGATGAGAGATATCCAGAGTGTTAATTTGAGTCTCTCTCTGTCTCTCCACATACACACTTTCTTCTTAATTCCCCCATGTCAATATAGTTTTTCATTGCTTTCCACCCATTGAAGAAAATAGTACAGCCAATGTGTGAATAGCAAAAAAATCCCCAGCACTAAAATAAAGGTAAATATGACATGACAATTGATTATTTGTATTGACCTAATTGAAAATATAGAGCACTTCCAGTGTTGCCCTATACCAGAGGTAGGCAACCTTGGCACTTTTATGACTCGTGGACTTCAACTCCCAGAATTCCTGAGCCAGCATTTCTGGGAGTTGAAGTCCACAAGTCATAAAAGAGCCAAGGTTGCCTACTCCTGCCCTATACTATGATTGGGATCTTCTCCATTGCTGAGGTCTTGGACAATTTCATGAGGACAAGTGTCCTCATCTCTTCTATTTACAGAAGATAACTTTTGCCATGGCCAAAAGTAAAATCTTTAACTATGGCGAGCTACAGTAAACCGCTTTTGAATGGGTTCATCCAATACATTAAGTCAAAAGCCCAGCGTTGGATTCAATACAATTCAATCTCAGAAAACACTCAGTTGCTGGGATCAAAACTAGACTTAGGCATGTGTCATCTCTTCTGCGGGAGCTGAATTGGCTGCCAATCTACTTCTGAACACAATTCAAGGTGCTGGGTTATCATCTTTAAAGCCCTACATGCCTTCAGGCCAGGCTATTTGAAGGACTGCCTCTCTCCTATTGCAGCCACCCAACTCACTAGGACAGGAAGGTAGGGGTATTATGGGTCCCTTCAATCAGGGATTGTCATCTGGTGGGACCACAAAAAAGGGTTTTCTCAGTCATGCCCCCTTCTTTATAGAACATCATTCCCCCCAAAGTACGGTTGGCCCCCACCCTGTTACATTTCCCAAAAGCCCTAAAAACATGGCTTGGTCAATGGACTTGGGAACCACAAACAGAGATGGACCCAATCAAGGGAGTGATTTGATTGTGTTGTTGCTGCCATGGGGGTGAGGGTGGGATTATGGGTTTTTATTATATGGTGGGTTTTTTGAATATTGTAAGCCACCAGAGTCAGCTATGTGGGAGTTGGGGGCTACATAAATTTGTTTTAATTAATTAATTTGTGGCCCATTCTTTCTCAATCTGATTTCCACTAACTCAGTGGTTCTCAACCTTTTTAATGCCGCGACCCCCAACCGGTCGTAAGTCGAGGACTACTCAACCAGTCGTAAGTCGAGGACTACTCAACTGGTGCAGCACCGTTTGCAGAATGGGACTTTTGGCGGGCTCAGCAGGGCAGAGACAGCCTGGACAATTCCTATTGGCTTTTGAAAGCCAATAGAATTAGACTCTATTCAAGAGAGTCTATTCTATTGGCTTTCAAAAGCCAATAGACTAAAAGAGAGTAGCACAGCTAAGGAAAAGGGGGAAAAATGGCGGACTGTGTTGTTTGGCGACCCCCGTGAAATGGTCGTTCGACCCCAAATGGGGTCCCGACCCACAGGTTGAGAACCACTGCACTAACTCTTTCTGATGTACATGGTTTTTTAATATGCAAAGTAGCCTCTGATATTCTTACAGAATGTTCTTCCTTTATGCGTTGTCCTTTTTTATCCCTTCAATCTGCCTTTTCTTCCATGCTAGGATTCCCACAGGGATTCTTTCAAGTTTTGAGCATCTCAGCTCAGGCCCTTTTTCTGTTTCCTCTTTTTGCTGGGTAGGAACCTGGATCTACGTTCTGCTCTTCCTGCCTTGTTGGGCATTTTTGTGCAGACATGAATACCAGCCGGGAGATAATGTTGGATCAGATGGTCTGTCCAGCTGGTTTGCTTTGCCCTGGAGGACTGGCAGCTGTTCCCAAGGCTGAAGAGCACGCTTGTCCAAGAGGCTACTACTGCCCACCAGGCAACGTGGTGAGTATTCTTCAATTGATTGTCTTTTCTCTTGAATTTTCATCAAGGCTTTTCCTTCCCCCAAAACAACATCTGTTTGCCCCTTGCGAATGCATTTAATCAAAGAGAGGAATCAGTGCACGTATTCCAAACTGCAGTTTTTTTCCAGTGTGAATATTTGTTTTCCGAATGCCTAGAACAGGTAGAGAATTTTTAAGATACTATTCTCTTATTGTAAAATGAACATTTGCACTTTCTCGCAAGCTGCATGTAGACCTGTTTGCCTTTCAGGAGGTGAAATAGAATGGAAGCTTAGAAAAAATATGGATTTCAGAATGCGCAAGTGTTCTATCTTCTCCCTTAGGAATTCCAAAATTCCAAAATCCTACTATTTACGTAAGCACTCCTGATGCAAGAAACTTTTACTCTTCCCCTCAACAATGTGATGCAAAATGTATTAATTGATTTAATTTAATTTAATTATTATACTTATATGCCTCCCGTTTTACTGATAAAGTGACTCTAGAAAGCTTAACAAACAGTAAAATGATAAATATAAAAAAACAATTAAAATTAAGGAAAGTTACATAAAGACTAAAATTAAGGAGACAGATGGCAGGAGGGTGAGATCATCTTCTTATCCCATCAACCACCTCCAGTGCCCCCTATGGGAAGCCCACTTTAACTCAGTGCCTGAGCTGGAAAAACTTGACAATTTCCATAACGACAGCAAAGTTCAAGATTTTTAAGCAAGCGCTTAGTGAGCTCTTAGCATCCACACTGCTTTCTTACATTCTGTGATTAAAAGGAATTCAATCTAGAGAAATGTGGTGCAAGCAATCTACTTGATAGGATATAATGGCCTTTAACTTCCCGAATTTGTTTTACAAAGTTGTTGCATGGAAACCTGCAAAGAAAATCTATCAGAACCACAGGTATTTTCAAGGATAATTTGAGAACTGAGGTGGAAAGGGGAAAATGAATCAGTTTTAAACAAAGAAAGTGAACACAAAGAGCTTGGAGCATTTTAATGTGTCATCAGCATGTGCTATTGTGCCACCATTGTTTGCTTTAAGAACAGCTTCAATTCTTTCTTTTGCATCCAGTATCCTCATGCAAAGCCATGTCCTAATGGGACTTATGGGAATCAAAGAGGGTTAAACAAAGCAGAGCAATGCTTGCTATGTCCTATGGGCAAATATTGTTATGAAGAAGGACAAGAACCCCCTGGAATATCCCAAATTGTGAGTACCTGAGTGATGATGTCTCAGTCAAGGGACTCCAGTCTTGGTTATCTATGTCCTCTCCTGGACGTTCTTCCCTAATTTCAATCCATGCATGTCTTTCCATCTCTCTTCCGATACCAGACAGTGGTCTTCCTATCTCCCCCAACCCTTTGTATCTTGCAGACTGAGATACTTTCAGACGGCCAAATCCAAGTAACCATCACATTGGGCCAACTAGTTTCTTCGGAAGACTTCATTTGGAGAGAGGGAGGGTAAAATGAAGATAGGACCCCCTTTTTGTTAATGTCATGTGTGATACTCAATTTGTGGAGCTTTTATACTCCCAGGCTTTGATTCGTTGATTAGTTCAGTCATAATGATTTTGTGATGATCAGGTTGAGCCAGAAGGAGGGGTCAAATGCATCATTAGTCTTGAGTCCCTTCACACCCACATGAGATCCAAATCCAGCTCACCTTGAATTCCATTGGCTCTTATCTACCACCTATTTGTTTGACTGTAGTAATTCAGAAATAATAAGCTTGCAATAAATCTTTAAATTCATTTGAACTGCCTGGATTTCCTTGACCGATTATTTTACCAGTTTAAACAGCCATTGCTAATACACTTCTCCCATTCAAATAAGCACCTCCTCTTTTCAGATTGTACTGTGCTCTTCATAGCTACTAGCTGAACTTCATGTAATTGACAGCAGAGGCATATGTGTGGTTAGGTATGAAATACCAGGTCCACAGTGAAGGTTCAATAATTGATTTCTTGCTTTAGCCTATGCACAAGAATCTTCTTAACTAAGAGTTAACATTTGGTTAGAGATAGATAAAGGCCAATGGCATTCAAGGAGGGTTGACCTTAGTTTGTTTGTGGCAACATAGGGATTCTAGACTGATCCCTCTTTTAACTCTGCCCCTGGTTCTGCCAGTCCTTCTCCTACACGTGTGTCTGTTTTCTTGTAGACTGGAGATTGCCCCTTGGGTTATGCATGCCCCACAGGGACGGGGTTCCCCTTCTCTTATCCATGTCTACCTGGCTTCTACTGGGATAATTCCACTCTGAATGGAGGAGATGTATGCCAACCCTGCCCAGCTGGATTCTACTGTGATTCTGAAGCAATGATTCTACCTAAAGTCTGTCCAGTGGTAAGTTGATAGAAAACAAAATATTTGTTGCAGATAAACAGGACATGGCGTGCTTCTGTTCAGGATGCCGAGCATCAAATCCTTTTCCAAGAAACTGCAGGTCTGTTTTCTATCTTCTTTGGAACTTCTTTGTTCCTCTAATAGTCAGGTCCTTCAGCCTCTGTTGGACCTAATTAGAAATTCTTTTTCCCACCTAAGAGGCATTTTCTCTCTTCTTTTATTAGGGAAGATGTTCTTTTGCTTGCATGAGGATTTGCAGATAATGAACTAAATTGGATTGAATAAAGGAGAATATTTATAGCTCAGGCTTGAGATGAGGGGTTCTTGGTGCATTCTGAGCTTAGGTGTTTACTTGCAAATGTTTCATTACCCAAACTAGGTATAATGATGTTGCCAGTCCCAGTAATGAAACATCTGCAAGAAAACAACCAAGCTCAGAAAGCACCAAGGACCCCTCAAATTGGATTTAATTTACAGGAAAGACACTAACAACAGACACCAATATTGTCTTTGTTTTTCAGGGGTTTTATTGTCCTCCTGGTAGTGCACAGATTGAAGCTTGTCCAGAAGGAACTTATGGAATCAGGAAGGGGTTGAGAAACCTCCAAGAATGCATCCCCTGCAGAGCAGGTTTTTTCTGTGCCATTCCAGGACAGAATACCCCGAGTGGCCGGTGTGAGGCTGGATTTTATTGCTGGAGAAGAGCAGTGTCTTCGGTAAGTCTGACTCTTGCTTAGATATTTGCTGTCCCTCTCACCATACACATTCCCAAGAAAAAATAGTGACACATCTACCTCTGTACATATTTGTCTGCCCCACTTAATTATGCAAAAACCCAACTATCTTGAGAAATGCTGGGAAAAGTAGAAGGAAAGAGAAGAGGACAGCCAGAAGCATAGTGGATAGATTCAATTAGGACAGGAATGGGTAGGCTGTGGAAAGAATTAAAGGGCCAGGTTCATTCTGGAGAAGATCTATGTGGTCAGGAAGATGACACCAGCCTGATGGCAGATGATCCATCACTTCTACTTGCATTCAGTAATTTATAGCATTGAAAGGAATGTATATTCAATCCAACCTCCTCTTTCCCTCTGCCTTCAGACCTCAAATATAAAAGTGATACTGACTCCTAAGAAAGTGATATTCAGCATTACTCTCTATGGAAAATTAAATATGAAGGAATGCCTCTGTCCTTCATCATCTTTTCCTCTGGTATATACTGTATATGTAGCTGTGTAGCTCTTCTTCTCTTTCAGATGCCCACCGATGGAGTCACTGGGAACATTTGTCCACCAGGCACATATTGCCCCATTGGGTCATCTGCACCCATTCTCTGCCCCGCAGGAACCTACAGTAACACCAGCGGGTTGAGATATCAGAAGCAATGCTTGGACTGCCCACCTGGGTGAGTGCCAGCCTTCCCTTGACCCGATGAACTAATTCTACTTCATTGTAAGGCTACATTAACAGAATCATGCAGGTCTGAAATTACAATTCTCCCGCTGTCTCTTTTCAGCCTGAGAAGTTAGACAGGATCCTTTCTGAGTTTTTTTCTCTGCCCATTATACAGCTGCAGACTGTGCCTTCTCTTACCTGATCACTCCCTAGGCAGCATCTCTTCCCCTCTTCCCAAAATCATTCCCACATACTATTGCAGTGAACAGATGCTGATCCTGAAAGAAGTAGAACTCAGCTTTACAATATCGCGATCACCCACAATCTTCGATGTGTTGGACAACTGAAAGGCATGTTGTCAAACACACTTGGAGGATACTCACCTAGGGAAACTGGACTAGAAACCTGCAAGAAAGTTGAGTCAGATGACAAACATAATGTGAATAACTCATGAAATATACTCTACAAAGTCTACACGCTAAGTATTATATTTGTTGGAAATGGAATTTCAGTATTCTGGTGCAAGCTTCCAAATTTACATAACTATTGGGGAAATACAATTTCTGTTATAATGTATGAGATGCATTAATTCTCCTGTTTCATGTTTCAAGGTGATTTGGGGGAAAATGGTAATTGGAACTGAAGAATTAAGTTATGAGCCACGCTTAATCTCTGGTTGAAGTCCAGTGATGAATAGGGCTGCATGTCATCTAGATTGAACATATAAGAAAGCAAGGCTTGGCTGATCAGACTAAAAGTGTGTCTTTTTCAATATTTCTTTAATCTTTTTAAAGTCAAATGCCTCTGGAAAGCATACAAAGAAGGTCTCACAGTCATAATTATCCCATATTAGTTAGTTACCTTTCCCCAGTGCTCAATAGTCAGAGTTAAGTTATCTCTTTTTATGATTATGATTATTGAAAGCATTATTAAACTTAGCCTTCATCTATTTGTTAAATCCTTCTTTAAAACATCTGTATTACACTAGCTCCTTTTATTTTTTTCCATGGAAATACAGGATAAGAACATACGGTTAACCAAGCTGGGTTAGGCTAATCATTACTAATCATTACTGCATTTTCACCAAGGGCAAACAGTTGTTTCTTGTACCCACAATTCACAAGAAAACATACCCTCTTCCATTGTTGTCTGCAAATGTGATTTATAGACATAGCTACCCCCAATCCCAAGGTTACAGTGAATCATCCTTAATATACTTGTCCTCCGTGAGAGAGCCAGTTGAGTCTAGTGGTGAAGTCACCAGGCTAGAAACCAGGAGACCATGAGTTCTAGTCCCGCCTTAGGCATGAATGCTGGCTGGGTGACTTTGGGCCAATCAACAGAGGAGGATGAGTTCTAATCCTGTCTTAAGCATGAAAACTGGCTGGTTGACTTTGGGCCAATCAACAGAGGAGGGTGAGTTCTAGTCCCGCCTTAAGCATGAAAACTGGCTGGGTGACTTTGGGCCAATCGCCAGGAGACTGTGAGTTCTAGTCCTGCCTTAGGCTTGAAAACTGGCTGGGTGACTTTGGGGAAATCACAACTTTCAACATCAGGTTTGTGCAAACCAATCTGTCAGTTCCTATCGCAATCAAAGTATCACTATTCGGTGGATCCGAAAAGTCAATTCTGCACTTGCAGAAAAACTCTCAGAAGAAAAAAAAAAGCCCTTGTCCTCCATGAGTTTTTCTAGCCCCCTTTAAACCATCCAAATTATGGCACATCATAATCCTGGTACATACTATGGCTGTACCCATGCTAATATTCAGCATAAGTTAGTTTGCCTACAAAACGCAAGCGTGAGCAAATGAATACAACAAAGCTTTTGTTTTTTTCATTCTAATATTAGGCTTTACTGTGATGGAACAAATACCGTAGCTCCAACTGGGCCATGCAAACCTGGTTATTTCTGCACTGGCTCTGCCAGAACTTCTACCCAGATGATGGTCAAAGAAGGGCAGTATGCTCTGGAAGGGGCTTTCCAACCAGAACTGTGCCCACCCGGGACTTTTCAGCCGGTGAGAAGAATCGACAGAATACAAATGACTGTACTGAAGCTTCAGTTAGCTAATAGGCAGCAAGGATGTTTTCAGCATGAAGCACCGAATGAGAAGATAGGCTTATTTGTTTTGGAGTGTGCTGATGTACAGCCCTAATTAGGAATAAAAAGCAACATAGGAAAGACAGCCTAGCAGTTAATGACAGTCGCTTTGGGTGATTAAACAGGAAGTTGGCTCATCTTTTGATATCTTAAAAAAAAAAAAAGCACTTGCTTTGAGTTGTTAGGCCTGCTACTTTTTTTTCATAACCAATGACTTGACTAATTGCTTAAAAGGCAAATTATCAGGCTATTTTAAATCTGTTCTGGGTTCACGGTCCTGTGTCTCATCTGCATAGAATAATACTTACTGCCTTGCCACCTTCTGCTTCTCTTCTTCTTCTTAGCTCCCCCTGAATGGGGGTCAGCAAAGATGGTCATGAGCTAAAGAAAGTCGCTCTGGAAGGACCTCAACCTCAGCTCTTTCACCCCATCTCAGAAGTATTGAGCCTCGGGATTCAGGCTTTTTGAGGCTTTTGTTCAGTGAAACCTTAGTGGGATTTGCCCTTTCAACCTCCTCTCCTTTGTATCCTTCCAGAGCCTGGCTCAATCTTCCTGTAGAGAATGCCCAGCTGGCATGTTTTGCAACCAAACTGGTCTGGTGGAACCATTGGCTTGTCCCAAAGGGCATTTTTGTCCATCTCGAAGCATCCTGCCTCTTCTTTGTCCACTGGTAAGTTCTAAATCTATGGAAACCTCTCCAAAAGCAATGCTGTACATTGCTCCTTCCATTACATACATTGGAAGTCCTCAGATTACAGCCATAATGGAGCCTGCCTATCATGGTTGCAAACTGGGTCATCCACATGACTGAGCCAATTTTACAACCTTTTTTTGTGGCAGTTGTTAAGGAAACCCCACAGTCATTAAGTGACGTGATGGTTCACTGGGGGGTCAACCTCGCTAAAAACTGGAAGTCAAGGCCGGTTTTCTGCAAAAGAATCACAAAGCAAGTTACGTCACATTGCAAAAAAATGGTGGAGTGATAGCGCGGTGGTTAGAATGCAGTACTACAGGCTAAGTCACTACTCACTCCAGGAGTTCGATTCTGACCAGCTCAAGGTTGACTCAGCCTTGCATCCTTCCGAAGTCGGTAAAATGAGGACCCAGATTGACGGGGGCAATAGGCTGACTTTGTAAACCGCTTAGAGAGGGCTTCAAAGGACCCTCAAGTGGTATATAAGTGACTCTCAAGCGCCAATGCTATTGCTATTTGGGCCAAGTGCTGAGCACCGAACAAGTAGCCATATGACCATGTGGAGGGAGCGGCCATTGGAACTTCAGAACCAGGTTGTAAGTCCTTCCAGGTACATCTGTTGTAACTTCAAATGATCACTCAATGACCAAGTAAGTAAGTCAAGGACAACCTGTACTTGGCCCTTAAGAAAACTTCCAAACCTTACAGAAGAGCACATTGGTCAATCAATTGGCTAAGTCAAGCGATTGATGTACCAACAATTTCTTTTATTCTGGGGCTACAGTCTATGGCTGTCCTGGAAATTCCAGTGAATATTGAAAATTCAAACCCAAGTTCTAAATTTTCCATGTACTCATACAATCTTGGATTTCTGGTTTGAAAGTTCAGTGAGTGAAATAAAATTGTCTTTTAGGTGCCTGTCATTTCCTCCTTTTTGATTTAGGGCACTTATTCAGATACTTTACATGGCACTGGACCAGGGACCTGTAAGCAATGCCCAGCGGGCATGTACTGTAGCAAGTCCGGCTTGGTGGCACCTGAGGGACTTTGCCAGCCAGGTTATTATTGCTTCCAAGGATCTACAAATGCATCTCCAGTAAGTCGGTGCTAATATCCCCTAATATCCTGCTTTGTTTTGATAAGCTTGCAACCATTTTTCAGTGGCCAAGATAATGCCAGTGACTCCTTCCAGACATAAGATTGGAGAGGTTCAGTTTGAACAATTCTCATCTGTTTTACATTCAACATGAGTAAATCTATCCTAGTCAATTCTGCAAAAGCAGAGAGGTCTGTGAAAAATGAGTCAAGTGGGCTCCACAATCTGCCTTCAAGGAAGGGCCAGATTCAAAGTTTGGCGTCTCCAGTCCTGAAAAACCTTGACTGAAAACCTGGAAAGATTGCTTGTCAATACTGACAAATGATCTGCTTGAATTCAAGGCAACTTTTGAGACTTTCATCACCGGTTGTGTATGTCCAAGGCCAGTTTCAGATGATTGTTTTCTAGGAAGGAATATTTCCAAGTTTCTGTGCTCTATCTTGGAGGTGAAAATGCAGAAAAGCAGAGAAAAACAAAGCAGATTTGAGGAAATCGTGAGCAGGCAAGAAAGAGATCCAGTTGCTTGAAAGTTCTGGTATCAAACCGTGACAATTCTAGGATAATTTGAAATAATAAAAATATTCCTCCTTGTTCCTTTGAGAAGGAAAATCCTTGTTCCTTCTCAAAGATGCTATGAGACACTTCCTGCCTTCCCGCAAAACTGAGAACTTGGCAGCAGTTGTCCAGGAAAGGCTTGATCAGCTGTATGTAACCTTGGACCATCCCTGATCTAAACCCTAAGTAGTTCCCTCAAGTTTTGAAGACTGCATGTTTTGCATTAGAATGACTTTCTAATGTATACATTGGTTTCTTTCTCTTTCGTAAGACTGGACTTCCCTTTGGGGGTCTATGTCCTGCTGGGCACTACTGCCCAGCTGGCACCAAAGACCCCAGGGAAATGCCCTGCCCTGTTGGGACATGGAATGAACAGAAAGGAGGCCGGGATTCCACCTGGTGTCGACTATGCCCACCTGGATACTTCTGTAGCAGCCCCGGCCGTGTTTCCCCTACAGGACCTTGTGCTCCAGGTGAGAAGATAACGTTGAAATTGCAAGCGCGTCTTTGATTGCAATTTGGAAAGGGACTCTTGTAATGCCGTTCCTTCCCCAGAGGAAAGTTGACAGCTTTGCTTATGTAAGTGTTTTGGCTTACTGTTGCATCCCACTTTAGTCATTTCAGCTTTGCAGTGTTAATGAATTGAATTTAGGTCTGTACTTGGGCTAGGAAAGCTATGGGTTCTAGTGCATTTGAAGCTGTGAAGCCCACTTGACAGTAGCTTTGCTCTCTTTCTCTTGGATTACTTGGACTCTAAAGATAATTATCCTAAATCAAAATGTAATTTAGAGAGGTTGAGTCCTGGATTTCAACAGAGAAATTAAGCCTTGAGCTGTTATATTTTGTTATACTTCCACCTACTTCGAATTTTAATATAATACGCATTGTAGACACGTCCTAACCTATTGATTGCCAGACTTTTTGGAGGGTAGCTACTTCTAGAATTTCAGCAGTAGGAATCCTGGGAGTTGTGATACTACACAGCTGCAAAACACCTGAATGGGAATGCTGGAAAGGTGAACCATCTTTTCTGTTCCTCTTAATTTTTGTTGCAGTGCGTAGTATTTACCTGCCGGTTTGTGACAAAAAATTTAATTCTTGAGTCAAGGACAATTTGCAAATGGATGCCTAATGGAAAACTTTAAAAATATGAAAGTTTCGTGTTTCCAGAGCAGATCTGTGTTTCTGCCTTCTTCTGCAACCAAATATGATTTAATGCAATTCATTTTCCTCTTCTTTCAGGGTTTTACTGCAGGGGTGGGACACGTGCAGCAAGACCAATGGACAGAGTAACTGGAGATCTGTGTCCCGAAGGTCACTTCTGCCCTGTAGGGTCAGCCATGCCATCTCCATGCCAAGATGGGGAATACAGTGCAATAACAGGTCAGCTGTGAAAAGAAAGATTCATGCTTTGCTAGTAATAATTGCTGATTGAGTCTAGCCGACTTCTTTCATTTTAACTTCAGAGGCTCAAAAATGAATCTAACAATGCCCCCCCCCCCAAGTATTCAGAATCTATTCTGGACTTATTAGGAAGCCATTTCAAATTCAATCTAGAACCTCATTGGTGCCTCTTTGGATGTTCTCATCCTCCTCCAGTAAGCCAACCTAGATGGGATCTCTACTGAGATGTTACATTACAACACAACACACTGTACTACACTAAGTAGAAAGAAGCATGGAAAAGCAGCTTTGTGATCTATGTGTAGTCCTGATAAGGCTAGATAAGATCTTCAGATTTAAGCCAAAGGAGAGTTTAATTGAATTTACAAAGAAGAACCAGGAAGAGAAGACAGTGGCTTGGTTTATCTTTTCTCTCTCCTCCCAGGTCAAGATGAATGTTACCCTTGCCCAGCCGGTCTTTATTGTAAAAACGGTGTCAGATATCAATGTCCACCTGGATTTTACTGCCCTCCAAAGACTGGGGTCTCCTTTTATCCCTGCCCCCCTGGGACTTATAATCCATCAGCCGGTATTGACCAAGCTCAGAGATGCCAGCGATGCCCATCAGGTAAGCTCCCCCATCTCTGAAACAAAAGCCACTCTCATTTCACTTAAACGTTGAGCAAGATCTCCAAGGCTGAGGATTGGATGTTGTTCCTTCAAAACATAGCATTTGCCTTGTTGAATGTGGCAGGGCCAGAGCAGAATATGCTTATCTCAGCTGGGGAAAAGAAATCAATTTTACTTTATTCAAATAGCTTTGTAAGTTGAAAATAGATTATTTGTGTTTCTGCCCAGGGATGTTTTGTGGGGAATCAGGATTATCTTCTCCCAGTGGTCCCTGTTTGCCAGGATTCTTCTGTAGTACAGGTACAGATTGTATGTATCTCCTCTTATTTTAAATTCTAGCTGTAGGTATGCTTTTTTTTAAAAAAAAAAGAGTGGAAATGGATGGTGCATCTTATCTAGATAATCAATATTCTCCAAAGCATCTGAAGGCAGGACAAGAAGCAACAGATGGAAACTAACCAAAGAGAGAAGCAACCTAGAACTAAGGAGGAATTTCCCAACAGGTAGAACAATTAACCCATGGAATAACCTCCCTCCAGAATCAGTGAATGCTCCAACACTGGAAGTTTTTAAGAAGAGACTAGACAGCCATTTGTCTGAAATGGTATAGGGTTTCCTGCCTGAGCAGGGGGTTGGGCTAGAAGACCTCCAAGGTCCCTTCCAACTCTATTACTACTACTATTATTATTATTATTATCAATCATCGCACAGTCAGCCAGATGTTCAGACTGGATTTGGCATTTTGTCTACCTATCGAGTCCTTACCCAGGACCTGGGATAGGCAGAAGTAGATGTTTGATGGTATTATAGGTATCGTCGCAGGATGGAAGCAGTTCCTAATAAGGCCGCCTTTTGCAATTGACTAATTGTCAATGCCAATGGTGTTCAAGTGGTGCTCCCAAAGCATGGTACTACCCTTGCCAAGTAGCCAGGCATGGAAACTTGGAGAGAGAAGCCCTAGAACTAAGGAGGAATTTCCCAACAGGTACTTTGCATAGGCGGCACTTACTGTCTGTTGCTGTCTTCTCAATTTTGACTTTGTATGCATTTGTCCTTAAAGCTTGGTCTTGTGCAGCCAGAATTATCTTCAATTTTCCTGCTCTTAGCCATTGCCAGGTTTTATTATTATCTGCTTTCCCAGCTATTTTTTTAATGTATTGGCCATGTAGTGCTTTGTCTTCCCATGCCTCTATTTTGTTCTTCATTTGGTCTTTCTTGTAGGCCAGTTTGGTCTCTCCAGTAGTTAGTAAGCCTTCCTGATATACTAATTTCAGTGCATCTTCATCATTGTTCTTCAGATATTCTTCCAAAGCCATTTTTTCTTCTTCAACCATCTGATGTACTTGTAGCATTCCACGCCCACCTATTTGCCTTGGTAGATAAAGTCTATCAATGTCACTGCGTGGATGAAGGGCGTGATTCATTGTCATTATTTTTATGGTCTGCCTATCCATTGCTTTTAGTTCTGCTTGAGTCCAGTCCACTATTCCAGCTGTGTACCTAATGACTGGGATTGCCCAGGTGTTGATTGCCTTTATGGTATTTCCTCCATTGAGTTTGGATTTTAAGATCTTCTTCACTCTCTTGATGTATTCACCTCTAATCTTTTTCTTGACTTCAGTGTGCTTGATGTTGTCAGCTTGAAGGATACCCAAGTATTTGTAGTACTCTTCCTCATCCAGACTCTTAATGTTATTTTCGTGGGGCATCTTGATTCCTTCAGTTTTCACTATTTTTCCTTGTTTGATAGTAAGTGTGGCACATTTGTCCAAGCCAAACTCCATTACAATATCTTGGCTATATATACGGACAGTGTTGAGCAGCGATTCTATTTCAGATGATGTTTTTCCATACAGCTTCAGATCATCCATGTAAAGGAGTGGGATAGTCTAGCAGATGTTTTTGATGTTTGATCATGTCCTGAGTTATTCAGTATTGTTGACAGAGGAAACAGTGCAATAACAAATAGTAATGGTGATAATGAATCTCCTTGAAATATTCCTCTCTTGATATTAACCTCTCCCAGCTTTTCACCATTGATCTGCAACTGTGTCTTCCATTGTGCCATCGATTTTGCACAAATTTTCTGATGTTTCTACTTACTCCTGTTATTTCTAGGCACTTGATTATCCAATCATGTGGCAGAGAGTCAAATGCCTTTTTGTAGTCAATCCATGCCACATTCAGGTTGGTCTTCCTTTCTTGCAGTTTTCCAAGATCATTTTGTCTATTAGGAGTTGATCTTTTGTTCCTCTGCTATTGGGGCGGTTTCCTTTCTGCTCAGGTGGAAAGAGATTGTTTTCAACTAGATGCTGTTGTACTGCATCAGCTACCACACCAGTTAGTAATTTGAAAGTTGTTGGTAAGCAGGTAATTGGCCTGTAGTTGCCTGGTGTTGCCCCTTTTGCTGGATTTTTCATTATTAGGTAGGTTTTCCCAGTTGTTAGCCACTTTTCAATTTCTCCTCCTTGTATATATTGTTGGCTTGGCAATGAGTGGGTGTATAACAGTTAGATGTTTCAACCAAAACCCATGCAGTTCATCTTCACCTGGTGCTGACCAATTTTTGATTTTCTTTGCTCTTTTTTCTACCATTTTTGTTGTTATTACTAGTTCTTTCATTTCAACTTCTGTTTTATTTGCATCCACCTCTTTTAACCAAGCCGCATCCTTGTTGTATTTCTTTGGGTTATCCCATATCTGCTTCCAGAACTGCACTGTTTCTTCCTTGTCAGGTACTGACTGATTCCTTGCAGTTTCTCCATTGATGGATTGGTAGAAACGTTTCTGATTGGATTGAAATTGGAGGTTCTGCCTATAGTTTGCAATTCGAGCTTCATATCTACTGATTTTCCTGGCTATAGCTGTTATTTGTTGCTTTATTATTTCCAGTGCTTCCTTGATCTTCCTTGTTTCTAAGTGGTATTTCTTGATTAGGTATTCTTTGGTCTTCTTGTTCTTCAGCTTCTTTTCTTTCATCTGTTCTAGCTTGCTTGCATGTGATCTTAACTTGCTGATCTTATTTTCTAGTCTAACCTTCCATTTTTTGGTGCACTGTTTGTTTGTTTTTCTTTTTTGTTGATTTTGCATCCCAGGTATTCTGTTATAACTGCAGCTGTGCTGTACATTAGTTGGTTTGTTTCTTGCAGTGAATTGGTGCTTATACTTGATTGCAGTATTTGCATCTTTTAATGCTTGTGCTAGCTGTTTCTTTGGAACAAGCTTCAATGCAGGCAGCCTTATTCTGTTGTTTTTGTGCTGTTCTAGATGCTCAGTTATTCTTTGTTTCAATTCTTTTATTTCTTTAGTTAGAGGGTTTTGTTCTTCCTGAGGAAGAGGTGCCTGGTTTCCAAATGAGAACAGTTGTATATCTCTGCTGGATTCCTTCACTGCCAACTCCCCCTGGTTTGCCTCTACATTCTGAATTACTTCTGGTAAGGCTTTGATTTCTTTGCCCTGGGTAAACCTTTGCAGTTCGTCCAATTCTGTTTCTGTGAATACTTTATTTCGTGTTATAAATCGGCGTTGATCTGCTAGTCTCTGTTCTGTTATTTCTGATTCTGGATGTTGTTCTTTCCAGAATTGGTGCATTCGTTTTAGATATCCTCGCCTTGTTGGACTTGATCTGTAGTAACAGATCATTATTTCTTTGTTTTCATCACTGTGTATCTGCGACGGGTAAACACCTTTTCTTCCAGTAGTTCTGCAGCTGCTGGCCCTGGTTGCTCAGCCAACAGTCCTGAGTCCTGTAACCCATTTTTCACCAGATATCCAGGAACTCCAATATCTAGTGCGGACCTTGTTAACCCGGGCGACGTCCGAGCCGGTATGGCATTCTGAAATTTGCGTCTCACCATATTTTTTATGGGAGAGACACTCTTTGTCTGACTCCTCTGATGAGACCTGTCCAGTATGGTTGAACCTCTGGCATAGCTCTCATCTTCCTCAGAGTACACAAGCCCCACAACCACGTCAAGGTAGTGCCTCACTGGGGGATTATTATTATTATTATTATTATTATTATTATTATTATTACACAAACTAGACCAGGAATTCTGAATATCCTGGGCTAAACATAGAAAATCATTTCAGCAACCGGGATTCTGGGATTTCCCATCTCCTCCTTTCTCAACCTTCTCCGTGAAAATGCCAGTGATGGGCTCTGAGGTTTTCTGCAGGCAAAAACCAGGTGTTCTACCATTTTGCTGTAGCTGAGGTGGAATGGAGTCCTGGAAGGGAGGGGCTGCATTTCAGAGGACCAAGAGACAATGAAGTTTAGATAGTTTGGGTAGGAGGAAAAGGGTCAAGATGGCTCCTCCCTAATCATTCTCAAGAGTATATCTTTAATTATGCAAGTTGTTGCTTTAGTTTTGCAAGATTTTGGTTTGTAGCTGAGGAACCAGGAGGAAAAATGCTCAGAATAAACTCATCATGTCTTCCTTGCTTCTTGGAGTTTCTGACAGTAGCCCAATCTCCAACCATCTAACAGTTACTATTTGATGTAGACTTTTAAGCTACTTATCACCATTTCATTGCTAAAGCTCTCCTTTTTTTGATATTTGTTTTCTTGGCTTTCTTTCCAGGTTCCAGTGTCCCAAATCCTGATGGAATCACGAATATTAGTGCTGGAGGCCCATGTCCAGTAGGGCACTTTTGCCCAGTTGGCACTAGAATCCCCCTGCCGTGTCCAGCAGGTACTTTCTCAGACAGGTATGGCTCTTAAGAAATTATGGACTGTAATTACTTTGTCCTCTTGAGAAAAAAGTGCCAAACGTTATGGGTGTTCCAATGCTGAAGATTTTCAAGAAGAGATTGGACAACCATTTGTCTGAAATGGTATAGGGCAGGGGTAGGCAACCTTGGCTCTTTTATGACTCGTGGACTTCAACTCCCAGAATTCCTGAGCTGGCTCAGGAATTCTGGGAGTTGAAGTCCACGAGTCTTAAAAGAGCCAAGGTTGCCTACCCCTGGTATAGGGTTTCCTGCTTGAGCAGTGGGGTGGACTAGAAGATCTCCAAGGTCCCTTCCAACTCTTTTATTCTGGAAGAAAAGGGAAAAGGCATACATTGTTTGTTTTTGTGGATGAGCCAAGCATCAAGGCTCCTTCCAGATTGGCAGAGCCAGAAAAATTGATTTTGCTTGGTGAACATAATATTGGTATCTCTAACCCAAGCCACCAATATAGAGGGTCAAATTAGGGGTTTTGCTAGCAGACCCAGGTCTCCTGCTTGAGGAGGCAGTTGCTCTAGAACAGTGGTTCTTAACCTTTTTGAACAAATTGCCCCCTTGAGCCAATGAGGAAGTTGTCATCGCCCCCTTCCCCAACATAACCTCTCAATCACAACATAGGAAATAATTCTTCAATTTATGCAAACACTTTTTTTGTTTTCTTTAAAATTGTCATCAGGACATATTGATGCAAATAATTTATTTCCAGTCTTCTTCCCATATCTCCCATATTCTGGCCAATGGCGTGCCACTGTATGGGTAGAAGCTGCTGCGCAACGCGCATGAAGATAAGCGATGCGTTTTCACATATGTACGGTGTTCTGTACTGAAGCTAGCTGGAGGAACATTTGAAAACACAATTCAATCCACTAACAGCGATCATCTGATGTTTTTGTACGACAGCTATTCACTGTACGAAAAAGTCTCAAAAGTGTCCCCAAAACTTCTCACTCCATCGCCCCCATATCGCCCTTTTCATTCCTTCACCCCCACGTCACCCCTTTTCATTCCATCGCCCCCTTGAAAAATGAAATCGCCCCCTGGGGGGCAATATCGCCCAGGTTAAGAACCACTGCTCTAGAAGACTTTGAAGTCCCCTTCCAGCCCTATTATTCTATGTCCCATGAAATTAGCTGGGGATTATTGTCTCCCCAGACTGTATCTTTCACTTGAGACCAGCTGCATTGCATGCCCACCTGGGTATTACTGCTCCTCTGTTGGCCTCTCGTCACCCTCTGGACCCTGTTTGGCTGGTTACTACTGTCTGCCTGGAGCCACTTCACCTTCCCCAGCAGGTGAGAATGTCAGATGATGTCCTGCTGCATGTTCTGTCAAGCAGGGTGCAAATCCATCTCTTCTCTGCGGGAAGCCTCTATCAGATCTCACTCTTCTTCCCTTCCAGCCAAAAACCAGCTGTGTGGGTGTTAAGCTAACTCCATTCACATTCCCATCCTGCCCAATCTGGTCTGTAGCACTTAACAGATTAATCAGATGAATTGATTCAAACTGCTTTGTTTACTAATGAGGCATCCCAATTAATCAGGACGTGGTGATGGGTGAGCGGTTGCCGGCCCATGCGTATTAACGTGTGCATGTGCGTGTTATCTTTAATACAGGGTTATTCTCTCTTCCCCTACGGCAGGTACATGCATAATCTAAATGCTAAATGGGTATCACAGTGCAATCCTGTCCATATTTGCTTAAGAATATATCCTGATAGGGTTTGCTCCTACCAAAAGACCTGTGTAAGATTGCAAATGTAGGTAGATTTGATCCATTGATTACTCATCAAATCGGCTTAGTTTAAAATAATTTAAACTGGAGAAGGGGGAGGTGCTACGGGTCTGTCGCTTGCCTCAACTTGCTGGGGGAAAATAATAGAAAAAAAAAGAAGCTAATATAAAAATGGCTCTGGCAGAGCACTGTCCCAAATTGCAATATTCCACATCTTTTCTCCCCGAGTGAAGTGAAAACTAAACTGGGTTTAATTAATCTAAGAATCTGAGGATGGAGATTTATACATGTGTGCTGATTTTTGTTTTCAAGGTTCTCTCTCCCTCCCGCCCCCAAACTCTGCCATCCCTTTCTCTCTATTTCTTGAGGACTGGAAACATCATTGTTGATTTTCCCACTCTACTTTCTTCTAGGATTTCCAGAACAGGGAGGTTTTTGCCCTGTGGGTCACTTCTGTCCAGAGGGGACCAGCCACCCCCTTCCCTGTCTTGCAGGAACTTACAATAATCTCACCACACAGTCTGTTTGCTCCCCTTGTCCAGCTGGTTACTACTGCCCTGAAAACACAACCAGTTATGGTGGTTTCCCATGTCCTCCCGGCTTTTATTGCCCTGAAGGTAAGCTCAAAGCTGAAGTCCTTAAAAAAAACAAAAAACACACATTTTTTATGATGAACTGGAAACAAATTCCCATTGGTCCATTGGAGAAAAGAGGCGAATCTGATTTCAAAAGGGAAAAATACAGGGACAATGTTTCAGAGTTTCAAAACCTATCCAGATACAGGAGTGCCATCTGCTGACAGTTAGCTGCAGATGTGCAAAGCATCAGAAAGAAGCACATCATATAATCCAGGAGTCTTCAAACTTAGCCCTTTTATGACTTGTGGACTTCAACTCCCAGAATTCCTCAGCCAGGCACGCTGACTGAGGAATTCTGGGAGATGAATTCCACAAATCATCAAAGCGCCAAGTTTGAAGACCCCTGATATAAGCAGTAGGTTTCATGGCCTGCATCTGAAGGGTCTGTGAGGTCTCCTCACTTGATGGGATGTGGTTGATACTCTTGGTTATCGGCCTCATTCCTGCTTCAAGTAGAAACACGGACCGGATGGTGCAAGAGATGGGTGAACAACACAGAGTCTCTGGCAGTAGATGACCCCAGCATCTTAAGAGAAGAAGCACCAAAACAGATCAACTGAATTGAAGCCGTGCAGTTTCAGCTGTCTGCGGGAATGGAAAATTTTAAGGATGGAGGAGTGATATGCCTAGAGAGGTTTCTTGTTTCTATTCTCTTCTAAATTCCCCCTACACAGAGAATCAAAAATATGTCATCAGATGCTTCATGGATTCCTTCTAAGAGGCTGGGAGCTGCAGTTCTAAAATCCTCAAGCATTTCCATTTTCTGAAATAGAATTTCCTTCATTTATATCTAAAGTCTTTCAGAAGAGGTTGGGGTTGGGAAGCTGAGAAGAGCAGCAAGAGATGGATAGATGATAGATAGGTAGATAGATAGATAGATAGATAGATAGATAGATAGATAGATAGATAGATAGATAGACAGACAGACAGATAGATAGACAGATGATATATAGAGAGCAGATAGATGATAGATAGATGATAGATAGATAGACAGACAGACAGACAGACAGACAGACAGACAGACAGGTGATATATAGAGAGCAGATAGATGATAGACAGATATAGATAGATAGATAGATAGATAGATAGATAGATAGATAGATAGATAGATAGATAGATAGATTTGAAATGTAGTATTGGTTTTTGTTTGAAATCTTTTTATTGTTTATTTTGATTGTTGGATTTTCTTAGACTGACATGTCTCATCCTTTTTGTTTTCATTATCCATAGCCAACTCTTTTGAGCAACCAGAAAAGAGATCTATCAGTATTTTCTTTGACAATACTCTGTTCTATTTCTGCTAGCAGCAAACAAAGGGAAAGCCATTGGCTAGAAAATTCACATGACACAGGAGAAAAGGTTTTAGGCTAACCTTCCAGGAAAGCTATTGTTATTACTGTTTTTTAAAGTTTGTTACTACTGTTTTTGAACCCAGAAGTATTTGATTTAACCCAGAGCCTGTGTTCTGGATCTTAAGTTTACTTCCAATCTTACAATTAGGCCAAAAACGCATTGCAAGCATTACACTTTTGAGGAATGGTTTTGCCTCTCTTTTGTTGTGCCCCAAAGGAACCAGATATGCTATCCAGTTTCCATGCCCTCGGGGCTATTATAATCCAGACCCCATGGCACAAAGCTTGGATAGCTGCTTGCCCTGCCTTCCAGGATACTACTGTGGGAAGGAAAACTTAACTACGGTTTCAGGAAAGTGTGATGCAGGTGAGGTTACATATTGAAGAAGAAATGTTTCTGTACATCTGCCAAAATTATCCCCATCTCTATCTTTGTCCCCACTTTCAACACCACCTCCTTCTCCACCTCCACTTCAATCACCATCTCCACCTCCACCTCCATTTCTACCTCCACCTCCACCTCAATCACCATCTCCACCTCCACCTCCATTTCTACCTCCACCTCAATCACCATCTCCACCTCCACCTCCATTTCCACCTCCACCTCAATCACCATCTCCACCTCCACCTCCATTTCTACCTCCACCTCAATCACCATCTCCACCTCCACTTCCATTTCTACCTCCACCTCCACCTCAATCACCATCTCCACCTCCACCTCCATTTCTACCTCCACCTCAATCACCATCTCCACCTCCACCTCCATTTCTATCTCCACCTCCACCTCAATCACCATCTCCACCTCCACCTCCATTTCTACCTCCACCTCAATCACCATCTCCACCTCCACCTCCATTTCTACCTCCACCTCAATCACCATCTCCACCTCCACCTCCATTTCTACCTCCACCTCCACCTCCATTTCTACCTCCACCTCATTTTTTAAAACTAAGTCAATGATGATTTTATTAAAGAAATTAAAATGGATGTTTAAGTACCTGTCTCCTTTCGTTGGCCAAATTCAAAAGGATGTTGGGCTGTGTTCATTGAAAAGTAGTTGTTGATATTCATGTTCTCCTTCATTCTCCCCCAGGCTGGTTCTGCATTTCAGCTGCTTGGACCCCTCAGCCTTTTGATCTTGATAATTACACCAATGGCAACTGTCTTTGTCCAGCAACAGCCACAGGGGCAAAATGTTCTCCTGGGTTCTACTGTCCAGAAGGGAGCCCTGAACCCATTCTGTGCCCACCAGGACTTTACTGTAATGCACCAGGTAAAAAGGTACCTAGGCATAGGGACTGAAAATGTATGTGCTTCATTTCTGATTCACACCAGTTTTGAGTATGACATTAGAAGCTTCAGGTGTCCAGAAAATCTTATTTTAAAAAAAGATTTTTATACAAATACCTATCTGTCTGAAGTGTAGATTTTTTTTTATGTGCAAGAACCCAATGTTATTCTATGTTAAGTCGGGCTTCAAGGATACCTTGTCCAACAATGGTCACATTTTAGGAAAGTCTGGAGCAGGCTCAGAAAAGAATTATGAGGCTGATTTAAAAAGTTGAATTGTGGAGTCCTTGGTGCTCTCTGAGCTTGGTTGTTTTCTTACAGACATTTCATTACCCAACTAGGTAACATCATCAGTGCACTCCACCCTTCAACCCTGAGCTACAAATGTTCTCTTGTATCACAAATTAAAATTTGTACAAAGAATTTGAAGGATTCAGGGATGCTTAGCCTTGAGAAGATAAGTCTGATCACGTCAGTCTCTCTAAGTAATTGGAAAGATTTCTGTCATAGGAAAGTCATTATCTGTTCTTGGGCCATCCAAAGGGAGAAAAGCCAAGTTCTGGCCATAAGAACAATTGTTCCAGAGAGCTTGCAATCACAGTTTATGACAGAATGTGAGGAAATTTGCAAGTCGTCTTATAATTGCTTTTCTAATTGATTACTCCTGATACCCAGATATACAGTTTCTTGCATCATTAATCCTGATATTTTATTGTCATTTTTGTCGGCAAGCCATCTGGCAATCAATTAAGCAACGGATTGCACTTAAACACAAGTGAACATTACGCAAACATCAATGGAGTTGTCATTGAGCTATTGAAGGAAGAGTTAGATGATGGGCTATCACGGGTGGGTTGGGAGGACGGTAATCACAAAGACGATTTCCATATTGTGGTTTGGTTGGTTAAATGCATGGGCCTTCTGACTCCATCCCAACTCTTTGCTACAGAATATACTGTATATGTAAAGAACCCCATATATACACTGTACTTTACACACTGCGTGTATGCTTTTGAGTTAGTGTTCACTCCTAGTGACTGCCTGGAGAGTCTCTGCAATTTTGTCGGCAAGATTTTGGAAGTGGTTTGTCATTGCCTGTTTCCTAGGGCTGAGGGAGAGGACCTGGCCCAAGGTCATCCAGTTGCCTTTGTGCCTAAGGCAGGACTAGAACTCACAGCCTCCCGGTTTGTAGCCTGGTTCCTTAACCACTAGGCTCTCTTTAACTTTACAATCCTGCTCCGTAAATCCTGGCCCAGATGATGCATCCACCAATGGCTTGGCTGACCTCTCTCTCAGTTTGTTTATTATTGATTTACCTTTTCTTTGCTAATATTTGTGCAGCTTAATAATAAGGACCATCCTAAGCTTCTGTTTCTATTCTTTCCTGCTTCTTCCCCAGGTTTATCAGCTCCAAGCGGTGAATGTGCTGCTGGATTTCACTGCATTGGAGGGTCTCCTTCTCCCAAGCCCCTTGATGGGATTACTGGCAACCTCTGTCCTCCAGGGACCTATTGCCGTGAGTTGCATTCTCACTTGCCTGGATCCTTATAGTGATCAGCTTTCCAAAACAAAGAACCAGGACACATTAATTTATAAAATTGTACACATTTATTAATCAAGTCATAACCTCAAGGGCTAGCCTGGATACCATTTGGATGAAACTATCTGGACTGCAAAACTCAGAATTGCTATCAGATGATAGCTAAGAAATGTACAGTAGTTACTTCTCCTTGATGCCACCTAGTATATGTCTGGATTTTTGTAATTTGGATTTGGAGTATTTAGGGACAATAAGTGAGGGATTTCTATCTGTGGCTCACATGGGCATGCTGTTGCATACATACCTCTGGAAATTGTGGTCTTTCCTTAGTCTGGGAAGTGTGCCTGGTCTCCAGGACTCTTCTTCCAAAATCAGGATTATTCTGGCAAAACCAGAAATCTGGTCATTCTGTGACAGAAGGGTCTCCATGAAGTGTAGTTTCCCACAAAGCCACAATATGTGCAATGCAATTAATACTTACCACCTATATTTTCTATTCACTTATCATCTATAGCCTGAGATTTGCAACATAGTCTTTTCTACAACCTGCTTTTTCTGCAGGAGAAAAACACCCGGACAGCTTGAAGAAAGGATAGAATTAAAAAAATGTGGCACATCATATTTAGCAACTTTTTCCTTTTCTTCTTTTCCTGATCTGGATAGGAGAATCTGTAGCCAGAAGCTTAATAGAGGGAGAGGTTGTGCTTCAGGTTTAATGGCTATCTAACCCCTGTTTCTTACAACACCTTTTTTTCCCCAGCTGTGGGGTCTACGGCACCCAGCCTCTGCCCTCCAGGAACCTTCTCAAATCAATTTGGTCAAAGTGTGGTCTCTGACTGTCAACTCTGCCATTCTGGGTTTTACTGTGAAGGTTCTGGATTGACATTCCCCACTGGAGAATGCAAGGAAGGTAAGTGGACCTAGCATGAAGGTTAAGAAGACCTTCTACTAGGAAGATCTTGAAAAATCATGAAGGAGATGTTTAGATCTCAGTTCAAGAGGTGTTTGGCATCCAAGGCCTTCATCTATGATTGAAAAATAACTGCAGAGTTTTCCTCTCCCATTGGACTCAATCAGTGTCCAACCTCAATTCTCTACTTCCTTGTTCAGGTTATTACTGTGATAGTCAAGAAGGACCTATCAGCAATTACACCCTCTACCCTTGCCCGGAAGGTCATTACTGTCCCCCAGGGACACAGCGCTCCACACAGTTCAGCTGCCCCTTGGGGACTTTTGGAGCCAAACCAAAGTTAACAAACATCCTGGAGTGTCAAAACTGCCCACCAGGAAAATACTGTTCCTCTTCCGGATTGGCAGCACCAACAGGTAAGAGGAAAAAGAAGTCCAAAGTGATTATCAAGGATGGTATTAGTGTTTTAGGAAGCATATTTTGTATGTTCAGTGCCAGAAATGAAGAACTGGCCCTTTGCAAGTGGTTGAACTTCATGTCTCAGCCTAGTAACACAATGGGCAGAGTGACTAAGACTTATACTGAGAGTCTTTGACTTATGACCACAATCGAGATCCAAGTTCCATTGCTAAGCAAGGCAGTTGTTAAGTGACCTGTGCCTAATTTTATGACCTTTCTTTCTTGGCATGATGGTTAAGCAAATCATTGCAGTTAAGTGAATCATGCAGTCGTTAAGTGAATCCAGGCTTCTCCATTGGCTTTGCTTGTGGAAAGCCAGCTGGGAAGGTCACAAATAACGATCACATGATCTTGAGACATGGCAACCATTGCAAATGCATGCCAGTTACCAAGTGCCCCAATTTTGATTGTGTGATCTTGGGATTGCTGTGACGGTTATAAATGTGAGAAACAGTCGTAAGGCACTTTTTTCAGTGCTCTTGTCACTTTGAATGATTGTTAAGTTGAGGACTACCTGTCATTTTGCCACTCTGGAGAGCCACCGGTCCCCCATCCCTCAACTATATCCATTTCCTTCCACCTGGCATCTTCCAGCTGTGATGGGCTTCAGTTTCCATGACCCTCCAGCCAGCATCATCTTCATGCCCTCCCTGCAAGGGACAACATCAGGGGATTGTGTGAACGACACCTCTCTTCATTGTTGGATCATTCTGTGTGATGGAGACAGATTTTCTGTTACATTTAGGTGACTGTGCTGCAGGATTTTGGTGTAAGGGTGGAGCTCATGTACCGAACCCAGATGATGGAGTATCTGGACAGCCTTGTCCCGCTGGGCACTACTGCCTTTCAGGTACAGCAACCTCTCCTTCGGTTTGGCTCCTTCAAATGTCTCTACTTCACTGGTCAAATAGACCCATCTCTCTCTTTCTAGGAGCTCTCATTCCATTGACCTGCCCAGATGGAACATGGTCTGGAGATGAAGGGAGGCCAGACCTTCAGAGTTGCAAATCTTGCCCTGGGGGTCATTTCTGCAATAGCACTGGCCTTGTGTCCCCCTCTGGCCTCTGTGATCCAGGGTATGTACCAGAGATGTCTTCCCCTTTAATATAGAAAGAAATATGAACATTTCTGTCTACATATGTATGTGACAGATAATCAAACAGTAGATTCGGCTGCAGATATTAATGATCCAGTGGTTTTGTTTGTTTGTTTGTTTTTTACTTTCCTCTTATCTTATCCAGCCTTTTATTAACATTGGACATTCCTCTGCAAGTTTTGTCTTAACTCTCCCTGATCCTTAACGAGTTTGGTCTAGTGGTGAAGGCACCAAGCTAGAAACTAGGAGTCTGTGAGTTCTAGTCCCATCTTAAGCATTAAAAGCTGGCTGAGTAACTTTGGGCCAGTCCCTCTCTCTGTCTAGCCCATCTCACAGGGTTGTTTTTGTGGGGAAAGCAAGAGAAGGAAGGAGCATTGTGTGTGTTTGCCACCTTGAGTTACTTATAAAAATAATAAAGGTAGGATAAAAGCTTAACAGATAGATAAATAAATAAATATATCTTGGGGACCTCCACTCTGGCTTGTGGTCAATGGCTTGAGTAGCACTGAGCCCAAGATACGTAAGAATCTTTCTCGACATGGAGGCAGGATGAGAAACAATGGTTGGAAACTGATCAAAGAGAGAAGCAACCTGGAATTAAGGAGAAACTTCCTAACAGTGAGGCCAATTAACCAGTGGAACAGCTTGCCACAAGAAGTTGTAGGTGCTTCATCACTGGAGGTTTTTAAGACGAGGCTAGACAGTCATTTATCTGAAATGGCATAGGTTCTCCTGCTTGAGCAGGGGGCTGGACTAGAAGACCTCCAAGATCCCGTCCAGCTCTATTCTATTCTATGGTCCTGTTGCTGGGCTCCTTTTTCATGACTGCAAGTGACTTTACCCTCCCTCATTATTCACCAATATTTTTTTTTCTCTTGCTATGTTGATAGGTTTTATTGCATTGCGAGATCTACTACCCCAAGACCCACTGATGGGATTTTGGGTGCCCCCTGCCCTGTAGGTCACTACTGCCCCTCAGGCAGTGAGATCCCGACTCCCTGTCTTCCTGGCACCTATATGGCAGAGACCCATGGAAAAGAACGGTGCCCCTCATGTCCAGAAAGGAAGTACTGTATACCTGGTCATTTGCCACAGTTATGTCCCAAAGGTGAGTTTTCTAGTGGGCAGAGCTATTTTATCTATCAAAACTCTGGACTGCAGAGATTCTTACATCCACACTTCCTTCACTGTGGCTCTTTTCCAAAAAGTGTGGGGTTTTGCAGCCCTTCTGGTGTTTCTGCATTTCTAGAGATATGAATGGATTTCCCTCATTTCATTCTCTCTGCGAGTCGACAGGCTTGCACAGTTTAGTATCCCTGGGAAACAAATGAGAGAACTCCCGAAATAATCAGTAAAATTAGGATATTTTAATTTGTAATCCCTTTCAGTCCCTCTGTTCATCTGCCTCGTCTTTGCCCTCCCAGTTACTCAAGTTCTTGGTAATTCCTGTATTTTAAGCCATCCAGAAGCCTCAGCTTTTGGATGGCATAAAATGTTGATAAATAGATTAGGTAGGTAGGTAGGTAGGTAGGTAGGTAGGTAGGTAGGTAGGTAGGTACATAGACAGACAGACAGACAGACAGCTGTAGAGAGATAGAAAGATAGAGGGATAGATGATAGATTGTAGATGACAGACAGACAGAGTGTTATGTCAAATTTGGCTTTATGACATGTCTTCACCCATAGCCTGGGAGACTTGAGAAATATAATACAGCCAGTATATTTCACATGTATGTTCATCAGCAATTAAAATATTTCTGTTGTTGATCACCCATTGGAGATCTGCGTGCATGAATATATCTCCATAATCTGTATCCATTCCAGGATGTTTACTCAAGATAGATCCACGTGTAGGCATGCATGGTGCATACATGTATAAAAACAGTGAAGATACTGACATAAAGCTATAAACAGATGTCTGCTTACCTAGTTCTACAATTTTCTCCTAGGTTTTTACTGCCCAGAAGGAACAGGCTTGGACTGGAAGCCTTGCCCCCCAGGGACCTACAACCCTGTCCAAGGAATAAGAAGCGTGATTGAATGTCAAGTTTGCGATGGTGGGAAGTTCTGCCAGTACCATAATGCAACAGATGTCACAGGAGAATGCTGGGAAGGATTTTATTGCACTCAAGGCTCAGATCGTCCCAACCCTATCGCTCAACTCAACGGTAGCCTTGCTCTTCTTTGGAAGGCTTTTGTGTTGGTCCCTCCTAAGTGGTTGTACTGTTCTTGTTCAATCTAGTGGCTTCATATGGAATATTAGCTTTGCCACAGCTGCTGTCCTTTGCTCTAGTCTTCCCATTTAATCAAACGTTTATTGCCATCATTGACCAAAAATATCTTCCCATTATAAAGGCATCTTGACTATACTCGTGACTTCACCTGATAAAACTAATCTCAGGGCGGATCACCTTCAATTGCAGGTAGTGTGCCCACTTGGAAGAGTTCTTGCTTACAGAAAAAAGATGGATCTGTACCCTTCCTGACAGCAACATCTCCTTTACCTCTTTGTTGTTACTGTTGTCTTGAATAGATCTTAATTCCTCTGCTCTACATCATCAACCAATGAGACAGCCTTCATTTAAATCAAATATAAAGAAGACTTCTCAGTTGATGCACACCATTAGAGATAGGGAGGAATCAGGGTCCTGAGAAACAAGAGACTGTACAAAGACATCTGGCTGTGCTCATCTTATTAAAACAAAAAAGTGAAGCTATAATAAGGGAAGCTAAGAAGTCCAAATATTGAGGGTTAAATTAGAATATCAAAGCAAGGAAGGCATTGTTAGCAATAAAGCTTTTCTCTGCCTTTTCCTCTTCTCTTTTCCATCACAGAACAGGCTGGCCCTTGCCCTTCTGGCTATTACTGTCCAAGGGGCACCATTATCCCCAATCCTTGTCCAGTGGGGACGTTTGCTGCTGGATCAAGGTTACATTCGGAGGTAAGGCCGATGCAAGAAGATTGTTGTTCTTTCCTAACTAGCTGATTTAACCTTGTTCTCTAATGAACAGAACTTTCAAAGATTTTTTTTTTCCTGCAAGACTGTAACTATCCATCAGAAAGAAGAGAATACTTGAAACTTGGAGTTAAAGCAGGGGTCTTCAAACTTGGCCCTTTTATGACCTGTGGACTTCAACTCCCAGAATTTCTCAGCCAGGCACAAGTCATAAAAGGGCCAAGTTTGAAGACCCCTGGTTTATATACTAGTGGTTTACTCTGTCAATGTAGATGGGAGAGTTCTCGAATCATTAGACTGTTGTTTACTGAGTTGATAGTTCCTTGATTAAGGTATTGTTTACTGCTTGGTGTTAATCTATGCTTATCTGTCTGGGTGTTGATTGCTGGGAATGCTGTGGACTTTTAGCTTTTTGACTGTCTCTTTTGAATGGTATGTAGATGTATGTATATATTGTTTCTCTCTACATAGCACATTTATGGTTGATTCAGAGAAGAATCTCAGTCCTAATTTGTTATTTCCATATATTATTTTTTATATGTGCTCTATATTTCTGTCGCAAAACACATAGGCAAATAAACATACCCATTTAAGTAAACAAGAACCAAAATAATACAATGTCAAAGCCCATATCAAAAAGCCGAAAGAAGAATTAAATTTCCATTATTCTTGTTTTCCTTGCATCCTCATATTCAGTCAAAGCCCACTGTAACACGACACGAGTAGACAAACAATCAGTACAGCTCGTACAACTGAAACTTTTTAATTTGTTAAAAACAGACCGAGAGGTTTTCTTAGAGAATGAGGAGACAATGCAGTCTTAAAGCAAGGGGAATTACAGCTTTGGAAAATTGAGCTTTTAGTGTGCTTTCAAAGTACTGTGATGCATGCTCTAGTTTCAAAGCTACAAAGGGAAGGTCATCTCCTTTGTGTTTAAAAATCAGATATTTCTAACTGAAGAGACATCTGTGGAAAGTTTTTTCCCTCCCATGAACATTCTGAATTTCATCTGGAAAACCATCGTGAAAAGTGTCCTTCCTTTGTGACAGGTTGAGTGCTCCCCTTGTCTGCCAGGTCACTTCTGCAGCACACCTGGGTTGCCAGCCCCAACGGGACCGTGTGAAGAAGGCTTCTTCTGCATCTTGGGCTCAGTGCTACCCAATCCACTGACCACAAGCCAGAGTGGAGGGCCTTGTCCCCAAGGTATATTTATTTATTACATGTTTATCCCACCTTTATTGTTTTTATAAATAACTCAAGGCAGAAAACATACATAATGCTGCTTCGTCCTCCTATTTTCCCCACCACAACCCTGTGAAGTGGGTTGGGCTGAGAGTAAGTGACTGGCCCAAAGTCACCCATTCAGCTTTCATGCCTAAGATGGGACTAGAACTCACCATCACCTGATGATTGGCCCAAAGTCACCCATTCAGCTTTCATTCCTAATGTGGGACTAGAACTCACAGTCTCCTGGTTTCTAGGCCAATACCTTAACCACTACACCAAACTGGCTCTGCATTTTTGCATATGTCTTGAATTTTCCAGAGATTTGTTACATTATTACTATTATTATTTTAGCTCAGGGGATTTTTCTTACCGTTTGAATCTCTGACAAACTTCCATTTGGACTGAAATGGCCTTTTGTTATCTATCTATTTATTTATTTTATGAGACTTATATACTGCTTTAGGTGCAAGCACTCTCTAAGCGGTGTACACCAGTAAGCAATGTATGTATGTATGTATGTATGTATATATATATATATTTTACATTGCCCCCAACAATCTGGGTCCTCATTTTACCTACCTCGGAAGGGTGGAAGGCTGAGTCAACCTTGAGCCGGTGAGATTTGAACCGCTGACCTGCTGAACACAGTCAGCTAAAGTGGCCTGCCGTACTGCACTCTAACTTCTGTTTTTAGCATTCAGCTATTTAGCCACCACTTCTTTTTTTCTCTTTCTTTCTTTCTTTCTTTCTTTCTTTCTTTCTTTCTTTCTTTCTTTCTTTCTTTCTTTCTTTCTTTCGGAATATGGTTATTACAAGATTCTTCCAGGGATGATTGGGAAGAGAAATTAAACTGGAGTTTTTCAGGGAGAATCTCTCCCCATTCAATCAGTACTGAGTCTCTGGAGATTCCTCAGTGATATTATAATTCAGATCTTTGCTTGTTGCTACTTCTGGCATCAATTTCTCAGGAGGTTTGGTCCTATGAAGACATCTCCCAGACATTCATCAGTTTAGAGGCTCCGCTGGGTTTTCATCTCTTTATCACTCACTGGTTTCTTCTTCCCCTGAAATGAAGGGTTAAGCCTTTCCATTCACCTTACAAAAGAGAAACATGTTCTTTTTTCCACACCAGATCCCAATTTTGGGTGCTTTGATGTGTGTGTGTGTGTCTGTTAAAATAGCAAAGCAGCAAACAGGAGGACTTGCAGTTCCTATTTTGATACAACACCTGCCACTATTTAAAGATTGCTATAACTATATGAATGATGGTTCGATCCTCAGATAATGGTCTATTTCCCATGCTAACATCTGGATCAGGTAGGTTAGCCTGTCCTCAGAAGGGCAACGATTCAGTTCTTAGCATCTCCAGGTAGGACTATAAGAAAATTCCTATCTTAAATTGCGTGGCACAAAATCGAATGCAAATTTTCTGCAATGAGTGAATCGATGGAATATTTTTTTTTTAAAAAAAAATGGTATGTAGAGGGGTGCATTTGCTTACCAGTTGCAATTTTCTCTCCCAAAGAATTTAACCAGAGAAATGTTTTCTCAGATGCTTTCGTTTCTCTTCTCTCCGGGTCTTTAGATTAGTGCTCTGGAGCACATTTTCCTCTTATCTTAGATGAGAATTTTGTCCTGATCTAAAAGGACCACAGTCCTTCCTTATTTCCAGAGTCTTTTTCAGAATTGCTCTGAGAGAGAATTTCTTTGGGCTGGCCTTCAATCTTGCCTGGACTACAAGGGGATCCTGCTGCTGTCAGTACTTTACCAATTTCTCTTCCAGGATATTTTTGCCCTCAAGGCACAGCTAATCCACTGCCTTGCCCAGCTGGGTCCTATAACAATTTGGAGAAGCAAGCCAGCTGCCTTCCCTGCCCTGATGGGTGAGCAGACAAGGAGAATCGGGACATCCGGTGCAAAAGAAAAACATTGTCAACTGCGGTGGCCCATTGAATGGGACCGAGAAGAGAAAATGTTTGCTTCTGCTAAGGGTATCCGAGGAGAAGGGATATTGGTGACATCCCACTTGGGATTATATATGGCTAAGTGTGTCCTCTGGATTTCAGCCTTTGGGCAGCCTTACTTGATTTGTGGTTCCTCATTATGCTGTCCTGATTAGGCGTTTCCATGCTGAAGTGGGAAATGAATCAAAAGGCCACGGTGCAGTCCCTTGAAGGCAAAAATAGCTTTTTTTTAGGGGACAATTTAAATGTGGGGAAAGATGAAAATGAAATTTGTCTGCATCTCACAGCACCAGCTTTTTCTCTGGGCAAAGCAAGAGCTTCTTTGGTCTAGTGGTTGAAGGCACTAGGCTAGAAACTGGGAGATGGTGAGTTCTAGTCCTGGCTTAGGTATGAAAGTGACAGGGTGACTTTGGGCCAATCACCAGGAGACAGTGAGTTCTAGTCCTGCCTTAGGCACGAAAACCAGCTGGGTGATTTGGGGCCAATCACCAGGAGACGGTGAATTCTAGTCCCGCCTTAGACACGAGAGCTGACTGGGTGACTATGGGCCAATCACTCTCTCTCTCTCAACCCAACTTATCTCACAGGTTCTTGTTGTGGAGAAAATAGGAGGAGGGAGGAGTATTATATATATTCTCCATCCTAGGTTGTTTATAAAAACAATAGAGTTGGGATATAAATTAAAAAATAAAAGCAATAGCTTATCAATTGTCAGAATCCAATTATATTTCATCTCTAGTTATCAGTTATAAAAACCCCATTTCTGCCTTCTATGGATTCTGCCATACGAGGAAGGGAAGGGGGTGAACAAAGGGGCTTTATGGCCCTCACTTCCTTCGGTATACTTCAAAGGAACTGGATGTGTGTATTGCCAAAAGGACTAACCATAAGAATGGGGCTATTACCTTTCCTGTAGTTCTCTCTGAAGTCTCCATCCAGCCGGCAGTAAGGAAAAGGGGGTGGGAGTGTAATGCCTGAGACTGTCGCTGGAAGAGGGGGGTGATTGGGTGGAGCTACTGGGGAACCCCTTAAAACCTTGAATGGGAGAGCTTGGACCCCAAGTCCTGTCTAGAATGCCTGCAACCATTTTCTCTTAATAAAGGGTTCCTGTTGGAAGAATTATTCCAATTATTCTGTCTTCTTAAGATACAAAGTGGGGTGGGTCCTTACATTAGTCTTCTCCTTTTCCCATCCATCCTTGTTGGGGCCATAAGATCATCTTCCAAGCTTCATCCCTGAATTCCCCATCAAATAAGATAGACCATGGAGGCTTTCGAGATGGTTTTTAAAGAGCAGCTCCCCATTTGTGAGATAACCATTCCCAGAAAACTTAGCATCCATCAGATCAAGTCTGTTTTCTGGAAATCTTTTAATCTTATGACCTCTCCTGCCTTTGCGCTCTGCTTTGCAAAGACTTTGCTGCCAGCGCTTTTATTCTGAACTGCATTGCGGGATTTTTTTTTTCTGCTAGTTCCCTTTTCTTTTATGACTTTCAATGTTTCTGTAAGCCATTTTGGTTAAACAGGAATATATTAATCCTGTTTGGAAATAAATCACCCTTAGGCATTCTTATTTATTGAGTTTGGCTGTGTTAGGAAATGGTGAAATGTTTGCCCCAGGAATTCAATATCTTTCTTCCTTTTCATGTTTTCTTTTTTGAAGGTACTTTTGTCTTCAAAATTCCTCCTCCTTGGTCAACAGCAAATGTCCAGTTGGGCATTACTGCCCTCTTGGCACAATGTCTGAAAATCAGTTTCCATGTCCTCAAGGGACTTACAACCCCAACGTAGGAATCAGTGATCTCTCTCTGTGCCTACTGTGTACACCAGGTGGGTATCTTGAAACCATCCAACCACTGACAATTTGTTGAATGCTTTTTTACTAGAAGTCTAGGAAAGTCAAGAGATTCAACCTGAATGGTGTTTTTTTTTTTCAGAGCAGAAACAATTTTGAGTTTTATTAAAACAGATCCACCTTATTCTCCTAAATTGTCAGGTGTGAAAAATCAGGACCATATGTTAGGTTCCATTTAAGCTGATTTATTGCTCATGCCTATACACAAGAATGTAGTCCAGTGGTTCTCAACCTGTGGGCCGGGACCCCATTTGGGGTCGAACGACCATTTCATGGGGGTCGCCAAACAAGGCTGTCCGCCATTTTTCCCCTTTTTCTTTGGCCACGCCCCTGGCACCCAGTGATGTATAAGTGGTTGGGGGTCACCACAACATGGGGAACTGTATTATGGGGTCACAGCATTAGAAAGGTTGAGAACCACTGATCTAGTCAACTAACAGTCAGCACTAAATTGGTGTTAGATAAGAGTTAATGCAATTCAAGATAGGCTGGACTCGGATTGCTTGTGGGAACATAATGATTTTGGGCTGATTCCTCTCTTGACTCCATCCCCAGGCTATGTCGCTCCTTCTTCTACATCAGGGGTGTCAAACTGCTGGCCCGCAGGGCGGATGCATCATCCGGAAGCCACGCCCACCCCATTGCCAGCAATGGCAAAACTGTCCCGATAGTTGCACGACATCATATGATGTCGTGTGTTTGACATGTCTGTTCTACATAAATGTTTTAAGTGATTATTATGCCATTATCTGTGATTAATTGGTTAACAGTAGAGAATAAAGAAAATAATAACAGAATAACAGAGTTGGACTAGACCTTGGGGGTCTTCTAGTCCAATCCTCTGCTCAAGCATGAGACCCTATATCATTTATAATCAAGCAGATGCCCCAGACTGAGTGAATGGAAATGCTTTATTACACACCTCAAAGAACTGATCTTTTAGGAATCATATCTCTGTACATCTTGTAATGCTATACTCATGCCAATGGACATGCTTAAAGAGATGCTGAATGCAATTTAAGCAATAAGAAATTGTTCAGACCAGGTTTAGCTTCTCTGAACAAATCTGAAATGGAGCAAGATTTTTTAGACCGATCCTCTTTCTCTACTGAATGTTGGAAACTAATCAGGGAAGAAGCAACCTAGAACTAAGGAGAAATTTCCTGACAGTGAGAACAATTAATCAATGGATCAACTTGCCTCCAGAAGTTGTGGGTGCTCCATCACTGGAGGCTTTTAAGAAGAGACTGGACAACCATTTGTCTGAGGTGGTATAGAGGGGTGGATTAGAAGACCTCCAAGGTTCCTTCTACCTCTGTTATTCTGGGTTGCAAGAACTCTTTTTTTATGCCGTATGCTTCCTTTCTTTTTAATGCAACGTTGAATAATTCCACTTCCTCTCTTTCAGGACATTATTGTGGCTTCCCAGGTCAAGCCCAGGTCACCGGCCTTTGTTCAGCAGGCTATTACTGCCTAGCAGGTGCTTCTATCCCAACCCCAATGAAAGATATACTTGGGAATATATGCCCCAGAGGTCATTACTGTCCAAAAGGCTCTGCCACCCCCCAACCCTGCCCCCTCGGGTTCTACAGCAACTCTACAGGAAATACCAAGTTGGAAGACTGCCTTCTGTGTCATGCAGGTAAATGAAGGACAAGTCGGGGATATAAATCTTAATGTGCTAATGGGGTATTATCAGAGAATGCAGGAAGTTTGAAGGCTGTTTCAAGTTCTGTAGATGCCCCTGGATGGCAGCAGAAAACACAGGAAATGGTCCCTCTCTGCTGATCATCATCATCTTAGCCGTTGTCCATCCACTGCGGGATGAAGGCCTCTTCCTCATGTTTCCAACCAAGATAGTTCTGAACTTTCTTTTGCTAATTGGGCAGGCAGTACTTGCTGTTGTCATCCACCATGGTAGTCTGTCTACAAGGGCAATTCAGAAATAAACCTCCGTTTGGTTATCCATGACAGACACTCGCAGATACAGAACTTGTATTATACACATTAGAAAACTGTTACATTACTTTTCAACATAATCGCCATTCAAATTGAGGCACTTGTCATAATGTCTTACAAGGTTTGAAATTCCTTCTGCAAAAAAAAATAAATAAATTCCTGCCTGGGAATGAAGCCATCCTCTAACAGCATTGTGAAGCGCATTGTCTTCATCAAAGCAGTGCGACGCAAGTCATTGTTTCCTTTAAAAAACTGGTTCATTTTCAATCGATCTAGCAGACGAATCAACTGCAACACACACCTTCTCTTTCCACTCCTCACTGCGCACGTGTCGCTATAGGACGGGCGTTGCTATCCCCGCCTATTTCTTGCACATGCTCAAATGGAGGTTAATTTCCGAATTGCCCTCGTATTTTTACAGTCTAGCTCAGGCGGTCTTACCTTCTTAGGAATCAGTGTTGATTAAGTCCTATCTTGGTCTTTTAAGAGCTCATCTCATTTTATCCTTTAATTCCCATCAGCCACCTATCTTGAACCCACTCCTGAATTTCTACTTCTTTGCAGGATATTTCTGTGATGGAACAGGACTTGCCTTTCCTGCTGGTCTTTGTGACTCAGGATTCTATTGCAGTGGAGGAGCTGTTTCTCCAAGACCCCATCTGGTTAGTGGTGCTGATGAAGTGAAGTAGTCCATCATTTGGAAATGATCCATGCTCAACAGATAATCTTGAAAGCACTATTTTAAAAGACCTATTTGAAAAGACCTCTCCTGAAGATTTTAATATCTAGATCAGGGGTCTCCCAACCTAGCAACTTTAAGACTTGTGGACTTCAACTCTCAGAATTTCTCAGCCAGGCATGCTGACTGAGGAATTCTGGGAGTTGAAGTCCACAAATCTTAAAGTTGCTAAGTTTGGAGAGCCCTGATCTAGATGGTTTTATAAGAAGAAAGACAATTACTCAAACAGTTAGACTCAAAACTATTAGGTCGTAGTCTCTCTCTCTTTCTCTCTTTCTCTCTTTCTCTCTCTCTCTCTCTCTCTCTCTCTCTCTGTGTGTGTGTGTGTGTGTGTGTGTGTGTTTTGAAAGTTAAAAGGAATATCTTAAAAAGATGTTATCATCACAAGCATCCTGTGAAGTACGTTGGATTGAGAGGTGGACAGCTTGTTGGCCCTGCGGTTTTCATCTGGAATTGTACAATTCACCATGGCCAACTTGTAGCATGACACGCTTAGTTCCTTTTGTCTTTGTTGACCACATTTTCATCAAAATTTTCATTTTATCTCTTGTATCAAGAGATACAAGAGATAACTATCAGCTTTTGTAATACTTTGTTGAATAATAAAAGGAACTAATCCTACATTGAATTGTCCTGCAGCAAGTTGTCCTATGGTGAGTTGGCCATGGTGAGTAGGCTACAGTGAGTTGGCTTAGACCAGGGGTAGGTAACCTTGGCTCTTTTATGACTCGTGGACTTCAACTCCCAGAATTCCTGAGCCAGCCACAAGTCATAAAGTCATAAAAGAGCCAAGGTTGCCTATCCCTGGCCTAGGCTCATTTTCATCTACTGTAGGACCCTAACAACCAACTCAGTGGCTTCAATTAAACAATCCCATGTGGCATAATTTTGCCTTTCTTCTTTGCTTCCCATTAGGGTCCTCAACATCTTCGATCCTGACAGAATTCATTTATATTTACAGGTCACAAGCAAAGGTGGTCAGTGCCCACCTGGCCATTATTGTGTGATTGGGACTGATAGACCACAACCATGCCCAGCAGGGAGTTACAATCCCTTCTGGGAAATGGACCAATGTTTGGATTGTCCAGAAGGGGCTTATTGTAATATTGGTTCTGCCAACTACACCCACTGCCCTGCTGGTGAGTTTCACCATTCCACAATCTTTCCATTCATATTTTAAAATTGCAATGGTCTAATTTTCCACTGATCTCCTAGTTGCATGTTGACTTAACGCTTTCTCTGAGAATTGAAGCAATGCTCCTTGAAGTTTTAATAAACTAAGGCAGTGAGGAATGAACAATGTGTAGCCCATCAGAGGTTGAGTTGCAACTTTACCATTGCTTGCCACCGGTCATGCTGATGGGAGATGCCTGCCAACAACATTTGGAAGGCTTTGTGCTGTAGATGGTGTCCTCTGGTTGAGCAAATAGCAAGGAACAGTAGATATCTCATGCTGCTTGGAATGTTCCCTACTCCCCAACAGATATTGGCCCTTGGGTTCATCTGAAGATGATTACTGAGCAGACATATTGCTTTCTAGTCAGGTTCTGGTTTCCTGGAATTCATCCCTGTCTGACTAAAGTTCAGCTTGTCTCTGAACTCTTGTATTTTTGATTCCACCTCATCTGATGAGCAGGGACAGAAAGAAATGCACTTGGTTTGTTCTACTGAATGCCGATCGATGGTTGTGCTTCATATGAGTTGGAATTATCCAGCTCAGAAGATACACTTCATTTTTAAGTGTAAGAAGTGACTTGTCCATGATTTTACTCGTATTCCTTCTAAGCTGAGTTAAGATTCATTTTGAGGATCCACATTTTAATCTGATCGTGAGAGGAGAATCCTTCGTGCACTTTTCTCTTGTATTTATTATTCATACTTCTTGATTTCATATTAATTGACTTGTTTAGAATTAGTCTGCTAAATTAATTGGAAATATCCATCTCCTTTTCACTTTAGGTCATTACTGCCCAAAGAACACCAAGTTTGCTACCCAGTTCCCTTGTCCCAGAGGGACCTACAGTGAAATTTTGAGCCTCAGGATGGTGGCTGAGTGCCAGCCATGCCCTTCTGGGAAATTTTGCTCCAAGCCCGGTTTGATCAATCCTGATGGCATCTGCATGCCAGGATGGTATTGTCCACTTGGGTCAACGTCAGGCAAGCCAATATCTACAGGAAATCACTCTGGTATTTAATTTTTTACAATTATATTGAGTAATAACATGATTGAGTTAAGGGGTTGCCACAAAGAAGAGGGGGTCAAGCTATTCTCCAAAGCACCAGAAGGCAGGACAAGAAGCAACGGATGGAAACTAATCAAGGAGAGGAGCAACCCGGAACTAAGGAGGAATTTCCTAACAGTTAGAACAATTAACCAGTGGAACAACTTGCCTTCAGAAGTTGTGGGTGCTCCATCAGTGGAGGTTTTTAAGAAGAAATTGGACAACGTTCCTCCAGGTCTTCCTGTCCTCCAGAAGATGGTAGAGGACAGGAAGACCTGGAGGAACGTTGTCCATGGGGTCGCGATGGGTTGGACACGACTTTGCATTTAACAAGAAGAAGAAGGAGGAGGAGGAGGAGGAGGAGGAGGAGGAGGAGGAGGAGGAGGAGGAGGAGAGGAGGAAGAAGAAGAAGAAGAAGAAGAAGAAGAAGAAGAAGAAGAAGAAGAAGAAGAAGAAGAAGAAGAAGAAGAAGAAGAAGAAGAAGAAGAAGAAGAAGAAGAAGAAGAAGAAGAAGAAGAAGAAAGAGGAAGAAGGAAAAGAAGGAAGAAGAAGGAAGAAGAAGGAAGAAGAAGAAGAAGAAGAAGAAGAAGAAGAAGAAGAAGAAGAAGAAGAACCATTTGTCTGAAATGGTATAGGGTTTCCTGTTTAAGACAGGGGTTGGACTAGGAGACCTCCAAGATCGCTTCCAACTCTGTTATTCTGTCATTCTATGTGCTGTTAATTTCAGAATATATTGTGTGTGTCTTTGAATCACTGTGGACTCCTGCCATCTCCCTGAACTAGTCACTGAAGTTTTCTTGGCAAGATTTCAGAAGAGGTTCGCCATTGCCTCCTTCCTAGGGCTGAACGGTAGGACTGGCCCAAGGTCACCCAGTTGGTTTCTTGCCTAAGGCAGGCCTAGATGTCACAGTCTCCCAAGTTCTAGCCACTATACCAAACTAGCTCTCGCTAATATGTTTGGGAGGGGCGAGAGAGATCAATTTTGTCCCCTGATCAGAAAGCAAAATTGGAACGTATTATTCCTCTGCGCCTAAAGAAGAACAGGGGAATCACCTCTGCACTGATCATATTAACTTGAAAATGCTCAGGGCAGCCATGCATGGTGTTAATTATATAAAATTGGTTAATAAAGAATTCCACTCCCAGGCTTTTAAAAGATAATTATGTTTGCTGAATAACATGTCATCAGCACCTATTGAAATTTCAGAAACTAGCCTGGTCAATTCTTCAGTCTGAGTTCCTTCCTTTACTTGCACAACTCACCAAATTTATATTCAAGTCAGAAAACAAATCAAAGGGGGGGAAACTCGCATTTTGGTTACAGTTAAGCAGGTCTGTTTGGGCAGCAAAATTGAAAGGGTGGCCGAGTGCAAAATGTTTGTGTTTAGGTTGCACAAAATGCTCATCATGTTTGCTCTGCAAAATTGAGAGATAATCTTTTCTATTCCAGAAGCAGACTTAATTCGAAGGTGCCAGTCAGGGTCCTTCTGTCCAGAAGCTTCTTCTATTCCCATTCTTTGTAGTCCAGGTAAATGTATTTCTCGCGTTCACCAACAAACTCATTCAGATCTGGGTGTCCACGTTCCTTTCTCTAGACAAGAAGAAACTGAGATTTGTCCTAAGATGACTTCTATCTCCCAAGGTCTGATCTCAGATCTCAACAATGGGCTATATATTTACACTGAAGAGCAATCAAGGAAACGGCAACACTCTGTTTTAAGAACCAATAGCCAAGATATGAAAAAAGAAGATCATATGGACTCTAGAAAAAGTACAGAGAAGAGCAACAAAGATGATCAGGGGGCTGGAGGCTAAAATATATAAGGAACGGTTGCTGGAATTGGGTAGGTCTAGTCTAATGAGGAGAAGGACAAAGGGGGACATGATAGCAGTGTTCCAATATCTCAGGGGCTGCCCCAAAGAAGAGGGAGTCAAGCTATTCTCCAAAGCCCCTGAAGGCAGGAAAAGAAGCAACAGAAGGAGACTATCAAGGAGAGAAGCAACCTAGAACTAAGGAAAAACTTCCTGACCGTTAGAACAATTAACCAATGGAATAACCTGCCTCCAAAAGCGGTGAATGCTCCAACAATGGAAGTTTTTAAGAAGAGACTGGACAGCCATTTGTCTGAAATGGTGTAGGGTTTCCTGCCTGAGCAGGGGGTTGGACTAGATGACCTCCAAGGTCCCTTCCAACTTTATTATTATTATTAAAACAGTGTGTATTCTGAGCCTGAAACCTAGTGCTGTTTTGCTCTTGAGACATTTCCACAATCTTTTAAAAGAATCTCTTTTGCACTGAAATCAGCAGGTTCACACTCAAAATGAAATGTAACATGGGATTCCACACTTGGAATATTTTAAGATTGGAGAGTTGCGAAGCAAATTTTCCTCCATATACTTCTTTGCCTTACTTCTCTTGCAACTGTAGAGTTCTAGAACTCTGCAACCTGCTGGATAGATGTGTCTTCAGTTTGGGAGAATGGTTCCATCTAGCCTAGAACCCTATGCCGTCATTGTGTGAATCATATAGGCAAAAATCCTGGAAGTTCTCATAGATTTAACTCCTCTTGCAAAAGATCATGAGTGATACAGCTTCTTGCTTTCTTCTTTCTGATCAAGGATTCACTCTTTCCATCCTTCGGCTTTGTCCCCTGCATCTAATCAAAGCTTTCCCCGAAGCATGATTTTCAAAAATTAAGTATATTTACCCAGCTGAAGTGGAATTGTACTTCAGTGCAGTTGAGTGTTCCTCTGACCCATTTTGACGGGGTTCTGAGAGTGGTTGTCTAACCCAGTTGGAAGACATTTAAGTTGAAGAAGGAAGATTTAAAGTATTTGTTGCTTAATTTTGCCACATGTGTATATGCTCTTGAGATTACACCTATAGAATTGTAGTCTATTGTAGCTTAGATTAATAGTGCAAGAATATATCTTCTAATGTTGAAGAGATTTAAGAAGACACCAGTCCTATCACGCATTGTTCTTCCTTTGTGAGGTTTTTACTGTGCATCTTCTGAATTGGCTGCTCCATCTGGCCCATGTGATCCTGGCTTCTACTGTACAGGAGGGTCTACTCTACCCAATCCAACTGATGGGATAATGGGAGAGATTTGTCCTCAAGGCTATTTCTGTCCACAGGGGACGTCTGCCCCAGTTCCTTGCCCAGCAGGTAGGTTTGCATGTAGATACTGCTGTTATATTTCTCAGTTCACTCTTGATGGCATGAAATTCAATGAAAAAGGAAGGAAGGAAGGAAGGAAGGAAGGAAGGAAGGAAGGAAGGAAGGAAGGAAGGAAGGAAGGAAGGAAGGAAGGAAGGAAGGAAGGAAGGAAGGCTCTGTGCAACAAGGAAGCCAGATAGTTACCAAAAGAATGCAATACTACTTTGTTTTTTGAAATGCTGGGTTTCTACACATTTAATTAAAAATGGAAACTTTAAGGATCTTGTTAGACTTATATGATTCTTTTTATAGGTTCTTTCTTAGCCCACCAAGGTGGCCGGTCAATCCAGGATTGTCATCTCTGCCTGGCAGGCTGGTTCTGTTCCCTTCAGGGCCAAACCTTTCCAGAGAATTTGTGTACAGAAGGCTGGTTCTGCCCAGAGGGATCAATATTTGACCAAAATCCAGGTAGAGGATTATTATTCTATACTTAAAGGATGCTACTTTTTATTGTTGGAAGAGCCCAACTCATCTCACAGAATTATTGTGGAAGAGAAGGAAGGAGTATTAAGTGTGTTTGTCACCTTGAGTTACTTATAAAAATAATTTTAAAAAAATTTAAACTATCCAGAAGCCATGATTCTTGCGGGATTAAAATTTGGCAAAGTTGTAACTGCTTGAATTAAAAGAAGTCATAAGATCTCTCTCTCTCTCTCTCTCTCTCTCTCTCTCTCTCTCTCTCTCTCTCTCTCTCTCTCTCTCTCTCACTCTCTCTCTCTCTCTCTCTCTCTCTCTCTCTCTCTCTCTCTAGACCATCTTTGTCCTCTTGGTCACTATTGTCCCAAAGGTAGCCCAGGACCTCAGCCATGTCCCCCTGGTAAATATCAAGATGAAGTGGGTCAAAGCATGTGCAAAATCTGCCCTGCAGGAAAGTAAGGAACACATTTTGCAACTCTTGTTTAATTAATTTCTGACAGCTTCTTTGCATTCTCCATAACAGCCGTTCAAATGCATCTGGAAGATTCATTGAGAAAATGCATTTTCTTGTTCATATTGCTCTCTACATTTCCCATTTATTTCTTCCATGCAAAGGAGAGATGCTTTTATGCAACAGATCCAATAGCTGAGCCGTGTAATTCCATTCTTTTATCTGTTTTCCCAATTTAGGCTGTCCCTTTTGATATACCATGACCACTTATGAACGCTAGCGAGCTATGCCTGAAGACCGACAAAGGAATTCTTCTGAGAACTGAGATATTTTATTGTACATCTTTGATTTAGCGCTTTATATCTCAGCCTCTGATTCTGGAATGATTACGTTGCACATGTATATATGATGACAATTGAAGTGTATCCTATGAGCTGAGTAGGAATCAATGATCTGTGAGATGGTTTGAACATTCAAAATGTAGCATTTGGAATCACCTCTCAGATCACCGATCCTTCACCACTCATATGATCTATCAACAGTGGTTCTCAATCTGTGGTCCGGGTGGGGGCCCACAATGTCATCACAGAGGGTCCGCGAAGGCTTGAAAAAAATGTTATGATTTAAATCTTGAGTTAAGTCTTGGGGGGTCCATGACCATGGTCTGTAGCTAGAAAAAGGTATTGAAAGGGGGTCCATGGTGAAGAAAAGATTGAGAACCACTGATCTATCTGATGTCAAGCTCGAAGCACATTTGCTGGTTTGACAATTATTGCTTCTCATCTTGCCAACAAACTCAGGGACAAGGGAAAGGATTGGAATGCAGACTTCAAAAATTAAGAGAGCAGACCGCGAGAACCAAGGACAGTTCACCAGGTGTTTGGCCAGACCCAGAGACACTTTCTCATAACAATATTATTCCACCTAATTGGGTAACATGACCTGGTCAAGAAGGGGGAGGGGGAATTCTATACTTTTGCTATGATGGAATTGGGTGGGGTTTTGCCAGAGCTGGTTTTGCTTGCATGCCTGCCGAAATGATGTACTCAGTAAAGTTTTATATTATTGCTTGGAAAGTTTTACATTACTATTCGGAGTTCAGAAAGCCTCGAAGGTGTTTAATTGGTTGGGTTCGTCAGTCAGAACCTTGACATTTGAAATATCATATTTATTTATTTATTTATTTATGAGACATATACCGCTTTAAGTGCAAGCACTCTCTAAGCGGTGTACACTAGTAAGCAATGTATATATATATATATTTACATTGCCCCCAACAATCTGGGTCCTCATTTTACCTACCCCGGAAGGATGGAAGGCTGAGTCAACCTTGAGCCGGTGAGACTTGAACCACTGACCTGCTGAACACAGTCAGCTAAAGTGGCCTGCAGTACTGTACTCTAACTGCTGTGCCACCTCGGCTCATATCGCTTGAGACACCCACATGAAGTTCAGGTTTGGCCAGAGAACTGAGCTTGCAACTGCCTAGCTTCTATTCCAATGACTCCCAATAAATAACCTGGTTGCTCTAGACAATTCCTATCCATAGCGGGGTGGGGGGGGGAATGAAACTGAAAGTGGACTGAACATTGTTGGCTTTACTGGCAGGTTCTGTGATCCCAGTTTCCAAACACGAGATCCCAAGAATTCCAGAAGGACTTCTCCAGGAGTGATCAACCCCATGGACTGTCTGCCTGGATACTACTGTCTGTCAGGGACAAGAACGGCTAAGCAATACCCTTGTCCCTCTGGGACCTTCAGTAACCAGACCAGTCTGAGCAGCTTCAGGGAATGTGATCCATGTACTGGGGGCAAATTCTGCGCAAGGCCAGGTAATCAAAGAGGAGTGGACTGCACCATGCAAAATCTGATTTCGTCAAAGGACATAACCAGGTTTGCATTTGCAATGGACTGCTTTGCTGCGAGCTACGTTGGTAGCTTATTACTGATTTTGTGATAAGGATGAGACTGATTCCCAATGATAAATTTGGAGAATATAATACCTCTGCCTAAGACCTTGAATTCCATTTGTTAGTTTAATTAATTCAGATTCCAGTGCACAGTGGAAGATGATTATATCTCTATCTCTATCTATCTATATCCATACAGTATCTATATCATCTATATCTCTATATATATCTTCTATATATTTCTAAAATTTGGATTGCTAGCAAAGAATTAAAGGAGAACTGGAATAGCTATTTTGAACTCTTTAGTTCTTATCAACCAGACATACCTTTTCTGAGATTTGAACCTGGGCTGTCTGCATGTTAAGCAGCTGTGTTTTAACCTCTAGGCCACAGGCTCTTTCTCACTTTGCCAGCTGTAGGGGGGGGGGAAGAGACAGGGGAGGAGAATTATTTTGAGTGCTATTTGATACACCCTGTCGCCCCAAATATGGGAGAAAGAAATCTTTTGATTTCTTCTGATACAGCTGGCAAAGTGAGAAAGAGCCTGTGGCCTAGAGGTTAAAACACAGCTGCTTAACATGCAGACAGCCCAGGTTCAAATCTCAGAAAAGGTATGTCTGGTTGATAAGAACTAAAGAGTTCGAAATAGCTATTCCAGTTCTCCTTTAATTCTTTGCTAGCAATCCAAATTTTAGAAATATATACGGTGTCGCAGTTGTGACCGACATGCCTGTGGATGGCTCTAGTTTGAGCTGATACAAGGCAAAAGATTTCTTTCTCCCATATTTGGGCCGACAGGGTGTATCAAATAGCACTCAAGATAATATCATCTATATCTATGTATTATCTGTATCTCTATATCTCTATCTATTTATATCTGTATCTATCTACCTAATATTTCTATATCTATTATATCTATAGATTATTTATATATCTTAGATATATGGATTTAGATATAGATATAGATACACACACACACACACACATACACCAGCTTAGTCATCACTTTTAGCTCCAACTTTCCTTTTATGTTGGCTATTCTATTTGGAATTAGATCCTTCACTTCTTATCCATAAGCACATTTCCTCCAGTTGGATGTACACCTAAATATTGGTTTCCCAGCAGAAACCTCCCTGAATTTCTAGATGCTAGAGGTTTCCTCAGTTTGTAAAATCTGGAGCCAACAAATTGTGTTGCCATAAATCTTCTTTTCTAGGTTTAGTGACTCCAAGTGGCCCTTGCTTGCCTGGTTACTACTGCATTCTGAATGCCTGGAGACCCAATCCTGTTCAAGATGAAACTGGAAATGTATGTCCTGCAGGGCATTATTGTCCTTTGAGTAGCAACAGCCCCACCCCATGCCCAACAGGAACATTTCTCCCCCTACCTGGCATGTTGTCCCAGAATGCCTGTTTGCCCTGTCCCGGAGGAAGCTTCTGCCAAGGAGAAGGGCTGGCTGCTATTTCTGGTAGGTCCTGTGCTCCTTATATATACCAGAAGTTCATATTGGGAAGTGTCCAAGTATGCTGGGAGTCAGGTGCAAAAGCCCAGGTCCACCCGTGAAAGTCCAATCAAACTGATTTATTACTAAACAGGCTATGCTCAGGAATCTTCTCAACTAATGGTTGGCACCTATTTGGAGTTTGATAAGAGTCAATTCACAGAGCGGGGAGTGTTGGACTTAGTCTTAGTGGCAACATAGGGATTCTAGGCTGATCCCTCTTTTAACTCTGACCCCAGGTTCTGCCACTCCTCCTACACTAGGTGCTGATCTAAGAGAGGGGTTTAATTTATTTCTTCTTTAAAATGCATAAATCTAGCTTGCTTTTTTGCCCCCGATCTGTGGCTGTCAACCAAGAGAACTCAACAAATCAATTTCATGATCTTTTTCTGACTGTGAATGTTGCAGACAATCTGGTTCTTAAATTAGAAGCCTTAGTTTATTTTTCTGCAATGGATAGTGGAGGACAGGACAAGAGGAGTCCAGCTCTTGATGGAAAATTAAATTCTGAATGTCTGCATCTATCTCTCCAACATTCCTAAGTTGGCCTTCATTGAATGGATGCTATTCATTCAGTGACGTAGACATGGAAAATGGTGATTCCAGGCACACATTGATTGCCTCCCTGCTGAGCTACAGTACACAACAGTTGTGATCTCTACATTCTATATCCACTTTAGACTATCAGGTTTATAAATTGGATCATGGGGCTGCCAAGGAGGATTAAGTTTGTTGTTGTTGTTGTTGTTGTTGTTGTTGTTAGTTGCGAAGTCCCATCACGACCCCATGGACAATGTTCCTCTAGGCCTTCTCTACCATCTTCTGGAGTCCATTTAAACTCACACCTACTGCTTCAGTGACTCCATCCAGCCACCTCATTCTCTGTCATCCCCTTCTTCTATTGCCCTCCATCTTTCCCAGCATCAGGCTCTTCTCCAGTCAGTCCTTCCTTCTCATTAGGTGGGCAAAGTACTTGAGTGTCAACTTCAGGATCTGGCCTTCTAAAAAGCAGTCAGAGTTGATCTCCTCTAGGACTGACCAGTTTGAACGCTTTGCAGTCCAGAGGACTTGCAGGAGTCTTCTTGAGCACCATAGTTCAAAGGCCTCAATTCTTTTGCGTTCAGCCTTTCTTATGGTCCAACTTTCACAGCCATGGATTAAGATTAGCACCCTCATTCTGGAAGCAACGAACTTTGTGGTGGATGCAATATGTTGTGAAGATCACCCATTTGCCATTTGGAAATATTTTGTTTTGCAGGGACGTGTCAGGCTGGTTTCTATTGTGACATGTCCTCTTCACGTCCGGATCAAAACCTCTGTCCCCCTGGATTCTATTGTCCCCAAGGCACTGGGACCCCTATTCCATGCATGCCAGGGACCATCAATCCCCATAGAGGAAAATGGGATATCACAGACTGCAAACAGTGTCCAGCTGGGAATTTCTGCAGTGGTATGTGCAAACTTTTCCTTTACTGTTTTAAATTAGGGGGAGGAGATAATTTTGCTGCATCAGGAGGGATTTTTTTATCATCATCATCAAAATTGCAAGTAGATCCTTTTTGCTTTTAGGGGCAGGGAAGACTGTTCCAGAAGGGAGATGTTCTCCTGGTTACTACTGCCCACCTGGCCAAATCTCTCCATCTTCCCACCGGTGCCCACGTGGATTTTATTGCCTCGGCGGTTCTGTGGACCCAGTCGCGTGTGTAAAGGGAACCTACCAATCAGAAGAAGGGAAGGAATCCTGTGATCCCTGTCCTGCCCGATTCTTTTGTGAGCCCAGCAACCACAGTAAGCACAAGGGAAATGCCATCATTGGAGGCAAAGGCTGACTTTGCATAGGGCTAAGTTGAACTGCAACGTAATTTGGTTGGTCTGATGTTGGCTTAGCATAACTTGTTTTGCAGGGACGTGTCAGGCTGGTTTCTGTTGTGACATGTCCTCTTCACGTCCGGATCAAAACCTCTGTCCTCCTGGATTCTATTGTACTTTTAATTGATGTTTATGGCTTAACATGACTTATATGCCCAGCCGTTAACAATCCGGGATTTAGAGGAGCCATGGCTTAGGGTGATGTGCAAACTCAACCAATTGTTGATTTGAACCATGGTTTATGGATCAGCATACTGCATCACATAAAGGCTAAAATAAAATGAAAGATTCATACCATGAGTCCTTGAGCTCAGAATTGTCTGGAATAACAGGGTTTTTTAAAAAAGAAAGATGAATCTAGTCACTTGGATCCAGAGGATTTCTTTCTGGGAAAAAAAAGGTATCTTGTCCTTAAAAAATGAACATTGTTATCAAAAAGCATTCAGATTGCTCTTCCTTTTCTAGGTGATGGTATCCCAGTTCCCAAGCTGTGTCTTATGGGGTATTTTTGCCCACCTGGTACGGCTTCCAGCAGGGAACATCCATGCCCCAGAGGTACCTCTGGGCCCAAGGCTGGTGCAGCTGACGAATCTGAGTGTGAATTCTGCCCAGCAGGTAAGGGAGAGTCTGGATCCAAGTTTAGTTTAAAGGTTGCCAAGGAATGAAGTAGAGAGAGCTTTTTTTGCCATTTGCATTCTGTCCCTTCTGCTGTTGTCTTTTTTCTCCTATAAAAGGAATGTATTGTTCATCCCCTGGACTATATCAGCCAACTGGACTTTGCCATGAAGGCTACTATTGCAGCAAAGGGGCAGTCAGCTCAACTCCCATTAGGCACAGAGTAAGTGGAAATGATAGAATAACAGAATAACAGCTGGAAGGGACCTTGGAGGTCTTCTAGTCCAACCCCCTGCTTAAGCAGGAAACCCTATACCATTTCAGACAAGTTGGGTATCCAACCTCTTCCTAAAAACCTCCAGTGTTGGAGCACCCATGACATTCAGGAGCTGCAGCCACAGATGGAGTGGCAGGACAAGATTCCTTCTGAGATTTTTGAAAATGCAATACTCAGAACGTGCAGCCAACTTCATTGTCATTTCTCAGTAGGTATGCTAGCTAGGGACAATGTTAGGCCTTTGTAATCCAAGCATTTCTGAGTGGTGATAGGTCCAGATGGAAAACAAAGGAGTTCTGGCTATTTCATTCATATCTGCGTCCAGTTAAAATACCAGTTCTTGTTTATTTGTACCCATTCAGCCTTTCTCCATCCAGTCGCTGCTTGTGCCAGGAGTGCAATATTTATTGGCCATGCAGGATGTTGGTGATGGGTTTATATTCCTAACACCATCTGGAAGGGCTGGTGAGAAGGGCTGGCTTAGTTATCTGCCATCATAGTACACTCTCAGGAAGGCACTGAAACAATTAACATTTGAGTTTGCCCAGATGAAATCACCTACAGAGTAGATGGGTTGCTTGCTCTGATCAAATGTTTCCACTTTGTAATAACAGTCAGTACTGTATACCTCTGGGTGGAGGGAGGAGAACCAATGGACAGCCCCCAAAATAGGATACTTGTTAAAGAAATAGGTACTGTGTAAATCTGGACAACAAAAAAATGATCTTACAAAAAGCTTAAATGTGTGGCTCATTACAGCCTGATCTTATCAGATCTTCTTTTTGTGGGGTTGTGGTCCTCTCTGAGCTTGGATGTTTTCTTGCAGACATTTCATGACCCAACTAGGTAATACTGTCAGTGCTAGAAGAGTGTGGAGTTTATATACAAGTGGTTTGCCTTGTCAGTGTTGTTGGTGGGTCCTTGATTACAGCTGTTGCTGATTGTCTGTCTGAGTTGGTAGATCCTTGATTTTCTTTTTTAAGCAGAATCTATTGATTTCTCCACTTCCTGTTCCTTTCATCTTTGTACAGGTGGATTCTGCCAGCACGTTGACAGACAATGACATCTGTCCCAGAGGACATTTCTGCCCTCTTGGGACTGGATTTCCCATCCCTTGCCCACCTGGCTCCTTTTCTGCTATGCTGGGCTTGAAAGCTGAGGGTGAATGCCTACTTTGCCCAACAGGATACATCTGCAGTCAGTCGGGAACATCTGACCTATTCCAGATGTTACCATGTAACGAAGGGTAAGATGCAGAGCTGCAGGTTCTTCCCAGCAGAGAAATGGGGCATCCCAAAATCATTTTCTCAAAATGATAGGCCAACTTGAGTGTGGCAATGCAGGAAGGCTGGTTGGGGAAATCTAGGAATTGAAGTCCTCACATCCTAAAGTAACCAGAGTTGAGAAACATTGAGATAGTGTTGAGCATCTTCTCTGTCTCTCAGGCTGACCAAAACAAAGGTATCCAACCTCTTCTGGAAATCTGTTTGGAATGACCCAAACTGAAGGGAGTTCAGTTTAAAATATTTGGGGCTCTTCCCCTTTAAAGTAGACGCCAAGTTTTAAAAAGTACAACTGCTCCTTTCTTACATTCACAGGTATGTTTGCCTTGAAGGCAACTCTGTCCCCTGCCCTAATGATGGAATACATGGGTATCGATGCCCTAAAGGCTTCTACTGTCCCCAGGGCACCAGTTTGGAAGTGCCCTGTGAGCCTGGGATGTTTAGCCCCACTGATGGAGCCAGTGTCTGCCTCCCTTGCCCGGCGGGAACTGCCTGCCGACATGCTGCCACAGTGGAACCAGTCATCTGCCCTCAAGGTAATGCAGAGTAGGGACTTCATTTAGCACCAGAAACATACATTCCGTTGGATGAAGATTGAGGAAGACACCATCTTTTGTTCCTGTCAAATGTTCTTCTGTGCTATTCGTAGCTTCCAAATCATGGGAAGGTATCGTTCTGGACTCTTCTTGAATCTAGCTCTGGATTACATAACTTGAAGAAGCATTCAGTAAATCTGGAATAAAGTCAGAGAAGGACAGTGCAGATGATCAGGAGATTAGGAACAAAGTTCTACCAGGAAGGACTGATGGATATGTGAATTCTTGAAAAACAGATGACTTAGGGGCTGTCCTATAGAAATAAATAAAGACCTAGTCTGCGTCATCTTATGGGCAGGCAGGGCACAGATAAAGTTCTTATGTTATATAAAGGCAAATTCTATTTCAGTGTAGGGTCTCTTTCTCTGAATATGATCAAACATGAGGTGGCTTGTTAACAGATCTTTTCCTTCGGATTTATCACTGAGCAGGAAGTGGAATCTGGGGACCTTTATTCTAGCTCCATCAGGCTCACAATCTCAACTAATTTAAATATGAAACTTCAGAGTTGATGTCATCCAGCTTACTTGGTGTGGATGTGAAGCTAAGCAAGGTCCAATGGAGTTAGCACTTAGAAAACTGCTAGGACATCCCAAGGATGTCAGAATGAGGAAGTCAAGAAACATGTCAGAAAATAGTGATTAATGTCTTCTGGAGTGTTGCCAGGGAAACTATGTAGATGACGTCATCAGAACTCAAGCTCGGTTTAAAGAACTTATTGACATTTCAAGTATGACTATAGTCTACTGATTCAGTTTTACTTTTGGCAGGATATTACTGCCCAACCCAGACAGCTATGCCCATACCATGTCCAGCTGGTTTGCTAAATGCCCTGGAAGGAGCCCCATCCTTCAATGCTTGCAAGCCATGCCCAGTTGGAAGCTACTGCAGGGGTGATGGCAACTGGAAGCCTGATGGTAGGAAACCTTGCCCCCCCCCCACTTCTATTCTATCCTCCTTTTTCCTTCAAGAAAATCAAGATTGCCATATTGTTTTTGAAGTTGTGGGTCTTTCTGTTTTTGTTTGTTTTACAAAAGGCTTTCACATCTATGTCTCTGTGTGAGGCTCCTGCAATCTGCATTACCACCTCTTGGATCATCTTATCAGCAATTCCCTTATTCTCAAGAGAAGATAAATGACCTCTTCACTCTCTCTTTTGGCAGGTTTTTGCACTGCTGGGTTTTACTGTGCTGGGGGAGCATTTGATGTGGTGCCTCAAAGCTCACCTGAGTTTCCACTTAATGGACCTTGCCCCCAGGGGCACTTTTGCCCAGAAGGCACTCAATCTCCCATCGCCTGTCCACTGGGCACTCTGAATAATGGGACAGGTGAGTATAGCTTGGAAGGTTTGATTTCAGAGTCAAGGGGTCTCTCCAGATACGAGGAGTTGAGTTTGTTACCCACACAAATGAGTGCCGGATTATACTTGTCCTTCAAAAGAAGATTGCATGTCCTAATCTTTTTGCCTTACCTGCCTGCTTAAGAATGAAGAATTCTGCCAGATTCTGAAGTAAGGCTTGGTGGAAAATTGTAGTTAAAGAATGGGATGGGGGTCTCCACTGATGGCAGCTAATGCTGTTGTAGGGAAGAGGGAGGACAGGAGAAGCTGTGGGGCACCTAGATGAATGATGTGGTCCTTAAGAAAGATACAAGAGGGCTAATATTTCATACCCACCCTCTCACTAAGCAATCCTGCCCTTTTGCCAAAAGGCTGAGCAGAAAAACTTGTAGTTCTCTGATTTCAGTATATTAAAAATGTTCTTTAAAGAATGGCTAGATCTTCTACCTGTTTCTTCCCTGATGTAAATCCTGCTTGCTTGACGTTGTTCTTATGGTGCAGGCAAAACAAATAGATTTGTGTTGAAAATAATTGCTTGGGGGGAGTCATTTTAATGGAAGAAATATTAAGTACAAACAGCTTTCAATAAACACTCTATCCCTCTAATCCTAAGGTACCTTACCCTTTTTTCCCACTTGCAATTAATGTTAAGGTGTACATATTTAAAAGAACAGAAAATTCTTCTTCTGAAAGCTACCATTGGCTCACATCTCTTCCTTTGGTTCACTAAGATAGTGAAGTTTGTACACATTCACTCTTGGTTGATCCTTTGATGTGCTTCTCCATGAAGAACTGTGCATCTTTTGATCCTACAGGAGGATCCTCTGCAGATTACTGTGTGCCTTGCTACCCAGGATTCTTCTGTGCAGCCATGGGGTTGAGTTCACCTACTGGACCTTGTACGGATGGTTTCTACTGCCCAGCAAACTTCAGTTCCTTCAGCCCGACTGCGTTCCTCTGCCCGGAGGTCTGTTCTATAAGCTAAAATATTGTGTACTTTACGATGCAAACCCCTGCTGATCTCAAAATAGTGAGAACTGTGGGGAGGTGAATTTAGCTCAGTGTGTGTATTGCAACAGATGAAATGAAATGTCATGAAATGCCATACGTTCACCATCATGCCCTTCTAAAAGCAGAATACCATAATCTTAAAAGAATTTGGGGGTATGGTGAGGGAATTTAGCCTTATGTCACAGAAAGAGAATGAAGAAAGAAAGAAAGAAAGAAAGAAAGAAAGAAAGAAAGAAAGAAAGAAAGAAAGAAAGAAAGAAAGAAAGAAGAGGGAGGGAGGGAGGGAGGGAGGGAGCAAATTCTTCCATTGTTTATTTGTTTTCTTTCTTTTTATACTTAGGCTATGTCTTCTCTATAAAATCAGACAATTATTTCTTCAAAGAAATAAAAAAGGTCACATGTTGGAAAAAGCAAAAGTAAACTGCTTGCCTCACCTGTGCTGCTTCTACCTGTCTCTGCTTAACAGGACCATTTCTGCCTGTCTGGGGCAGCCCATCCCACTCCATGTCCCACTGGAGAATATCAGCCCAACCGGGGTTCAGCACATTGTCTCCCCTGCCAATCCGGCTTCTACTGCCACGAGGCTTCTCCTGGGGAACCCAAGCATTGCCCACCACATTCCTATTGTCCTGAAGGTATGGAACTGTGACTATTGCAGGAGCATCTGTGGGGTGTGGTTAAAAACAGCCCATCGAGATGAGAACCCCAATGAGGAGGTCGGTACTCCATCTGAAAAACAGAGAGAGCTACCACAATGACCAACATGTGGCAGCTTTTGGAGCCACATCCTGCAGACATCTCTGGGAAATAAATTAGCAAAAGCACCAGGGCTGCAAACTTTAATGGACTGAGTCATCAACTGCTTCATCCGTTGTTAGTAAAAACCCCGCTGGTTAATGGGAGCAAAGAGACATGAGAAAAGGTTCTTTGACTCAAGAAAGTCCTTCCTCTTGCTTCAAGTTGGGCATCAAAGAAACTGGCAAGAAAAGTCTTCCTACCCAAAGTTGCATCTCAAATTTCCCAATTGTTTCCCTTGGATGTATGGTCTCCCCTCACTTCTAAGAGACAACCCAGTCATACCCTGGTTTGGATTGGGAAGCCATTGCAAGCCATTTCTAAGAGAAGATGAATCAGCTCACTTTCCTTCTAAGGCAGAATCCAAACTAGTGATGTATATCTTCTCTTCTTAGGTACTTTGGTTCCTCTCCCTTGTCCTGATGGCACCTTCACTTTTCCAGATGTTTTTGGCCTACGAGAAGAGAGAGATTGTGTTCCTTGTTCCCCTGGTCACTACTGCAGGTTGTACAATATTTCCACTACCTCTGCAAATTATAATTTTAGGATCGGTGGAAAGATTTATCGACTGTCTTCCTATTCAGAGAAATCTGTAAGGCAGCTACTAAAATAAAACAGGAGAGAGAATAAGAATAATAAACCTTAACATGTATTAGACTGTAAAGGTGAGACTTGACTTGGGAACAACTAGGGAGAAAATGTAGCTGAGCAGGACCAAGATATAATTCTTCCCAGTCCAAATCTAGCTTTACAAATTGAGGTAATTATATTTCTGTCACTCAAATACAAACTCTTCTATGAAGGGTTTCTGATGATGCTGTCTTTTAAGGCAAAATACAATCATCTAGAGACAAGGTCATCATCGTAGCTGCTCCAGCCATACAAAAATCAAATGCTTTACTCCTTCCAGAGTTTTCCATGAGTTTTCAACTCATCTATTCCTTCTAACTTCCAAGTCTCCTTTAAAGATATTTTATCACTTGTTTAATTTCAATTTTATTTCTCTGTTCTGTGGCTCGGTTTGGTTTGAAGGGACGTACCGTTTTATTTCATGCGATAAATCAATATTTCTCCATTTGAGCTACTTTAAGAAGGGTGGAGTTCAACTTCCAAAATTCCCCAGTCAGCATACTATAAACTCTCTGTATCAATTCATTTGGGAGAAGTGTCATGTTATAGGGAAATGACTGTCTACTAAATTATTTTCCTTGCCTTCTAAATGAAGTCCTACTATTTTCTTTGCTCCAGGGGAGGGCGGATGGAAGGACCCTGTGCTGCTGGCTTCTTCTGCCAAGAGGGAAGTTCTGATGCTACACCACAGGGTTCCAACTTCACTTGGACTCCCCTGGCTGATTGTCTCTGGGGAGAAAGTTGTGCGGGACCTTGTCCAGCAGGTATCTGAGTGTCCTAGAAAGTAGTCTGAAGAACACCTGAAAAACCAGAGCCTAAGGATAGCCAGCATTTGGGGCCTCCAAATATTTGATGATGGCTGTTGAAGAACTGTGCAATTTTATTGCTCTGTAGATGTAGACCTAAGTCCCATGACACACATGTTGGTTTTTTCCACAGTATAGAGGTGGGGAATCTGTGACAACCTGTGTACAATTCCAGAAGCATGAATTAGCAGAAGACAATGTATGGAATAAGAAAGGTTGGGAATTGTGATTCAGCAGCAACTGGAGCAGGAGTATCCATAGAAGGGTCAAAAGAGTCAACATGTCACTCATGCAATTAAAGCTGTGTCCCTGGAGAAGTAGGAACATGAGTAGAATTGAACTTGGTTGCATTCCTTTCCCATAGGATTCTACTGCCCAGAAGGCTCAGTAGCCCCCATTCCATGTCCAGATGACACTATAGGTTCTCACCCAGGTGCCAAGCAAAAAGGAGACTGTCTGCCCTGCCCACCAGGTCGCTGGTGCAAAACAAGTTAGTAGAAATGTCCAGTATTCACCTTCTGTAGAACTTAACTGAAGTGTGACCTCTACAGGTATATTCTTCTATTAATGCCCAGCTTCACAGAAGACTCCATTTTCTCATTCTTCAGGCTATCCTGTGGCTTTTCCATGTCCCTTTGGGTCCAACTGCCAAGGAATTAATCTCACCAATCCCCCTGGGCCACGGACTCTCCAGCAATGTCCCAAGCAGACTTTCCGAACAGAACTTGAGACCGAAGGACAACCAAATTACCAATTCTGCTTGTCAGAATGCCAGTGTCCTCCAGCAGGTGAGCTGCCAATTTTATCGCTGGCTGCAAACTCAATTTGTCAAAATCGTGTTCATGTGAAGAAAGCCACAGGAGCTTGTGAAGTTCTCAGCCAGCATCAATTATCTGATTATTTTGACTTCGTAGATATAATAATATTCTCACTTTGCAAGACTGGCGATTCTTTTAATAGCTGCCATCCTCTGTTGTCTTGCAGCAGGAATGATAACACTACCAAATTCAAACTCTGAAATCTTCACCATTTCTTTCCCACCCACGGTGACTTGTGTTTCTGGGAAGTGTACTTTGTTTGTTTAGCATATGGCATCTACAGAGGTCATGCAACCACTGATATACAACACTAATCAAACACATTACGCATACAAGCACAAATATAAGTTTAAGTAGAGCTTCAGCAAATGTATATATACAAAAATATAGACAGTATAATCGATCAGATAAAATATTAAATTAAGGTAAATCCATGATAAAAATCACCATAATACGGAGCCATAGAATCGCAATAGAATAGATCTATAATTGTATAACTGTTGTTGTTGTTTTTGTTAATTGCGAAGTCATGTCCGACCCATTGCGACCCCATGGACAACGTTCCTCCAGCCCTTCCTGTCCTCTACCATCTTCTGGAGTCCATTTAAGCTCACGCCTGCTGCTTCAGTGACTCCATCCAGCCATCTCATTCTCTATCGTCCCCTTCTTCTATTGCCCTCAATCTTTCCCAGCATTAGGCCCTTCTCCAGTGAGTCCTTCCTTCTCATTAGGTGGCCAAAGTATTTGAGTTTGTATAACTGTAATTGTATACAAAAGCTATAACTGTAGTCAGTAACATGTAGAAAGCTAAAACCAAAACTCTCCACCCTGATATTCTGTCCTCCATGAGAACTGAGAAACATTTAAGGTCCATATTATTGAAAAATTGGGTTTTTGAAACCCTAACCCGAACCCTCAAGACTTCTTATTTTTCTCTTGGCAAAGTGTTGGTGCAAAGTTTGAAGAAAAATTGCTTCTTTCTCTTTGGGGACTCCAGTCTCCTGTCTCTCATCTTTTAATTTGTCTTCTATCTTACAGGAACCACTGTCCTCAGAGACTACCCTTGTGCCCCAGGACATTGGTGCCCAAGCAGAAAAGAAGCTTTTCTTTGCCCACCTGGTTCCTACAGGACTCAGCCTGGAGCTACATCTTTGGAAGACTGCTTGCCCTGCCCACCTGGATTTTTCTGTCCAGATCCAGAAAAGTCAGGAGTGCCAAACATTCTTGGACTACCTTGTGAAGCAGGCTATGAATGTCCACTAGGTTAGTTGTTTATATTTAATGCCAAAATCTCTAGAAAACATGGCGAATGATGAGGAATCTTCACAATGGCTCTTCAGTTACATCTGGAGTGGCTCAAGTTGCCATAACCTCAACTAGAGGTTCTTCAAAGACGACTTTCTGGGAGAAGACACAGAATATAAAGTTGAGTGATTCTTTCCTTTAAGAATGATAAATCTACTGCTGCCTGTCCTATTGCCCAAACCCAGCAAATTCTATTTTTATTTTAACCATGGACACCAAGAGAAGAATGGCTAGAATTTTTGCGAACAACACTGGAGGTATCTATCTTAGCTCTGTGATCACTTCAGTGATCCTAATTGCTTTATTTAATTGTGTTTCAATGACAAACGGTCCCAGTAGTAATCATAAATATAAGGAAAGGCAGATGGAATCTGGAGAGTGTTGGTTTGAGAAGGCAACACTGAAATTATAGTACAATCCCTTGAGTATTTTAATAACTATCCATAGGATAAATACTTCCATTAAAATCAACTAGTGTGGCACAAATCATTCAGAATTGCCTGGTTTGAGACAATGTTAGGACATTCATATTGCACAGCAAATTCCAGATTGGGATTCTGCCTTATCTCAAGCATTTGGTCATCTTTTCAGGTTCATCTCATCCTTCCAAATGCCGTCCTGGCTCCTTGTGTGGGCCCCATACAGGAATCCCACCTCTGTGTCCAGCAGGTTATTATTGCCCTGATGGTTCATCAATATACGAGATTCTTGACCGGCTGTGAGTACATTACTCAAATGGTGAATAGTTCATTATAGTTCTGAAAGGCCCCAGCTTTGAACAGTGTTTAATTCTCCCTATATCACCTGAAAACCTATATGGGTAAGAAAGGTGGCAAGGCTATAATATTCTTCCATCTCTGTTTTTGAAATTCTCCCGGTTGAGCAAAACTGCCCGTGTGAATCTGAGGAAACCGGAACAATAAATTGTATTTGTATTATATTGCCCTTTGTTTAAAAATACATTAGCTCCATACTGTATGCTGATCTGAGCGGATCAAATGAATTTGATATTATTCTGCTTCTTTCAGAAGTGTGTGTGTGTGTGTGTGTGTGTGTGTGTGTGTGTGTGTGTGTGTGTGTTGAATGAGAAATCCAAGTTTCTCCTCCAGCTTTTTAGCAGAGGCAACTTGTATAATGCTGCAGATTGAAGGTAGGGAAAATCTTTATCAGATGTTGGATGAAGCCGAGGTGGCGCAGAGGTTAGGGTGCAGTACTGCAGGCCACTTTAGCTGACTGTGTTCAGCAGGTCAGCGGTTCAAATCTCACCGGCTCAAGGTTGACTCAGCCTTCCATCCTTCCGGGGTAGGTCAAATGAGGACCCAGATTGTTGGGGGCAATGTAAATATATATATATATATATACATTGCTTACTGGTGTACACCGCTTAGAGAGTGCTTGCACTTAAAGTGGTATATAAGTCTCATAAATAAATAAATAAATAAATAAATAAATAAATAAATAAATAAATGAATGAATAAATGATGGTGAACAGGACACTCACCCAACTTCTCTCTTTGGTTCAGGTGTGTCTATCCCTACTACTGCCCTCCTGGCAGTGCCCAACCACAGCTGTGCCAAGCTGGTTATATAGCCCTGAATGTATCTGGTCTCAGGGACTCCTCAGAGAAATGTTGCAAGGCCTGTGATGCAGGGACTTACAAGAACAATCTGGACTCCCACCCACTGTGTTTGCCCTGCCCAGCTGGATTCAGCTGTCCTCCAGGTGATTTTGTGAGACATCCCTCAGCGAAGTCTCTTCTTCAAGCAGTTAATGCAAGAAATGACAATCCAAGAGCTTGTTCGGTGTTCCTCTAATTTTGGAAGAAAGGAAGGAACCCATCTCTTCACTGTTTTGAGAATTGTCATGTGTAACTCTGATCCTAGGTTTTCCATCAGAAAGAGGGACATGCAAACAGGAACTTTATAAAAGGATGTTGCAGAAGGGTGAGATGGAAATGGGGGATGGGCGGGATGGAGAGCAATCTTGGCCTCTGAGTATCATCAAAATAGCTGGGTCAAAATGTACATGGCTTTTCTTTGATTTGTATGTCAATGGAGTAGAAATGGCATTAGAGTACAGTTAATAGGAACTACCGATCATATTGACCATCTGGTTTGATCTGATCTGCATGGATTCAGTGTAAAAAAAAATTGCACGTTGATTGGAACCAAATCATCAGTTCAGTTCAGACTTCCAAATCTGACAATCTCTGTGCTTATTTCATTCAGATGGTCAGTTCCATTTGAGGGAGAAAGAGTATAAATTCAGTCCAATCATTGATGTGGATCAGGGACAGTCCATTTGCTTTAGACGGTGAATTTGATTTGGTCATTTGATCACATCACATTCAAATCTCAGCATCTAACATTTGCATACGCTTGATTATCAGCGCCCTATAACCGGAAGGAGCCATTTCAACCACAGACTCCAGTCCCCTAGTAAGTAATCACTCCCCAAGTTTTTAATCCAGTGGTTCTCAACCTTTTTAATGCCGCGACCCCCAACTGGTCGTAAGTCGAGGACTACTCAACCGGTCATAAGTCGAGGACTACTCAACTGGTGCAGCACCGTTTGCAGAATGGGACTTTTGGCGGGCTCAGCAGGGCAGAGACAGCCTGGACAATTCCTATTGGCTTTTGAAAGCCAATAGAATTAGACTCTATTCAAGAGAGTCTATTCTATTGGCTTTCAAAAGCCAATAGAATAAAAGGGAGTAGCACAGCTAAGGAAAAGGGGGAAAAAATGGCGGACTGCGTTGTTTGGCGACCCCCGTGAAATGGTCGTTTGACCCCAAATGGGGTCCCGACCCACAGGCTGAGAACCACTGTTTTAATCAATTGCCCTTTTATCACAATTCAAACTTCAAGACATGGAAAATTTAGGAGAGAGTAGAGGCAACTACTAGGCTAGGCAACCTGGACAACTATATTGTCTGAATCTTATAAATATATTTTTCTCCGCTTCCTCAATCAGGCACTGCAAGTTTCCTCCAGCATCCCTGTCCACAAGGATACTTCTGTCCTCCCCAGACGTCTTCTCCTTCCCCTTGCCCCCCAGGCACCTATGGGAACAGCAGCCTTGCAAAGTACCTAAAGGAATGCAACCTGTGCCCTGCTGGTTTTTTCAATCACATTCCTGCCCAAACTGGCTGTTTTCCATGTGGGAGCTCTTCAACATCAAGAGAAGGTGAATACTGTGGCCTCTGAACTATTCTGGGATCATCGGTTGACAACTATAATAAGGGAGATGATGTAAATAGGGAGGGACTGGCCATTCTGCTGTTCCAGATTGCTCTTTTTCGTTATGAAGATGCTGACAGTAGGGTGTCTCTCTTGATAATAATGAGCCATTTGGAGCTGCTTTCCGAAAGGATTCTGAAGGTCTTTCGCTGTTGGAGAAAGTATGATACTCTTTTTTAGATACATAAGAAACAAAAGTTTCCACTTGTTACCTCTAAAGTCTTACCTGTTGTAATGGTATGTGGGAATGACCTTGTGAGACAGGTAGAAGGAAAGCATCCAAAGGAAGAATCAGATAAAAGGCAACTTAGCCTGCAGAAGAAAAGTGGGCAGGGCAACTAGCTCAAGAGGGACTTTACCTAGTTCCTTGGATTGTATAGGGCAGGGGTATCAAACTACCAGCCTGTGGGCCCGCTGCATCATACAGAGGCTGTGCCCTCTCCAGCTCCGGCAATACAAAAAAAGTTGTGATACGTTGCAATACATCACATGTTGCGGCGAGTTTGACACCCATGGTATAGGGGATGGGGTAGGGGGAAATGTACTTTCAGACTTAACAAGATTCTGTTAATGTAACCTTACAATAAAGTTGAAGTAGATCATCTGGTTATGCTTCCTGTCTGATCTGCTTCACAAAGCTGACACCTGTTGCTTTCTCTAGGTGCGACTAATTGCACCTGCCTTGGTTTGCACCGGAGTTTTCAGGAGTCAGATGGCTCTTGCATCTGTCAAGCAGGATACCTTTACTATGATGAAAGAGGGGAAAAAAACTCAGATAGCAACAGTGACCAAGATTGCCAACTACAGGTAAAGTGTGAAGATTGGTAACTATTCTGTGGGAGTGGTGGTGGACCTGCTTCTTATTTTTTTTCTCTTCTCTTTCTCCTTCTTCTCTTCTCTCTTTTCCTTTTCCTTCTTCTCCATCTTTCTCTTCTCGTTTCCCTCCTCCTCCTCCTCCTCCTCCTCCTCACAGATAGAAGAGCGCTGTGCTCCAGGGCAAATCCGTCTGGCATCCACACGCGAGTGTGTCATCCCTGAACTATACAATTGCTCCCTAATTTGTAATCCAGGGAATGGAGAACTTCACGCTGAGCTTGGCATGTAAGCTGCCTCTTTCCAGAAAACATTCCTAAGTGTTGGTGAGATGAACTCCCACTGCCCCCAGAGGTTAAATCTATTCTAGATCATCCCCTCCACACCTTAATTTTTGTAACTAGATTTTTTTTTGTGGGATATGTCTGGTGCTCAAAGGAGAAGAAAACAGAACTTGACAAGCATCTCCAAAGAGCCATTTTCTGTAGTCTGATGTCTTCCACATGGGTTGGACATAAAAAAATTCTTGGCCAGTTGCAGACTAACAAATCTAGAAAAGGCAAGTTGGAAGGCTGTCTTAGAGAATTCCGATCTTGTAGCTTCAACAGTGTCTGTGTTGATCTAGGGTTTCCCACTTCTCAACTCCAGATATTGCTCTAAAAAACAACATTTAAAAATCTTGCATCCTCCCAGATGGAAACTCTCTGAGGTCCTTTGCTTTTCTTGGTCTCTAAGATGTCACTGTGAGCAGTATGTATCTGCAGAAGAGCTCTGCGATCAACTCTGCTTGCTGAGATCCCCTAGACTTTCCCTCAGGTTTGGCCCAGAAAGAGAGCTTCTCCTCAACATCAAGGGGGCTGAGGAACGAGTAAGTAGGGGATGTCAGAATTATGCCCTGGATGAGGGTGCACGCTTTCTAAGTTGGTGTTCTTTGCATGTAAGCTTTTCTGTACAGGAGGGAGCAACACTGAAAGAATAGAATAGAGTTGGAAGGGACTTTGGAGGTCTTCTAGTCCAGCCCGCCCCCAAGCAGGAGAACGTATACCAGGGGTCTTCAAACTTGGCCCTTTTATGTCTTGTGGATTTTGAATCCCAGAATTCCTCAGCCAGCGTGCCTGGCTGAGGAATTCTTGGAATCGGTCCACAAGTCATAAAAGGGCCAAGTTTGAAGATCCCTGACCTATACTATCTCAGACAAGTGACTATCCAACTTCTTCTTAAAGACCTCCAGTGATGGAGCACCCATGATTTCTGAGGGCAAGCTGTTCCACTGGTTAATTGTCCTCACTGTTAGGAACGTTCTCCTTAATTCAACAATAATAGTTTTATATAAGGTTACAGAGAAACCATGGGGATTGCTTTAGACCAGTGGTTCTCAACCTGTGGGTCGGGACCCCATTTGGGGTCGAATGACCATTTCACGGGGGTCGCCAAACAAGGCTGTGCGCCATTTTTTCCCCCTTTTCTTTGGCCACGCCCCTGGCACCCGGTGATGTATAAGTGGTTGGGGGTCACCACAACATGGGGAATTGTATTATGGGGTCGCGGCATTAGAAAGGTTGAGAACCACTGCTTTAGACATTATAAGCAGTAAAAGCAATATGTGGGTAATTAGAATCATAGGGCTAGAAGGGATCTTGGAGGTCTTCTAGTCCAACCCCCTAGCCAAGACAGGACTCCTTATACCATCCCAGAGAAATGTGCTCCTGCTTTCTCTTTCCAAACCAGCATGGTGGAGACTCACGGTAGGCACTTTATATTTCCTGTTCTCCTTCCCCCACTTGGTTGTTCTCTGCTTTACAGGAGATACCAAATACTCTTGGACCAGATCACCACATTCCAGAAATCCAGAAGGTCCATTTAACTGTCTTTGGCCCCAGGGGTGTTTTAGGCTTTCTTCCTACCAACCCAGACATGATTGATGTTTACCTATCAGGTAAGATGTGAGATTTAGTTAGTGATGGAGGGACCTGCAGCTCACCTAAACTTTGCTAGACTCCCTTCCCTCCTCCCTAAATGATGGCCGTCTTGGGTGAAGCTAATAGGTATCGAAGTCCCAACAACATGAGCCAGTTTGGTGTAGTGGTGAAGGCACCACATTAGAAACCAGGAGATTGTGAATTCTAATCCCATTTTAGGCATGAAAGCCAACTGGGTGACTTTGGGCCAATTACTAGAAAACTGTGAGTTCTGGTCCTGCCTCAGACATGAAAACTGACTGGGTGACGTTGGGCCAATTACTAGGAGATGGTGAATTCTAGTCCTGTCTAAGGCATGAAGGTTGGGTGACTTTGAGCCAGTCACTCTATCCCAGCCCTAGGAAGAGGACAAGGGCAAACCACTTCTGAAAAAACCTTGCCAAGAAAGACAAAGCATTCCCCAGGAGTCCTGTCTAATGTAAGGACCCACCCCACTTTGCATCTTAAGAAGACAGAACTCTTGGAATAATTCTTCCAACAGGCATCCTTTATTAAGAGAAAATGGTTGCAGGCGTTCTAGACAGGACTTGGGGTCCAAGCTCTCCCATTCAAGGTTTTAAGGGGTTCCCCAGTAGCCCCACCCAATCACCCCCTTCTTCCAGCGACAGTCTCAGGCATTACACTCCCACCCCCTTTTCCTTACTGCCGGCTGGATGGAGACTTCAGAGAGAACTACATGAAAGGTAATAGCCCCATTCTTATGGTTAGTCCTTTTGGTGATACACACATCCAGTTCCTTTGAAGTGTACCAAAGGAAGTGAGGCCATAAAGCCCCTTTGTTCACCCCCTTCCCTTCATCGTATGACAGAATCCATAGAAGGCAGAAATGGGTTTTTTTATAATTGATAACTAGAGATGAAATATAATTGGATTCTGACAGAAGGACTCAAAGGCATACAAATGCAAAAAAACAGAAATAAAAGCCGATTCTTCTAAACTTTTAGGGGGAGTAGAAACAGAATAACTAGAATAATAGAATAATTAGAACTTCAAGACGTATTTAACGGTCTCCTATTTTTCTCTTTCATTTTATTTAAAAAAGCATTTAATCTCCTTGTTTCACAGCAGTTATGCCTTCACGTTAGACTGCCTTTTGCTTTTTCTCATCCAAGCTATTTTATTTTAAAGCGTTGGCTCTTCATCAAAAAAGAAAAAAAAAAGGCTTAGCTTCTCTTCCTTATTCTGTTATTTAAGGCATTAGAATCTAGTTCTCCTCTTTGGACAGATGCCACCCCCTCCCCTTGTTAAATTCAGGATGAAATTAATCTTGTGCAAAATTAAAACCCATTTACCTACGGGTGGGGCATACTTCTATAGCTTTTCTCCCGATAAAATCTCTATGGGTTTAATGTCAGATTTACAGCCAGGTTACACATTATTTTATTGGCTAGATCTATATCCTGTTTTTTCTCTAGGATAGGAGCTCATGGCAGCTTACAGGAGACTTTTGCTTAATTTCATCCCCCACAAGAAGAACCCTCTGCGATAGAACAGGCTTAGAGATAAGATCCCAAATCCTCCAGCTACGTCTCGTAGCTGAAGGTAGATTAGGACTTGGTTCTATCCAATCCTTATCCAAAAATTTGCCTACTCCACCGCACTGTCTCTTACCATCACATCACAACAGGAGTTCCAAAGTGATTTATTTGTGTAAACCCCAAGATCCTATAGAGACCAATGGATGCGCAAAGAGGTTGTGTTTGATAATGGATTCAACTGAATGACCATATGAAGAAATCATTAACTTCTGGTTTCATTTCTCCAAGGACATTGACTGCTATCTGTTGATAGGACAGGACAGGACAGGACAGGACAGGACAGGACAGGATAGGATAGGATAGGATAGGATAGGACATGATAAGATAGGATACAGAAAGAATAGGATGGGATGGGATGGGATGGGATGGGATGGAATGGAATGGAATGGAATAGAATAGAATGGAATAGAATAGAATCAGAAATATAGAATAGAACAGAACAGAATAGAATTGAATTGAATAGAATAGAACTGGAAAGGACCTTGGAGGTCTTCTAGTCCAGCCTTCTGCTCAAGCAGGAGAACTTATAATATTTAAGGCAAGCATTATGATTTTATAACATATATCATAGAATCATAGGGCTGGAAAGTTGCTCGGAAGTCTTCTAGTTCAACCCCCTGCTCAAGGCAGGAGACCTTATACTATCTTAGTCAAATGGGTGTCCAGTCTATTGTTCAAAACCTCCATTGATGAATCACCCACAACTCTGGGAGACAAGCTATTCCATTGATTAATTGTTCTCACTGTTAGAAAATTCCTCCTGACTTCTATATTGGATCTGTCTTCCATCCATTACTTCTTGTCCTGCCCTCTGGGGCTTTGGAGAATAAGTCATTGATGAGAAATTCCTAGCTAGCCTATAATGATGCCCTTTCCCCCAGTTTTTTTTTTTTTAAATGAAGCAAGGAAGTGAATTAACTTTCATATTTTTATCAACTTTACTGGTCCAGGAGATTCACAACCAAGATACCGGCGGGATGCATCACACCAACATTTGCCTACCATCCCAAATCCTGTCGCGTGTTTGATAGTGGGAGATGCTATCCTTTTCCAGCTCGGCATTAATCCCTCCAGTAAGTCCTGGCACCAGAAGTCAATTTTTTTGCCTTGACACGGACATGTTGGCTCAATAAATTTGGGAAATATGAACAGCAATTTCTCTTAATCCAGGGCTGATGGGGGAAATCGTTAGTGTTGAGCCAACTCTAAATGTTAAATGGCTGTCAGCAGAAAAGATTTCTTGGGCCATGCAGAAAAAAATATTAACTCATGCTGTGTAGAAAATTTCCTTTTCTCCCCATCTCTTCTAAGCTCTCAGTTTTGAAAAAAAAGAACTTGCTTTCGAATTTTTTTTTTCAAGGGGGGGGGAAATGCACCAGGATGGAGCGTAGTGTTTTGGCATGTATTTACTCATATTTCTTTGCATGTATTTCATCAAGAAAGTTGGGTAAAATGTTTAATGAAGCTGCCCTGAGTTCTCTCTCAGGTGTCCATTAAATGAAGAAAATGAAGGAAAGAAAATCCCTCAGGTTTTTGTTATTATATTTTTAGGTGTTTTTTTTTAACTGCACATATTTTACATTCTTAAAATGACTATTTGCATTCTACCCCTTCCTATGCAGGTCTATGATTGTAATAAGGATTTGATTTGAACTCCTTCGGTGCTTGGGAGGGGGGAACCTATTAGAGCAGGGGTCCCCAATCCCCAGTCCGTGGACCGGCACCAGTTTGCAACATGCCAGCAACTGGGCCACACAAACAAGCAAAGACCCATCTGCGGGATGCAGGCAGCACACAAAACCACACACCCTCCCGTCCGTGGGAAAACTTCTCTCCACATAACTAGTCCCTGGTGCCCAAAAGGTTGGGGACCTATGTATTAGAGGACTCTCTCCCAGTTGCCTGTCATACCCACAGCATTCAAGGAGAGAGGAAGTTCAAAACACTCTGGAAGATTTGATCCCAGAAGGCAGGAAAGATATTTTATTTTCCAGTGAGGAAAGTCTACATCCCCAGGGCATCAAGACAGAGCAGTCACTGTCTGCCAATTCTTTTTTTTTTTTTTTTTTTTTTTGTAAAAAAATTTATTTTCAACTTTACAATACATAACAATCTTACAAATACTTCAGATAAAAAAATAAAACAAATTGATACACACCACATTCGGTCTTGCCCGCCCATTTCCCCCCAAACCGCATCCCACCTCAAACCAACTTACTTCTTTCCCTCTTTTTCTTCACTCACCCTCTCTCCTCCTTCACCTCCACCTTCCTACTTACTTCTCACCTTCTTCTCCTCCCTCTTGATGCAGTCCAGGGGAAATGCCCGAGCAGTTCCTCTCTCAAAATTAAAACATTAATATTATATACAATAAGACTATTTCTACTTTATCTGAACTACTTAAACTTCAACCCATCCACCCCCCACCCCCCACCCCCCCTCCACCCCCCACCCCCGACTTCCCAGAGCAAAATACAGGATTATGCAAACATATTAAACATAATCTATTTAAGTTTACTAATTATACAATGAACAAAATCATAAAAGCCCTTAACTCTCTTCAAACTTTAACATCATAAGTTTATAAACAAAATCATTACTCATAGAATAAGTGAAACTTTGTAGTTCCATATTTCTTCTGAACATATTCTATCCATCTTCTCCATACGTTAAAATATCTCTCTTGTACTGTCTGCCAATTCTTACCAGATCGGGCTTCTAGCCACTACCCTGTCTACCAGAAGGGACACCTTTACAACAGCAATCCCCACTGGGATTTTGGTGCATTCAGAAGGCTGGATCACCTCATCCGAGAGACCCAGCTCAACATTTCCAGGTATGTTCAGAGGCAATTTGCTTTTTTTTTTTTTTTTTTGCCACAGTAGTTCTACTTCCTTCTGCAAATCTTTATATTCTGTTACCTTCTCCGGTTCTGTTCTGCTCTCTCCATGTATTGCCACTTCCGTTATTCAGACTTTATCTTTCTTATTGACAGTTGTTAAGTTTAGCATGTTATATGGTAGGTGCCTCTCTGTTTGAATTCTAAGTCCCAGAGCATTTTGGCATCTTCATTTTCTGTTACTGTGCCTATTCTTGCTTGCAGGCAAATAGTATTCCTTGCCGACATTATTATTCCTTTTTCTCTCTCCTCACTCATGTAACCTCACTGCGTCTTCCTCCCTTTCTCACTGAGGTTATTTCTCTACCATGTTTTCTGCCTATGTTCATTGCTGGTATAGTATGTAAAATTCTACAACTGCCCTCCAGATGTCACCACACGCCAGCAGTTGCAGCAGGCATACTCAATGGTGAAGCAAGACAGTAACTTATAAAGGAGAATATTTGTAGCTCAGAGTTGACATCAGGGGCCCTTGGTGCTCTCTGAGTTTGCTTGTTTTCTTGCAGATGTTTCATTACCCAAAAACTAGGTAATATCATGAGTGCTAGCACTGCACTGCACTAGCACGGATGATGTTACCTACTTTGGGTAATGAAATGTCTGTAAGAAAAAAAAAAGTAAGTTCAGAGAGCACCCAGGGCTCCTCAAGATAGTAACTATAATTCTGTATCATTTGGAACATTTCTGGTTCCTCTGTCTTGCAGCCTGTGAAGGAATGTACTGGGCAGTTGGATTCCCAAAAGGGAGGGTAATAGTAATAGTAGTAAAGTTGGAAGGGACCTTTGAGGTCATCTAGTCCAACCCCCTGCTCAGGCAGGAAACCCTACACCATTTTGGACAAATGGCTGTCCAATCTCTTCTTAAAAACTTCCAGTGTTGGAGCATTCATTGCTTCTGGAGGCAGGCTGTTCCACTGGTTAATTGTTCTCACTGTCAGGAAGTTTCTCCTTAGTTCTAGGTTGCTTCTCTCCTAGAGGAGTAAGAGGCAACTCAGCCCTGATACTATGTGTGAGAGAAAGAGGATGAAGACAGACCCTCCTGTGTTATGTCCTGGGCTGTGATTGACACAGCAGGTGCAGGAAGCTGCAGAGAGTCCCGGGCAGACCACGAGGCTGCCCGGGCCAAATAGACTGTCTCCAGCCTATTGCGCATGTGCAAGGCAGGAAAAATACATTGCATTTATTGGTTGATGCTACTCCCTGCAGAAGGGCATAAAAGGGATCCGCGCCATTTTGTGTTGTTCTGTTGAAGATTGAATAAAAAAGCAACTGTTGTTACTCCTGCCTCGTCTCAATGCCTTACCAACGCTCAGAACAGAACACCCTGATAGTTCTCAGAGTCTGTTGTAAATGCAGATAGTAGAGTCCTTGGTCTGACAAGATTTTGTCTATAAATGTGAAACAACGGAAACCTCAACTTGGAAGAATTACCAGATGTCATTCTTGGTTTTGAGCCTGACAGATGGTGACCAAGGAATTGTGGGAATTGAAGTCCACACACGGCGACTGAAGAATTCTGGGAGGTGAAGTCCACACATGAGCTGATGGACTGTAGTGAGGAGGTGGATCCTCAGATAGGAGGAGGTGCATTCCAGAGAAGCAAGGGGCAACTCAGTCCTGCTACTATGTGTGAAAGAAAGAAAGTGAAGACAGCATCTCCTTAACAGCTCTCAGAGTCTATTGTAGATGCAAGTAGTAGAGTCCTCAGACTGGCAAGGTTTTATCTATCGGTATGAAAACAATAAAGAACTCAGATTTGGAAGAATCACCAGGTGCCATCCTTGGTTTTGAGCCTGACTCAGCGTAGCCAAATATCTTTTTTCCCCATTTCAGGTTCAGCCATGTTTTTCTAGAACCTGGGACCTATGTGTTGAGGGATAATGGTGTTGAAAGCCGGATGCTGATTGTGGTAGTGAATGAGCAAAGTTTGGGATGTAATCCCCACACAGCTTCCTTCCAGCCTTCCTCTCCATACCAGCTGGCGCGGCATGGAGTTTTGAAGCACCCAGTGGTGAATATTGCCCCTGATTGGGCAACTATTGCAGGTAAGTTCAGCCCTATGTGGTACATGAGAAAATTTTTATGGAGTTTATGCTGTGTTTGGCTTATTATGAAAGACATTATGCTAAGTAGGAACCCTGCACTGGCCTGTATTGTCCTCTCTACTTCTATTAGGCGTATAAGACCTCCTGATTCCCCATCGCAGGCAGATACCTCCATGATTCATGGGTGTATAAGAAGGGGGTGCTTCACAATCAGCCTTGCAAAATTCTGAGCAGCTGACTCTCCTTCCCTCAATCAGCTCCATATTTCTTCTGCCCTTTTCAGTTGTCCTTTTCATCTTGGGCTTCCTGACCGTGGTGTTGACTGCCCTCTTTTTCTTACTGAGGCTCCCCAGCTGCCCTCCTAACCCAATGAAGATGTGGAAGCCCCGATGGAGGAGTTTAGGAGAGTATCACATCCCACCAGAGTATGTGCTTATTAAAGAGAGGTGAGTGGAGAAAATAAGGTCTAGTGTCTATGAAAGAGCCATCATAGATTTTTAAACTATATGTACGTTGCCCGTTGCCAAATATTATGTTTTTTTCAGTGGGGTTAGCTTCTTAGACTGTGACTGCGTGTGCCACTCTTAAGGTCAGATTTATGTTTTCCATCTCTACTTCATTCTCTCTCATCTGTCATTCAGCCTCCAGTTCCGCACAGCCCTTGGACCTCAAAGCTTTGGAGAACAACTGGATGTCAGAGAAGAAAGCTTTCCTGGATGGTGTAAGCATCTCACTTGAGGATTGGTGTTCCCACAAATGGGTGGTGAAAGTTACCTCTTTCTTCATCCTCTGGGAACAGCCTAATGCTGTTGATTGAAATGTGTTTTTCTCCAGTTCGGGCATGAACAATGGATCCTGGTCTTTAAAAAAAAAAAAAAAAAGCTGTGTTCCAAAATTGGTTTTCCAAAATGACTGAAGAAAGTCTGTCACCTTCTCCAATCAACTTTCTAAAGGGGGGGGGGAGGGAGAGAGACAGCTCTCTGCCTGCATTTGGAAATCCTTTCCTTTCTGCCTCTGTTTATTTACTTAATGATTGATAGATGAAACATGTACATGATAGATGATTGATAGATGAAACATGAACCATATAGATGATAAATTTGATAGACGGTACATGAAACAACATGAAACATGTAGATATAGATGATAGATGATTGGTAGATGATACATGAAACATGAAACAGGTGCATGATAGATGATTGATAGGTGTGTGTGTGTGTGTGTGTGTGTGTGTGTGTGTGTGTGTGTGAATGAATGGTGGTAAGATGAGGACTATTTTTAAAGCTCTGTGACAGGGGTTCTCAACCTTGTCAACTTTAAGACTTGTGGACTTCAACTCCCAGAATTCTGGGAGTTGAAGTCCACAAGTCTTAAAGTTGACAAAGTTGAGAACCCCTGCGAGTCTGTGAGATCTTCAAGTCAACATGTTTCCGGTAGTGGTGAAAGAAAGCTTCATCCAGCAGGTGGAAGCATTTCCACTCTTAGGAAAAACCTTTGCTTAACATATTCGCTTCTTCACATTAAGAGAGGAACGTTTTTCATGTCCTAATCTTCCTGCAGATTCTATCTGTCCATTTCTCCCTCAGATCTCAGGAGCAATCTCTATCTTACATTTTAAATCCCCTATCAAGTGCTTCAAGAGTACCTTGCAACTGTGTAGATGACTTTGAAGTGTGGCAAGTTTTGAGAATAGGCTGGCCATGGAAATCCTTGTCCTTGCAGATTATGCCAATCCTTACTCAAATTACGATTGGTCTTATAAATGGCAGCAATAAGAAGCAAATGTTTACTATGAGCCTGTTCCATGGAAATGAATATAAGCTGAAGAGCTGGCTAAGTTGAAAACATTTCATACCATCTGATAATCACTGATGGTTCATAATTTCCACAGTCTTCAACCTCTGTTGTGGCTTTCTGGATGCAAAGCCAGATCAGACTTTGATGCACTTGATCTAAGTTTTGTGGAATGTCCATCTAAACGTTGACTCTAGCTCCCTATGCCATCTTCCTGGTATTCTACCTTCAAAATCTGATTCCCAGATATATCGCTTTGGATAGGAAGATAGACAGCATGTAAATTTGATAAGTAAATATCCAAGTTTTGTACCACAAGAACCTCAATCTGTGGAACAGGGAAGGGGGGAAGGACAATTCAACTGAGACCACCTATGATTTGTGAGAGGATCTGGAAGCTTGCCTCCTTCATTTAACCGTTTCTTCGTGTCGTGTTCTGATCTTGAAGGTGCTAAGAAAGCCAGTATCAAGTGTGTTTCTTTCAGGTGATAATCAATTTGCAATGAAAAATCTGGAAGACTTCAGCGTTCGCACCTTGTATGACAAACTAGAAGATCAGAACTTGCATCTTGCATCACAGCTTGCGAAACACCGGACTGAAGTCTCAGTATTTTATCGAGGAATCAGTCAGAAAATTCAAAGTCTTTGGGTCAGTATTTTGAAGCAGGAAACAGATGCTCTTTCCCACAAGATCTGGCGGGTGGGTGGGGGGGATGGGGAAACTGTTATCCCAAAACATCAGGAAAGGTCAGAATTAAGAAAAGTTGCAATGGCAGGCTAGCATAAGCCTCTAGTGCAAGCCATGGTGATACCATGTGGGTCATGACTTCATCACACAGATACTACCAATGATGATTATGGAAGTGCCATTATTTGCACAGTGATGTTATGATGCTGGTGATGTTACTTCCTTCCCCCTTTTGCTGTGGATGGTCATGAGAGATGATGTACTGGAATCCAGGGCTGAGTTTCGGGAAGAAGAAGTAGAGACATATTAGCTTTGAATCGCTGCTATGCAGGAAGAGACACAGAAAGGATCCTCCCTAATTCTTGACAGTATTTATCAGAGATTTATGCAGAGTGTGCTTTAGTCTGGCAAGATTCTGTCCATTAGGTGTCCCACACCTGACAACTAGACAAGCAAGTAATTTCAATAAAATGCAACGTCACACTCCTTAGTTTGACAAAAGGGGGACTTTTACCAGGGAACTAAAGCAGTTGGTGAAGAAGGTCAAAGTCCAGGATGTAAGGTAGCGTTACAATAATACCCATGCATGCATAATCTTATCATTGTTCTTTGTATGGGTTGCAAAGTATTGTTTTCTGATATTAGGATATGATACAGGAAGTGGATTTGAACAAACCGAAGGGTTCTGAAGAAGACATCTCATATAAGGGAACCCAACAGAGTGAGAATTCTCCAACTAAATTGTCAGGGGTCTTGAAAGCAATGGGCTACTCAGGTGGGTAATTTAGCTAATTAATATTACAAAGATATCTAGGTTTTCCAGTCTCACTCAGACAACTAATTCCATTTAAAATCTGCCTATAATGGGATGGAAGGAGGAAGTAAAGCAGTTTTTTTAAGCCACATTGTCCATTTCCATTGGTGAAACCTCTCTATGATGTAGCTATTATCGTTGGAAAGGACTGTACCACAGGGCTTTTCAACCTTTTCATCCATTGTACCACTTTTAGGATAAGGCAATATCTGAGTACCACCAGTCACCTTGCAAGGTGTCAACAACATGACCCCAAAAAAAGAGGAAAAAATGATAAAGTACAGGTAGTCATCGACTTACAACAATTTGCTTAGTAACTGTTCGAAGTTACAACGTCACTGAAAAAAGTGACTTATGACCATTTTTCACACTTATGACTGTTGCAGCATCTCCAGGGTCATGTGATTTACATTCGGATGCTTGGCAACTGATTTATATGTATGACGGTCAGTGTCCCAGGATCATGTGATCAACTTTTGCAACTTTTTGACAAGTGAAGTCAATGGCTGGGGGTGTGTGGCCAGTTCATCACTCAGGTTGCAGGGTGCCTGTGGGGGGGGGGAGAAATCTGTGGGTCTCTGGTGGATGAGGGTGGGACTGGGGTGGGTGCCTTCCTTCCCTCCCTCTCTCCCATTGTTCTTTCTTTTCTTCTTTCTTTCTTCCCTTTCTTTCTTCTTTCCTTCCCCCCCTCTTTGTCCCTTCCTCCTTTCCATTGTCCCTCCCATTGTCCTGCACTACGCTGCCCAGACCCCAGCCTGGTTTTGGCAGGCACCAGAGCATTCTCACCACATGGAGTGGCCAGGAGCGAAGTGAACCGGCAACATCCCGGCCCTGCCTGTGCGCATATGGAGGCATAGAAAAGTGCATGCTTGAAGGTGGCCGTGCGCACACCCCTCCTTTGCCTGGAATTGCCGCTTGACCTGCTGCGGCCAGGCGTGTCATGTGGCTGGCAGCTTTTGGTGGTGCTGCTGGGGTGGTGAGTAGGCAAGGGGGGCTTCTCCCTCCAGGGATGGGGGGAAAAAGACACATTCTCCAACCGGCTCTTCCTTCCCCTTCTCTGGGCTGGGCTGCAATCTCGTCCGCTGCTTCTGCACCTCTTCCTTCCTCCTCCCCCCCCCCCTTGCAGAAAAAGCAAAGGCAGGCGGTGGGCCAGGGGGTTTCTCCATCCCAGATACTCCGAGAAGCAGTTTCCCTTCCTTGCCCACAGCCCCACCCTGAATTACTGGCATCCTCCACTGGAGAAATCCCTGTCTTTGCAAGAGAGGCAGAAGCGATCATCCTTTTGCAAGCAGGAAATCTTGTACGGGAATTGCAGCCCAGGATTTCCCCTCCACACACACTTTCCCTGGCTTGCCCCGTATCTGGGGTCTCCTTCCTCACCAGGAGACCCACAAGATTTCCTGCTTGCAAAAGGGCAATCGCTTCTGCCTCTCTTGCAAAGACAGGGATTTCTCCAGCGGAACAAAGCAGAGAGGTGAAGAACGTGGAAGTATGGTAGGAAGGCAGTTCCTTAGCTTCAGTAACTGTGCCTGAAGTCGAACACTTCCCACTTCCATTCCCAGCAGGGAAAATCAGCCAGCTGCCTCTCCGCCTTCTCACGAGGGGCGGGACTCTGGCCACTGGCAGCGTGGCCTGCAGGAGGCTGCAGGTATCCCTAGGGGTGCCTCTGCAGGCCGGCGCTGACCTCCTTGTTCTGGGCGGCCCTCTTGCCGCAGTTGGAGGGAAAAGACACTCGTGTCTGGCTCTGTGCGAGGCCTGATCTCTGACTGTGAGCACAACCAGGAAAATAGGGGCCAGTGTGTTGGGCTTGGATGCGAGAGCACAGGGCTGTTTGGGCCACCTGTGCTTCATTAGTAACCTTGGCTGAAGGATGGGGTGCATGGGACGCTTGGAAGCCCCAAGTGGGATGCTCGGAAGGCGCTCAGAATCTGTCCTGCTTGCACGTGTGTTTGGCTTCCATGCCGCGCCGCCACCGCTGCCTACACCCGCAGCTCCTCCTGCCCCCCCCCCCCCGCGCCAGCCATTAACCCTCCTGCCACCATGCAGGGTAAGGTTGGTGCATTCTGTTTCTCCATTTGCTTCTCAGCCTTTGCCACGTGTTTGTGGGACTATCGGTAAAAAAGAAAAAAATTTCCATAAGACTTTCTAACTTCTCGTGAGAAGTTAGAAAGTCTCATGGAACTTTTTTTTTGTCTCCCAAACACATGGTGAAGGCTGAGAAGCAAACAGAGAAAGAGAATGCAGCTGAAATGCAGGTTAGTAAAAAAAAAAAAACACTTGGGGAAGACGAGAGCATCTGGGTTAGGGTGAGGTAGATGGGAAATATCATAAGAAATATATTTTAATTAACAGGAATGATGTGATGTAAGCTTTAACTAATATTAAGCTTTAACTAATATCAGGATCTGGCTAAATGAAATAACCTGTGTGCTAATTCTATGAAGAAAACATTTTACAAGAAGTGCCAGCTGAAAGTCACAGATGGTGTAAGAGATTACGCATGTAGGGCGGTGTGATAAAATAGCCACTTTTGTAAACTCCTTTTTCAAGTGTGTGGTTTCAAGATATAAACTTCTGCGTTTTAGTGTGTTAAAGGTCGATAAGGGTCATCCTGAGTGTAACAAGTGGGTGGCCAGCTGTATAAGAATGACACCCTGGGAGTAGCCCAGGGTTCAGAATTTGTCATGCGAATGCTCTGAACCATTTTGCGCAAATAAACCTGTTTTCTCTAACCCTTCGTGATCTTGTCTTCTGATGTAAGTATTGTGGTTTTTCCACTACAAGGGCAGGGGCAGCAACCTTACCCTGTGCAGCTTCGGCAGCTGTTCGCCACCATGGACCCAGGCAAGGTGTCACACAGTTCCAGCAGACTCTCCACGGAAGACTGTGTGAAGCTGCCTCCTATTCCCCAGGCTGCTGCCAATCAGCTGGAGCTGCACGCTTTGATCCTGGGCTCTCAGTAGAACCCAGGTGACGTGCAGTTCCAGCTGACTTTGCCACAAGCCTGTGCGGCACTACTGTGGCTTCACCTCATCCGCTTTTACATTTTTTTAACATTTTTTAAGCATTTTTTACGGTTTTTTTACAGTGCTGTTCAACCCGTCCTACGCGTACCACCAGCCAGGTGCTCACGTACCGCTGGTGGTACGCGTACCATGGGTTGAAAAGCCCTGCTGCACCATACCAAAAATATTTTCATTTCCCAGGAAAAGTTCACATGAGAAGACACAGTTTCTCTGAGTCCGTAGAGGCTTCCATCCAAATCAATCCAGTCAATTTGTTGAATTTTGCCTTAGGCGCAGAGTGGCAGGAGGCTACTGAGTTAATGAAAATCCTGGGCATTTTGCTGCAAAAAATCCAGTATCAGAAAATAGCCATGAAACAAGAAAAGGCCGACAAACATGAGGATGCTAAGGAACCCAGTATGAAGAAAGGTCAACAGGCTGCAGCTGAGAAACAATGTGTGGTAAGAATAAAGCTGTTCCTGTAAGAACGCCCCGTAGCATTTCCAAGTGACAGTGATTTCTTAAAATTGTTTATCCTCTCCAGGATACCCACTTTCTGCAGCAGCTCTGGCTAAAAAACACTGGAATCAGTGCTTCCTCCTCCTCCCATAGGTGTAAAGATGAAGGTAGGGGTTTTTCATTTGATTGTGGAGCATCCCTTCCTTTCCTGATGTCATTACATTCCACCAGTCACCCAGAAAAGCCCAGGGCTGAATGGAAATTGTTCCATTCTTGTCTGGCTTAGTCCCATCCAATATTAGCAAAGTACCTTGGATTTCCAGAGGGAGGGAGCAGAGGTTTTTAAGTACCAGAACCTCTATATTTGTCCCAAATGCATGTTTAGGAAAGGTAGATCTCCCACCTGCTTAAAAGAGTCCCCCATCTATGTGACCATCACCAGGGAACATGAAACAGTCCATTTTCTCTTCAAGCCTTCAAACAAAACTAAGATGGCTTTTTTGTGTAACCGGTGTGGAGCACTGCTCCACAGGAGCATCAGGTTTGTGTGAATGAACATCAGGCTTGTGTGAATGAACTTCAAGCAACTTCTTTCCTTGCCAACCTCCTATATAAAATCAAACATTTTTAGAAGCAACACACCAGTACTCTTGCTCTTTTCCTTCTGCAGGTGAAGAAGCAGATTTTCACTAGGTCCTCTGAAAATAGCTTCTTAATCAGCAAGACTTTTTTTTACAACAAATGTGAGAGAGCAGCTCTCTGTATCTAAGATTACTTTAGGAAGTCCCCAAACCCAGGAGTCTTAGTAAATGGAGCGTTTTAGAAACAAATGAGTTAAATTAATTCCAATCCCTATCATTTTCATCCCAGGAGCAAATGGAGAAGATGACAACCATCTTTCTTTGGGGACCAGCAAAAATACATTGATCATCACGAACATAGCTAGTTTATCACCCCAACAATTTCTGGTTTATCGCTTTGGCTGCACAGTGGCACACCTGATGGGAAGAGTCTTCTGTTTGCCAGCATTGGTACTCCTATTGGCCGAAGCAATCCCTCAACAGCACTCCACGGGAGATCAGGAGGCCACTTGGCTTACCAAAGATTTGTACTATGATGCTGACAACCATTCCCTCTACATTCTTTCATCACACCTGGAGAATGCTGGGGTATTTGTGGCAGTGTTGCTGAATGCCATGGCACATGTCAAAGCAGGTATAATTCAGGGGTATTCAAGAGCTTAGATGATAGGTGCCTCCAGCTTTAGAATAAAATAGAATAACAGATTTGGAAGGGATCTTGGAGGTCTTCTAGTCCAAGCCCCTGCTCAGGCAGGAAACCCTATGTCATTTCAGACAAATGTTGTCCAATTTCTTCTTAAAAACCTCCAGTGTTGGAGCAGTCACAACTTTTGGAGGCAAGTTATTTCATTGATTAATTGTTCTAACTGGCAGGAAATTTCTCCTTAGTTTAGTTTCCATTCATTGCTTCTTGTTTTGCCTTCAGACACTTTGGAGAATAGATGGACCCTCCCGCTTCTTTGTGGCAACCCCTCTTAACTCTAGCAGGGAGATGCCTCCAAGGTTTCAGAAGACCTTAAGTAAGAGATGGAAGATGAGGTGGCTGCTGCAACAGCACTGAACCAGTTTTTATATGAGCGTGGTTATTCCTTGCAGATGTATCATTACCCAACTATGTAACATCATCAGTGGTAGCAGTGGATAATGAAACATCTGCAAGAAAATAACCAAGCTCAGAGAGCACCAAAGACCCCACAGTTCAAGCCTGAGCTATCTCTTCTCTTCTACCAGCAGTTTTTCTATCTCTTCTGGAACATCTACTTTCAACTTCTACAACATGCTTCTGCCCAAATGTGATGGAATTTCAACTTTGGTGAGGGTCATTTGGCCTTACTTCTTGAAAATATTACATTAGGGAGAGCTGGCCTGGTTCAATTTGTCCCCATCCTGTTTTTGCTAACAAATGGTTCACAGTAGAGATGGGGAAATTACTTTTACCACATTTAAATGCCATAAAAAAGATGAATGTGTTGATCTCATCTAGAGGGAGATAGAAATGAACACAGAGCTGTCAGTTTGAGAAGGAGTGTCTTTCACTTTATGTGTCATTCCACCCTGAAATCCCTTAATTACAGCTATCATGAAACACAACCCAGTCCTGTCAGTTTTAGGTGATAGATTATTGTTTTATAATATGGAGTTCTACTTTGAGGTCCTTTAATTGTAGATACCATGGAGTTCAACACAGATATTTCATTTCTGGTAACCATCACATTCATATTAAAACGTATATTTTTATTTGATAGCATGAAAGCCTTTAATAGGAAACGCTATAGACTAAATCAAGGACTATCAAATACAGGAATGACAAACTATTGCCACACCAAACCTCATCCTGGACCATTCCACCTTGTGATTGATTGACCAATGCTCTCTTCATGTAATTAGATCCAGGGATTACTTCTGGATTCTGTTTAGGAAGCTGGTCTTCATTGCTGGAGCTTCTATAACTTGCTTGTCCTCTTTTATCTGCTTTGCATCTTAGGTAACACTGGAAACAAAAGGCAAGTCACTCCCTTTGAATGCTTTCTTTGTCTTTTCACAAGCTTTTCTGAGATCCTCTTCACATTATTGCCCAATTTTGATTAATGAAGGTCTTGAACTCAAGAGTAACGTTTGGGAAAGTCAAAAAGAATGATGGAGTTTTGTGGCACTGCCCAACCCAGAGAAGCTGTTAATTGTGTGCACATTTACTCAATTTAAGCAGGACCCACTGAATTTAATGAATTCATTCTCAAATTAGCGTAGGGTTCAGCTTTGGAGGCATCCATGCAAAGACTGCACCATATATTTTAAAAAGATACTTACGTTGACACTTGGAAATAAATTGAGAGAGGAATGGGAGCTAATATTTGGCATTAGCTTTGCATTTAGTAAGTTAAATAAAGAGTGTGGGAGACACTAGAGGAGGTATCTACATGGAGTTCCACATGTGTTATTTTTTTTGGTTCCATATTGGAGATCCCAGATTGTGGCTGTAGGTTCCATTATTTTTGAATTAGAAATTTAAGGTTATCTATCCAATGGGCTTTGTGGTGAGTGGTGGGTCACCATTTATTTTGTACATTGGGATCTATGCATTTAGCCATTGTCACTTGTTCTCCTTTATATCTGGAATTTTTGCTAGAATGTTGGTTTCTTATTTGATCAGGAGGGTTACAAAAATGAAAGCTAGGGGAAAGGACCAAACAGAGACTAGAGTAAAGCTGTGAAATTTCAGGGCCATCATGTTTTGAAAGTTGCCTGCCAACTGATTCTTTCAAGAAGTTAATCTTAGAGGATGAAGAGAATTCCATTGACATCAACCCATTTTTTGTTTTAATTTTTGTACCAGGCCCTATGGAAGCCAACCACATCACCCTTGGATTTTGGAAAGAACTCAACAAAGGCATCACAGCTCTGGCAGATGCTTTTTTCCACTCTGCCTGGGAAGCAGCAGAGGTGACAAAGGAGGTAAATATAAATCTATATCTGTCCTAATTGGATGTCCAAGCTGCAGTGGCTTTTAATGATGAAGATACTGAGTTAGGGATAGGGAGATCCAGGCTGAAGTTCATCCCAATTCATGGGTACTCAATAGATAATTTTGGGGTAGAGTGTCTCTCTTCAACCTATTTCATAGGGATGTTGTGGCTATAAATTAGGGAGCCTATGCCTTGAGCTCTCAGTGCAAAGGAAGTATCTAAATGCAATAAATAAGGAAAACTCTAAAACTCATGCACTTACTTAGCAATCAATCAGTATTTGATTCTCCCTTTTTATCATTGTAGAGAAGTTGGGAAGGATGAGAGAGGGATTTCACATGGATGTATATGTGTGTGTGAAGCTAGCAGGGTGGCATGCACTAGAGACTTGATATCACCTTGTCTCCGCTTTGCAAGTATCCCTAGAAAGGATCTTCCTCTTGGTGTCCACCTGTTGATGCAGGGGGCATCATCGCCAATCCATCTTGAAAATCTGAACAGGGACAGATCTGGTTAGCCCTTGAATGGGAGTCTATGAAAAAAAAAAATCCCACAACTGTAGGCTAGAGTGAGAAGTTTAAAGAAAAAAAGCAGCACCAAAAGAAGACCATGGCAAATCACTTGCCCAATAATGTCAAGAAATTTGCATGGCCCAATCCATGAGGTCACCAGGACCTGAGGTCAACTGAAGGGAGACTTACCTGTTCAATGCCAGACATAGATTGGACTTTCCATGGCTATAAGCATCAGCCAAGACACTTGGCTTGTTCAACTTGGAAAGCCGAAATATAGACCCTTATAGAATGATGAGCCATCTGCCACTTTGGCATTCCTATTTGTGAATTAAACTCATTTTTTAAAAAAAGGAGAAGAACCACATCTGCCTACTGATTTTTTTTTCATGAAATTGCTTTTGAATCCCATGTGAAATCAACCTGCCACACTCAATTAAGGAAAATCCAGAAAAAGAGAAAGCTGTTGATTGCATAGGAATCCAGCTAGTATTTTGAAAGTATATTTGCATTGCTGTTGTTTTTAAACTGTGGCTATGAATGCATATGTATAGTTTCAAAGAATCTGAATGACAAGATTTCCCAGAAATAACAGCAAAATCTTTAGACGCTCAATTTTCACCCTTGAAAATTCATCCTCTTATCTCAAGGATGAAAATTGAGCGTCTAAAGATTCCTGGGAAATCTTGTCATTTCAAGGACTTGTACATTCCTTGTTCTTGCTCGCTCTTTTAGAGATCTTTGCAGAATCACTCACCGCTTTGTGTAGCTGCTCGGTTGAGTTTTGAAGAACTGTTGAGTGTTCAAAAGTCACCCAGGATTGGCTTCCTTGAGAGAGATCCAGAAGAAAGGTACTTGAAACTGTTTTGATTGGATTAGTAGCTTAGCCCTTATTCCAAAGGTATCCCATTCTCTTCTTCCTTCTGTGCATGGATAAATAACCCAACCCTGATTAACAATTTTCATCCCCGGAAATTGGTATGTGTGATTCAAGACATGCAATCCAACCAGAACACCTTTGTTTTTGTTTTCGTTGCATCATGGAAATAATGACTCAATCCAACACTGTCCCATTTTTGTAATTGGTACCCCACTTATCACTACAGACCGTTGGAGTCAGGCATCAAAACAAAAGGAGGCATCTGCTAAGACCAGCAGGGAGCGCCCGAGACTTTGATCTCTGTCCAAAAGGACCGTGGAGAATAGAAGCCAAAAGAAGCCACCAGGGTTGCATTTGGAAGCTACTGCTTAAGCAGTGGTGGATGTTAAACACACCTCCTTATCAAGTCTAAAAACAGGGAGGTGCAGGCTGTTCAATTCAGATCAAAAGGAGAAAGCCAGCGTGTTGGCAAGTTCAGTGATCTGGCTGAATATTCCGGCTGCAAGGAGCAAACTTATCTTTATTTGTATCCTCTTTAATAAAGCTGTAATGCACAGAAAGGGCCATGAGTAGCCTCTTCATGCTTCTTTGAGAGAATAACAGGATAACAGAATAATAGAGTCAGAAGAAACCCTGAAGTTCTTCTAGTCCAACTCCCTGCTCAGACAGGAGACCCTATACAAAATTCTGGACAAATGGCTGTCTTATCTCTTCTTAAAAACCTTCAGTGTTGGAGCACCCACAGCTTCTGAAGGCAACCTATTCCACTGATTAATTATTTAATTGTCTGGAAATTTCTCCTTAGTTCTAGGTTGTCTCTCTCCTTGATGAGTTTCCATCCATTGCTTCTTGTCCTGCCTTCAGGTGCTTTGGAGAATAGCTTGACTCCCTCTTCTTTGGGGCAGCCCCTTAAATATTGGAACACTGCTATCATGCCAGCCCTGGTCCTTTTTTTCAATCAACTAGACATACCCAATTTCTGCAACTGTTCTTCATATGTTTTAGCCTCCAATCCCCTAATCATCTTTGTTGTTTATCTCTGAACTCTTCCTAGAGTCTCAACATCTTTTTTATATCATGGTGACCATATTGTGGGAGTTGGGGGTAGATAGGAGAAATCAGAAGATTGCATGGGTAGGCAAACCTGCATTATATTAGATCTGATGAATTAATTTCCAAAGACGTGCCCTAAGGAGGCTGGAGCTAAATAGGGCACTGTTTAGTCACATTGAAGTATTAATGTGATCAGTAACCAAAATCACGGCACTTGCATCCTTGTTTGATGGGTTCAAGTGCCGTGTAAACTTTGGTGCACACATAGCAAATACATAGCCTTTGATGAATACCACACCAAAATGTCAATACAGATGTCATATGGTGCTATATATAGTCAAAAATATGTTTTTCACACTTCTGCAATAAATACTCTTTGCACCTGGAAATTGTGTGGTGTAACAGAACAAAATTAGAGACTAGGAGGGAGTATTTTCTTGGATGATTATGTAACTGTGACTCAAGTCTTCCAGTTTTCAGCATCTTTTTGGTTTTATCTTTTTAAGTGTTTCTCTCTTTTTCCATCTCTTTTTCACCTATCTGTTACACAGCCTTTGAATGGTCTCTCCAAGGAAGTACCGCAATACTCCTTTGAACTTCTTGCATTGTGTAAGTCAAGAGAGACCAATTCTCGGAAGGAAAGATGAAGTTGATTGCGCAACAATCAAAGAGGTTGAATCAGAACTGGCTCAATCTTTGAATATCCCGAGGAGCCACCAACCAACAGCTGAAGCAAGGGTGACCTAGAACTTTTCAGTTGACCGTTTTTTAATCCTTGCCTAATTTATTTAGTTTATTTTTTGGTTAAGTCTCATTTCTGAACCCAAAAAGAATAGAAAGGAAAGAGGCTTATTCCTGGTTACTGAGAAGTTCCTTTTTCCTTTTTCTTTTCCAATGTTTTCTAACTGATGGAAGTATCAATTTTCTTTAATATTTGTATTACTAAAGTGCTAAAAGATAAAGTGTTTGAAAAACAGCAAATTTTGGAATGTGAAGGACATAAGAGAAAAAGAGGAAATAAGGGGGAAAGAGAGAAAAAGGTTATTATGCTTACATTTTAAAAAAAGCATAGTGAAAAAGTGAATTATATTCTCCCATTCCTTTCCCTCTACATTCCCAACTACAAGCCATAAGAAGCTGAATCTTGCATCAAACATTAATAGTTATTTGTTAGCTTCCATTTAAATTCTAAAACTCATATTCTAGATCAGGGGTTCTCAACCTTGGCAACTTTAAGACTTGTGGACTTCAACTCCCAAAGCTGGCTGAGGAATTCTGGGAGTTGAAGTCCACAAGTCTTAAAGTTGCCAAGGTTGAGAACCCCTGTTCTAGATATCTGCATCTCCCTTGCTCTGTGATACATTGTGTTTAAGGAAGCCATTTTTGTTTGAACATAGCTCAACTTCCATTAAGAATGTACACTGTCAATTTTGTCAATTTTATTCTCCAATTTTAATTTTCCACTCTGATTAGGACAGACAAGGTATCTGTTTTCCAATATTGTGTGCTAAGTCAATTCTTGCTGAGGTCAACATGTATCTTAGTAAATTGTGATAGTTCTCATTTGTCTTTTCTGGAATTATGCCTGGTTACAAATACCTGTGGTTTCAGTTAAAGTTTTATATTTTAAAAATAAAAGAAGTGTCTTAACTTTTGACATTTTTTTCCTGTTACTGTTGACTTGTGAATTCTGCCACCACCGAACTTTTATTCCCAAGTACTAGATACAATAGTTATTTCACTGGTACCTTAAGAATGATTATATAGGTCATGACTAAAAGTGAAAAATAAGACAATGCAATATTTTATACCAATTTTCTCTTAAAAGATGCTGTACAAAACAATAAAAGTTAACTGTAATAAATGCCCCATAAAATCTAAAAGAAAAAAAACCTACATTTGTGGACAATGGGAATTGATTTAAGAAACATTTTGCTTCTAACACAATATTAGTATACGAATGGCTGGGTAATGGTCAGGAAACTTTTGATAACTTGGTGGTCAAACCAAACATTCCCATATTCCAAGAGGTCAACATCACCACCAACCAAAAGGTCTTGCTGTTGGCCATATCTGGAGGTGGAACCACAAATTGACCTTCTCCTCTACGTAGCTAAACCCGAGGGAAGGTCAACATCATAAATCATCTGATGTTTAGGACTTGTGATGCTTTGAATGTAATTGCCAATGTTCTGATTGGGTAGCCAATTTGTACATGACGATTGAAAAGAAATGACTGGAAAGAGAAATTGGTAAATGGGCCATGATGCATTGCAGATGACAAGTATGGATATGGAACCAAGTGGATATTCTCATCCAGTACGACTGTTTCCAAGAGACAAAGGGAGAGAGGAGAGGGAAGGAGGGAGGAAGCGAGAGAAATTTCAATCTCTCTTGTGGGCATTCTCAACTGTTTGAAGAATTGAAGGCTTTTGATGACCGTAGAACAAATCAACCATATATACTTCACCTGTCCCCATATCCAGGGAAACAAATGACTCTTACATAGTTGGAGAATTTGAATGGTCTATTCATTTGACAGAAGGACATAAAATCCAGCATAGGTTTCCTTTTGTGAAATAGGTTTAAAGAGAACTGAAGAATCTACACTACATTTAAGGGGCTGGTTTTTTTAATAGATTGCTCAGAAAATGTCATGCATTAAATGGTACATGAGAATTTATGGGTATGGCTCATGGTATGTTTCCAGTAAGCAAATAAATAAAACTTTAATCCTTGAATCTTTAAAACTTGAATTCTTGTTGCAAAACATATGCTGCGGGTTTTTATGTCATCTAACATGGGAGCTGATATCTGAGACACAAAAATAGTAAAAGAAAATGGGGGTGTCATTTACTTCAATATTATTTATTTCAATATTTAATTTAAGTAGTCTTTCAAATCTTTTTTTTTTAGAATCCTCAGGACATTTAATCCCAAACCAGTAGATTCTTTTTATTATTATTGTATTCTTTGGTTCTGTTTTTTTTTCTCACCAATAATGAGGGATTATTGGTCAGCTGATCTGAAAAACGGGGATATTTCTTTGTTGTTTTGCTTTCTCTTAGCTCGTCTGTTAGCAAAGATTAAGAATGTTTGCCAGTCCTCTAATAGGGTATTGTGTCACCCTTGGAGAGCAAACAAAGGAAGAACTGGGCAACGGGAAAATACGCAACCAACTTGGCTTCTAGTGAAAAGCTGTTTTGAGAGACAATTCTTGAATTACTTTCATTTGAGAGACCGTATAGAATTCAGGAAGTGAGGCAGCTACTTCTGCTCAACCATCATACTTTTTCCTGCCCTCGTGAACAACGTTAGTATGTGCAATTTCTATATTGCCATCTTGAAATCCTAACGCAGGCCCTGAGTGTTAACATTTATTTGCTATCTGATGCTGCTGGAAAGCTGTTGGGTTGACTGCTTGGAGTTCTTACCTTAAAAGGAAGGTGAAAAATACATTTCTCAAGTCATGATGTCATCTAGGGAAGCAGGACAGTTTCCTAAGGAAGTAGAACAATTTCTTCTCTGTGGGAAGAAAAGTAGATTTTTTTTCAGTTTCTGGGTGTCAGTCATTTTTTGAAGAGTGTTATGTTTTCTCTGATGTTTGATCTAATGACTCCTTTCTCATTGCATGTGTTTCTCCTTTCAGATTATCAGTAGAAATGTTTATAACTGTTCTTCATGGAGGTAAGTGACTTCTCCGTTATTTGCTTCGGTCATGTTCTGTGTACGAATCTGTGTCTGGTTGAAGACATCAGTAGCTTTCCTAAAATTGGTCAGGTAGTCCTCAACTTAAAAACTGTATCTGAGCCCAGAATTATGCCAGTCATTAAGCAGGTCACCATGGGACTGTACCCAATCTTATGACCTTTTTGTGGTAGTCATTAAGCAAATGTGGTTGTAAAGTGGATACTATAGCTGCTAAGCAAACTTGGTATTTATTCAGTGAATCCATTGTCTGCAATGGACATTGCCAGACATCAGAAATAAATGCCAGTTTACAATAAAATGCCATACATTGTGGTCACGTGTTCTCAGGACACTGCAAATTCAGGCCGTTTACCAAGCACCCAAAATACGATCACATGACTTCAGGGAATGGGGTGGCCATAGGAACTTCAAACCTGGGTCAAAATTAGCCCTGGGGAAGTCCGTCATAACTTTCAATGCAAAGCAACTAGTCATAAGTCATGGACTATCAATCTCATTTTATGTAAGTCTCACCTATCAACCAATCCATAACTAGGAAATTACTGCAGGAATTCTCAGAATTATTGAGGTTTGCAATACTTGTCCTTGGCTATGATAAAGGCTTTGATTTGATTTGATTTGATTTGGGGTTCGCACTTTACTGCACATACTGCAAAATTTGACTGCTGTTCATTGTGATTGCTAGCCATTTGGGTTGATGTCCAGTCAAAAGTGGGAGAAGTGCTGGAATCTTTGCTTTTTTTCCTTCCTTCCTAGAACACAAGGCAGATCTTTTTAATATACACTGCAAAGTCCAGATTTTGCTAGATGGCATTAAACACCACTGTGGATGTGAAGGTAAAGGTGACACTGCTATGAATTAATAGATCTAATGTAAAATTGTGTTGGCATTGAAACCCAATTTCCGTAATAATGAGCTCATTTGAATTCACTATACATTTGCATGTTGGGTAAAGATAATCAGGGACTTGTATGAAACAGGATTGATACATTTGTGAGGAAGGAACAGGGAAACAGAAATCCCTTGTAATTCTCCCTAAGTGCATTGATTTTGAACCGTATTTACTTTGTTCAGAAAGCACGAGAAATCTATGAGGCGAGGGGACAATTTATATAAGCTATTTAACTTGTGGGCAAATTCTAAATTTCAGAGGAAATAGAATTAGCAGATGAGAGTGGCCAAGTCAAGAATTTACTTCAAAACAAGTATCACTATGCAACAGAACTCCTGGGAGAACGAGAGACTTACGTGCTGCTTAGTGTCACAAGTAAGTGACCAAGAAGGACCTTGCCCACCTGTCAAGCTGCAGATAAACATCTTAATCCTAGAATTAAGGATATTCTTTGTTCAGAATAATTGTATGTGGATTGGATTCACTAGAACACAGTATCATAGGACTGGAAGGCATTTCAAAAGTCTTCTAGTCAAACCCCCCACTCAAGGCAGGAGACTTTATACCATCCCGGTCGAAATGGTTGTCCAGTCTATTTTTGAAAGCCTCCAGTGATGGAGCACTCACAACTCCAGGAGTCAAGCTATTCCATGTATTAACTCTTCACACTGTCAGAACATTTCTCCTTACTTCTAGGCTGAATCTCTCTTTAACAAGCTTCTACCCATTACCTCTTGTCCTGTCCTCTGATGCGTTGGATTTTGAACCTAAAGCATGCCTCCTTCAAATTGGATCCATAACTTAATGATCACATTCATGTGGATTTCCCACACAAGAGGGATTGATCACTGTCACCTGTAAATATCTAGGATATTTGTTCAGTCAATTCAATCTATCTTGAAGCTTCATGTAGTATCATCTAGATGTAATGGACTACAATCCCCAGAATTCCTAGCCAAGATATATAATAATAATAATAATAATAATAATAATAATAATAGTAGTAGTAGTAGTAGTAGTAGTAGTAATAATAATAATAATAATAATAATAATAATAATAATAATAAAAAAGTTGGAAGGGACCTTGGAGGTCATCGAGTCCAACCCCTTGCTCAGACAGGAAACCCTGTACCATTTCAGACAAATGGCTGTCCAGTCTCTTCTTAAAAACTTCCATTGTTGGAGCATTCACCGCTTTTGGAGGCAGGTTATTCCATTGGTTAATTGTTGTAACAGTCAGGAAGTTTTTCCTTAGTTCTAGGTTGCTTCTCTCCTTGATTAGTTTCTATCCGTTGCTTCTTGTCCTGCCTTCAGGTGCTTTGGAGAATAGCTTGACTCCCTCTTCTTTGTAGGATATTGGATATTGGAATGCTGCTATCTTGTCCCCCTTCTCTTCATTAAACTAGACATACCCAATTCCAGCAACCGTTCCTTATATGTTTTAGCCGCCAGTCCCCTAATCATCTTTGTTGCTCTTCTCTGTATTCTTGGAGTCTCAACATCTTTTTTACATCGTGGTGACCAAAACTGGATGCGGTATTCCAAGTGTGGCCTTCCCAAGGCATTGTAGAGTGGTATTAATACTTCATGTGATTTTGATTCTATCCCTCTGTTAATGGATTCTATCCCTCTGTTAGGTTGTAGTAATGATTAGTGGAAGGAGAAGGTTTTTTAGAAATTACAGAAGCAACAATTTGTCTTCAAAAATCTGGATTCTTGATTCCTTAACTTTGATGCTTTGCTATTATGGTAACGTATACTCAGTGTGATATTTGTGGGGTCTTCAAGACCAGAAGATCTGTGCTCCAGAAGTAAGAATTACAAGTCCCAAAGGTGCTTTTTCAAAAGGCAACTGGAGTTCCCTTGTTTTTCCTTGAAGACGTTTCGCTTCTCATCCAAGAGGTTTCTTCAGTTCTGACTGAAGGCTTCTTAGATGAGAAGTGAAACGTTTTTCAAAGAAAAACAAACTCAAGTTCCCTTTTGGAAAGCATCTGCGCGACAGCCATGACCTGGATGACTGAGAGTCTCCGTAGACATAAGAACTACAGGTTTGCACGCCAAGGTTCAGTCAGAAACACTGGCTATAATCCAAGTCCAATATGACTTGCTTTACCTTGGTTTATAAAATAGTTTAATTGCTGGATGTCCACTAGGCCAGTTGTGATTTCTGGTGCTTCATTTTTTATTTTGCCCGTTCATATGCGTCTATCAACTTTTTTAAAAAAAAGAAGAAGAAAAAGAAGGGAGAAACTTATAGAAGGAACTAGATAATTATTATTTGGTTAATGCTTTAGGGATTATCTCTGAAGGAACTAAGCAACTGGATTTAAAATACTGGACGTATTCAAATAGATATTTGCCATCTGAAGAAAAAAAATCACGTTCAAAAATATCTTTCAGTTTAAGGAGAAAAGTCCTGATTAGCACATCTTATTCTGATTACTAGATAACAGTTGTTTCCATCTTCATGTTAATTGCTTTCTTCCCACAGATGGAGAAAAAGCTTCAGAGTCTGAATTTAGGCCACTGTTGAAGGATGAGCACATTGTTAACCCAAAGTTTCTAGGTCAGTAAACAATTTAGTTTCCATTTATTCGTAAGACCAAAAATTATCTTGAAAATAAAGCAGGGAGAAAACAACAACCTGGATTTCACCTGAATATTTTACAGATGAGATGTGCTGGAAAACATAGCTGTGTTTCATATTTTTGATTTTCATTTTCCTTTCATTTATTATTTTTGTAAAGATTTCAAACCAATGAACAAATATAATCTCCTTTCCTTTTTCTGTTTTTCCCACAACTACAACCCAGTGAGGTGGGTTGGGGGAGAGAGAAAATGACTGGCCCAAAGTCACCAGCAGGTGCTCCCTAAGACGGGACTAGAACTCAAAGTCACCTGGTGATTGGTCCATACTCACCCAACCAGATTTCATGCCTAAGGCAGGATTAGAACTCACAATCTCCTTGCTGTATCAACAGCCTGTGAACATCATTATTCTAATTGTAAGCATTTTTGTAAATAAACCATTGGCCTAAAACTGAACTTTAGTTAAACAATTACCAGTCTTGCAATTAGGCTAGTCATTATATTTCCCAACTGAAAAAGCTAGTTTAATTTGGGTGAGCTAATCATGCATTTTTTTTTCTACATAAAGCTAAATTAGGAAGTTGTCAAGAGCACAAAGGACCCTCCCCAAGGATGAAATCCAGAAGGATTCATAGAAAATCAACCTTGGATATCCCCACTGCTGAAGGTAAGCTGATTATTATGAAAAAGAGAAGCTTGGTTCGTTAAACATTTTGCGATGCTTTCCATGGGCATTTATAACAAAAGATTTGTCTTCTGAAGTGGCTTACATCTTATTTTGTCAAGAGTGCTTGTTAGCGGGATCTTGTACCTTATCCACTATCAACAAACCCAAAATACTTAGGGTTGCTTAAGTATTAATGCTTCTAAAATCAGATTGTTGATTCTTGAGAATCTCCAAGGCAGCTAACATAAAATAATAAGATGAAACTCATCTGGACTTTTTATATTTTCAACACATAGGATGGTTCCCATCATATTTCCCCTAAGACCTAGTTCTCGATGTTGTGTTCAGATAATACAAGGCCCTAGTCTTTTGCTATCCAGGTAAACACCCAAGTAATTCAGAAGCAAAAATTCTCAGTCCGATGAGAAATAACCTTCTGATCATGTTACCTAGTTGGATAATGAACCATCAGCAAGAAAACCATCAAGCTCAGAGAGCACCAAAGACTTCACAGTTCACCCTGAGCTACAAAAATTCTCTTCTGTTGGTAACCATCTTTGATGGCTTCCCAAACACTGTAAATTAATCTGGTTTGCAGTCGTACTTATTTTGATTTATATAGCAGGCCATTTCACTTACATGATTCTGGACAGTTCACAAGTTCCATCCATGCTTGATTTCTCTTTGTCTCTTTCAATGGCAGGCATAAGAAATGCTTCACCCCATGGCAACAGAACCAGGACGCCCAATCTTTCTCCAAAACAGAGGAAGAAAAACTGATTTGGTGGGTGAATTCATACCCCTGCTACATTTCTGGAAATGTTTCTTTCCTGTTTGTTGTAAAATGTGGATTAAAGCTGCTATTCCTTCTTGCCAAAAGTAAAATCACAGCATGCTGAGAGTCCTGTTAGAGTCCTGTTGGAGTCACAAACAGCTTGGAACTCAAATCCAAATTCCATAATAAATCTCCTAAAACAGGATCCCTAATCTCTCTGGGGTGTCTGTATGTGCTTGTGGATGCACATGTGTGGTGCAGATGTGCCAAGATTAATTAACTAAAGAGATGTTGGCAGAATTTAAATACACACTCTCGCTCTTTCTCTCTTGCAATACTGTGGTTTCTTATTTCCCTTTTTCTTCCAAAGCTTTTAAGGAATTGAACAAACATCTTTATTCATAATGAAAGTAACCTTTAGCAATATCTGTTATTCAAGGATCCCCATGTCTGTCATCGGATCAATAAAAAAGACTTACCTGCTGAATTCTCTTGCATTCTCATGGGGCAAATATGTGAGCCAGGAAATTATCCTGAGCATTCGATAATTGGAGTTTAGTCATCAACAACATCAACTAATTCTTCCGTGTGATTATCTGCTTTATGCATCATTAATTTGGCAGCTTTGAGTTTCATGTTCTTTTACTGTATATACTTTTGTATTGCAGCATTGTTTCAGTTTTCATTCAATTGTTTTGATATGTCTTCTAAGTGCAGGTAATAAAAATATGACACAATTTGCACGTGAGCATCTGCATTGCTTCATACAATGCTGAGAATCTAGAATGGGTCCAGGATGCACCTGTAATGGGGTATGAGAATAATCTTGAGAAAAAGAAGGAACAGCTACAGCCAAGACCCTGGTCAGATAGAGAAATCCGAGTCCTAGCAAGAATGTACTTTGAGCAAGCAGTCCTGACCCTCCCCAGTTCTAGAGAAAATGAAGGGAAAGAGCCAGATGGTTTAGTGGTTAAAGCATCCAGCTAGAAACTGGGAGTATGAGTTCTAGTCCTGCCTTAACCATGAAAGCCAGTTTACTAAGTTTGAACCAATCACCAAGAGACTGTGAGTTCTAGTTCTACTGAAAGTTGACTGGGTGACTTTGGGCCAATCACCGGGAGATGGTGAGTTCTAGTCCTGCCTTAGTCATAAAAGCCAGCTCGGTGAGTTTGAGCCAACCTACAGGAGACTGTGAGTTCTAGTTTTGCTTTAGGCATGAGAGCTGACTGGGTGACTCTGGGCTAATCATTCACCTCACTGGGTTGTTGTTATAGGGAGAGGAAGGAGCATTAGGTATATTCACTGCCTTGAGTTATTTGTAAAAATAATAAAGGCAGGATACAAATAAAAAACAAATAAGTAGGAGGGATGTCCATCCAAGTTGCAAGATTTCTATTACTGTAACCTTATAATAAAAGCAGTTTTAGTATTCATAACTTTGGTATTCAGATCTGGTCAACCTCGGGGATATCAGCCTCTGCAACTAACCATGTTTTGCAAAGCCAGTTAACTGAGTTCAAACACTAAGCCAAAATCAAACCAAATAAGCTCTGCTTTAGTTTTGCACCATTATCTGAACCCAGCCGTTGTGGGATATATTATTGCCAATATGTCTAGATTGTTTTCTTTTAAAGAAAGAAGAGAATACATTTGCAGAAGAATCCAAGGTTACCTTTCTAATATCTCCAGTTAGAAGGATAAAGCTCAGTGTACAATGAGAAACACATTTTTTTTCCTGAAGATGTAGGCAAATTACTGGCCATTAGACTAACCCGGTATTTCTCAGTCTTGGCACTTTTAAGATGCGTGGACTTCAACTTCCAGAATCCACCAGTCAGCATGGTGGCTGGGGAATTTTGAGAACTGATGTCCACGCATCTTAAAGGAACCAAGATTGAGAAACATTGGATTACTCAATCAAGTCAACACGGGAAAACATTTCATGTGTATGAATATTCAGTACTAGGAAAGAATATATATATATATATATATATTGGATCTTCATTACTTCCTGAAACCTGTAACCACAGGAGGTGAAGGGTGCAGGTCAGACATTGGCCTGGAATCTGGGCTTGTTATTGTCCATCAAGCAGCCTCTGAGAGCAGTTGTGTCAGCAAGTGTCACCATAGCTTTTGAATGGGGTTACGTCAGTGTGCCACTCTTATTTTTTGTAGTTCAGTGCCATTTGGCTAGACGTGGAGTCTAGCAGGTTTTCCATTTTAAGTATTTAGGTATTCAATTTCAGAATACTGGTGCTTGGACTAAACATCGAACCCAGGTGCTGAATTCGGCCTCCTGTAGCCATCAGCAGATTATAAGATTCTTTTTTACCCAAGGAGGCCAGTTTATTCCTTCTGCTCTGCGTATATATAAAGCCAAAACCCTGGCCCAAACTCTTTATGGAATTCCCATATGGATACAAGGCTTCAAAGATTGTATTGAAAGAACCCAGGCTGTTTTTCTTAGGAAACTTCTGGGCTTTCCTCTCTGTGTTGGATTTGCTTCGATGTACCTGGAACTGGGCATTCGTTCAGTCGAATGCATGGCGTGGATTAACACCTTTAAATGGTGGTTTCGGGTGCTCTTTTCGGCAGCCCCTGGTAGCTACCTCTCCCTGGTGTTTGCTGACTCTCATACCTCTCGTTGGGAGAGGGAGCTGACGAAGAAACTCCACTTGCTAGGTTTTATGGGGGATGCTCTGGGAGATTATGGTCTCAAGGACGCCCAGTTTAGGGTAGTCCAACGGTTTGTGGACATAGATTTGCAATATTTAAGAGCCAGAGCCAACAAAACCTGCTCCCCATTGATCTTCAGCCATTCTAATAATTATGGATTGAGGATGGCTTCATATTTCTATATTCTAACCATCCCCAAGTATAGAAGAGTCTTTTCCCTAGACCATTTCAATGTCTTGCCCTCAGCACTACTCCATGGGCGATTCAAGAGGCTCCTGTTTAGTGAGCGACTATGCCCCTGTGATAGGGCTGAAGTTGAAACTGTGGAGCATGTCTTATCATCCTGCCCTATGTATAACACAGCCAGAATTAAACTATTACCTCTCCTTGGAATTGATCCCTCTGGTTCTAATGTTAGTAATTTGGTCTTATATTGTCTAGCGGATGGCTCTTCCTATATTACTTCTCAGGTTTCTAAATTTCTTTTAAGAGCTGTAACTATCAGAGGAGAACGTTGTAATTCCCTCTACCAAGGCTTAGGTGTTAACTGTGATAGTATTTTTCTTTTGTTGCACTTGTATTTTGGTCTGTGACTGCAAATAAAAAATTATTATTATTAGACGTGGAGTCACTGGATTAAGTAAATCGTTTCCAGCTTAGTATAGTGGAACAGATTATACTATCTTTACCTGTGGTTTGTTAAAGGTGAGTATCTGGCTACTAAAGGCTTAATGTTCTGTAAGGATTGCTCTGTACATTATTTTGGAAAAGCTTGTGTGTGGTTTTAATTTGATCTTCTTCCCTTGAGGTGATATCTCAATGCTTCAGAACTTGGGGCCTTCCAGATGGAGATTAACAGGCTCCCTCCATCATGTCTCTAACTATCTTCTACCTGCAATTTGCTTTTCGTGTAAAACAGAACCATTTCTGAAAAAGAGACTCAGCAGCTTCAGATCTGGTTAATGTCTGGACAGCGGCAAACCACAAATTTCACAGATGAAAGCTAGTGTCGGATGTTATAAAAGAAACATATCCAGAAGAAGGCTTGTGATGCAAATCGGTTTTATATTGCTGTCAAAAAATATTATACGGTGTCTTTGCATTTACTTCTTCAGTCTGGATACTCCTATTTCAAGTATTCATGGTGTTAAACCTTGGCCTGTAGCTGCTAATTCAAAATGCATTCTATTTGGTTCAACTCTGCAAATAGGAATATATATTTCCTTGTTAACATTTTCATAGAGGAGTTTGGAACTGATACCAAGAGAAGTGTCAATCAAATTTCAAGTAACAATCCAACTTGATTGGACTTGATTGCTTGTAAATTCCTTAGAAATTCTTTACAGGGCCAGAAAAAGAAATATATTTTAGATGAAACTCTATCCGAGGTTTCAATATTGCTTTGATTTTCCTCCAGTGGGGGAAAAAAATAACCTGTCTCTGTTTTGTTCCGATCAGAGCAGATTAAATAAGTCCACATGGCTGTGATGAAAGAGATAAGGCACATTTTTTCCAATGTGAAATATTTGCAGACAAGTGTGTGTGAGAAAGAGGACACACCGTGTTCTTCGTTCATTCCTTTCGAAGAATGTGTTTCTATTTTGTTGGCATGGCTTGGGAACAGAAAGCATCAGATAACTTCACACTTCATTTTGAAAACTCTTGTGTTGAGCAATCGCCAAAAGTATGTCAAAGAGTACTCCAGAATTAACAATATGGAGTGCAGTAGATGTATTCATGAACATGCACCCTAAACACTATTAAGTGGGAGTGATTATTATAGCCTTATGTGAACTTGGGCTCAAGGCTATGGAGAGGAATTACTTTATTCTCAAGTTCATGACCTGCTTGTAGTTAGTTTTGTTTAAATGACAGTGACTTTTGGATTATATACCTGAGAATTCAATAGACCGGTAGGGCCCTTGGTGCTCTCTGAGCTTGGTTGTTTTCTTGCAGACATTTCATTACCAAACTAGGTAACATCATCAGCGCACATCAGATGATGTTACCTGGTTGGATAACGAAACCTCTGCAAGGAAACCAGCAAGCTAAGAGAGCACCAAGGATCCCACAATACAAACTAGAAGTGGTCGTGAGTTGGCCAATGGTCTCTGCGTTCCTTCCAACGCTGATAATTTGTGGGTCACATTTTACTTAACCTTCATAACCGTAAAAACCCTATAGAGAAAACAGAACCATTATAAAAAGTGAAAGTGCGGGATGGAAACTCGAGTAAAACATAAGCAATAAAAATACGCACAACAGGTTAGACTGGTCTGGCTGCTGCCAGCTCAGCCTGGTACAAATTTAACTTTGCAAGCTCAGAAAAGGTAGCTTCTGAGATTTGAATAGAATAGAGCTGGAAGGGACCTTGGAGGTCTTTTAGTCCAGCCTCCTGCTCAAGCAGAAGAATCTATACCATTTCAGACAAGTGAATGTCTAGTCTCTTCTTAAAAACATCCAGTGCTGGAGCGCCCACGATTTCCAGAGGCAAGCTGTTCCACTGGTTGATTGTCCTCACTGTCAGGAAGTTTCTCCTTAATTCCAGGTTGTTTCTCTCCTTGATTAGTTTCCAACATTGTCTTGCCCTCTGGTGCTTTGGAGAATAGTTTGACGCCCTCTTCTTTGTGGCAGCCCCTCAAATGATCATTACTATTGATCACTGATCAACCAAGTATTGCTGTTGTCCTTTCCAATCCATTTCCAATAACCACAATTCAAACAATTGTCTTCTGAGGCTGTGGGAGGCTTGGAGACATCTAACTGTAGGAGATTGGAGGAAAAGGCTTACGCGGACAAGTCTTTGCATGCTGATAAATAGAGGTGGGTCTCTTTCAAAAGGTTTCTGAGTTGATGTGGCTATTTTAGATCTCTAGTAATAAATCATGGTGGAGCTGCCAAGTTGAGCTGCCAAGTCGAAAGACCTGCCAAAGAGTTTGTTCTTTTAAAGCAGCAATGCAACGTTAAATAAAAACAATTAAGCAATAAGGAAAAAGAAAACAAACAATTAGGTCTCTCTCTCATTTCCCCTTGCATCACAAACCACAAATATTGTTTTGTC